GTGATTATCTAAAAAATAAATATAATAAGAATATCATTTCCTAGAACTTGCCGTTGCAAAACCTGTTTCAAAGGAAATGATGCCCTAAAGCTTATATACCATCCGTCGATGTTCTATAATTTTTTTTCAAAGCCAAGCCAATCACCCACTCCTTAAACATGCAGTGGGTCATCCCAAGCCAACAATAAACTTTCAACCAAAGCCGAGCGTTTTCAAAAACCATTATTTGCACCCATGGAAACCATCCATGGGTGCCTTGGAACCTCTTGGCACGTATATTGCTTTTGAGCGTTGAACACTTCTTTGCTGCCTTAGAAAAATTTTGGGCTTGGGCAGGGACTTTACGGGCTTTTTTAATTTTTGAGTCAGGTTGAGCTTTGTCTCATCGGGCCTCAGGCTACCTAATTCAGACCGCGGGCCAAATAATGATCTCTACTTAGAACTACTTGGCACCATTTCTTTTTAAAGAAAGAGGTTTAATTATTGTTTTAGCCCTATGAATGGGCGCTCAATCTCACTTTAACCCCTATAACTGAAAATTTCTCACTTAACTCCTAAAATCTCTAAAAATTGCTACAATTTTCTCAGTTTATCAATTCCGTCTGTTTCCATATATAAAACCGTTAAGTGTGTTGACATGGCATGAACATTTTACTAATGTTAGTTACCTATTTAAAAGTTTTAAATCCAAATTAAATATAAAAAATAGATTTTAAATATTTTAAACTTTTTTTAGGGTTAACTAAACAGACCCATCCCTCCCCCACTCTAGATCACCCTCATCCCTCCCAACCCAGGCTAAAAAACTCCAGCAATACACAGACACAGATGATAACAATATTAATAAAATAAATAACAATTTTTATACGTCTGGTCAGAAAAAAAAAAAAAAAAAAAAACATAGATGATGATGAACATATGGGTCTATTTTATTTCCATTTTTTTATAGCTCAATTTGTGAGGTTCTTCATTGGGGTGTTGTGTTCCCTTAGTTTTTAATATAGGTTTTGCAAATTGGATGATTTTCATGTGATTTTGTTTGATTTTGTGATGTATAGCGTATTTTCTTTCGGCTGTTTGATTTGGGTATGCATCTTTTTTGTTAATCGTATTATTAGGTATGGGTGGGGGCTACTGGATTTGGGTGATGGTGGCTAACGATGATTGGGAGCATAATTTAAAATATCGATAATATCGACGAAATATAGAAGATATTATTGTTTTTTCGGATCACAGATATTTTGAAACATATCCCTACACATATCGTATACATATCAATAATATTGGAAAATATCGATGTCGATAATTTCACACACTTCAACAATATGTGAAGACCCGTATTTTAAAAAAATATATGAAGAATAAATATTTTGCTGCCTATTTAGTTATATATTTAAATTTATTATATATACATAGTTGTTTTACCATTTTAATAATTATATGTATTTTATTATATTAAATATGTATATAAGAAGCATGAGGTGGATAACATAATTAAGCTGGAGGTGGCACTATTTCCTTGGTTGCTTAAGGGACGTGTAAACATATAAGATTGTTGCCTTGCTATCCAAGTGGCTAGCTGGCTTTACTTCATCAAAATATTATCCTAATACCAAATGTTAGCACTTATCCTCAACCTCCAAACATATATCAACCAATGATAGACTGATAGTTGCCGCCTTTATTCTAGTATAAATAGAGAGCTTGCATTTACAAGTTGTTTAGTACTATATTTAGAGATAACCTGCATGCAATATGATATTTGTTAGAAATGACTAAAGAGAGATGTAAGGAAATTTGATATTGGACGAGATAGGTAAATGGGTTGTCTTGCCAATTTATTTTAAGGGTTCTTATTATCGAGGTGAGTGGTTTATGTAATGTGTTCTAAAAGTTCTTATTTTGTGATAAAATATGAAAACCATGAATTATCATGGATTTGTTCTATTTACAAATATCTCTCTATTTCAAGTCAAGCATGTCTAATTTGGAGCAATCTTTCACACTATATATATTTATATGTATATATATATATATATTGATTGGAATATTTGTGAAGTATATATTATTCATGGAACATGAGAACTTCAATGTTGGGGTATCCGAGGGATAGATGTACCACACGGAGACATAGGGCAGTGAGGCCAATAAGGGTCACGTGGTTGGTTACATGCTATGAAGGATACCGAGATATGAAGGGATGATGTGATATGATCTAGATTGGTGTATCTTTTCATAATACTTTCTAAAGTGTGTAAAACGACATTGCTTGACTGACATATTACATAATCTATTCACTGAGCGGTGGTTGTTTATCCCTCACCTTGTTTAATTTTTCAAATGAATTAGTTGGCAAGACAAGAACTAAACTAGTTGAGGCTGAATTAGATGAGAGTGATAGAGCTTTATTTATTTATTTTAAAGTTGTAAGATTTTGGATCTATTTTTATAAGATAAATTTATTTTAAACTCATGTTTCAGCTTCTTTTTATTTTATTTTACTTTTTCACGCATTGGGAGCGAGGTTTCCACTGACCCCCCGGTCCGAGGCGTGACACAATATTTTGTCAAAATATTGCTATAATTTTGAAAATATCGATGTAATGGGAAATTTGAAAAAAAAAAAACACAAAGCACACAAGCAAAGGGGATTCGATGTCATTTCACTCCTCCAACGCCTTAACCACTATGTTGTTTATGTTTTGTGATAATACGCAAAGGGAAACTCTATGTAGTACTAAGTCACACATGTATCTTACCATGCAATGTATAAAGTGTAAAATACTGTAGTAAATCATTATATATAAATGATTATGGTATGTTTAATCTTCTTTCATTATTTACTACATATTTTCTACACTCGCAGTGTTTGTCAACTCACTATATAATCAACTTAAATCAGTTAAACCCATCATGCAATGTATTTCCTTTCAATTTTTTGTGATAAATTAATAGATAATTGACTACAAAAGCATCCTTCAAAGTTTCAATAAAAAATTTCAAGTTTTTCTTACATTTCCGTGGTTTTTATTCAATTTTTGTCGATATCGATAATATCTCGGTAGTTCCATCGAAACTTCTATGCTTTTGGACTATCGATATTTTAGACCTTGATTGGGAGTGGGAGAGGGATGGGTTTGGGGTGATGTGTTTGTGTAGTTAATTAACCCTAAAAAAAGTGTAAAATATTTAAAATCTATTTTGTATGTTTAATTTGGATTTTAAACTTTCTAATAGCTAAAATTACTAAAATGCACATGCCAAGTCACCAAATTTAACGGTTTTATGGACAAATATATATATGGAAATGGTGAAGTGAGAAAATTTGAACAAATTTTAGAGATTCTAGGGGTTAAAGTGAGAAAATTTGAACAAATTTTAGAGATTCTAGGGGTTAAAGTGAGAAAATTTTAAATTCCAAAGGTGAACTAAGACTGAATGGTCGTTCTTGGGGTGAAACAATAATTAATCAAAGGCTTTGCTTTGGCCTTGGAAAGCCCTCGTGGGTGCAATGGAACCCCTTGACACCTTCCCTAAAAGAAAAGACAAAAAGGTTAACAGAATTTTACCCCCACGAGATTTCAATTTTCTCAATTTATGCCCCAACGTTTTAATATTCAACTAATTTACAATTCCGTCAATTTGACCGTTTGGTCTTTTGTTAAATTGATGAAGTGGCATAATCTAACCCTTTTTTTAGAAGAGATGCTTTATTAAAAAATAATAAGCACCATAAGAGTGTACAAAGATAGCACTGAAGTAGCTAATACTATCCACAACACAAACATGAGAGACACGAATAACTACGTGATCTTATAAAAGATTCGTGCCTGAACTGGTCTAAAGTGGTTTGTATTCAAGGTTTCTTGCAAAGATCTCAAAATGTAAGGAAGGATTTGTATTCAAACTTTAATTTAATATTTGATGTTATGGCAGAACAAAGCTAATCTATTTGTAGTAATTTTTCTATTGAAGGTAATTTAAGATACTTCCTAAAATGTAATCCCAAGGATCCGTTGGTTGTATGAAAGGTATCCCTCAAAATGGAAAGAAGGATTCTTATTCAAAACTTTCATTATAATATTTGATGAAGGGCTCGCTTTACAAACGATCAGACAAAACTTTGATATTCAACTTATACAAGAAGAGAATGAAAGAATACAAATTCTATCAGTTGGGAATCTATTCTTTCACGAGTTGTTTGCCCTTATCCTCATCGCTGTGGTGCTGATTGCTCTCAAAACTTTGGCATTGTATATGTGCTGGAGTGTGAATTGCTCTCACAGCTATATTCACAGCGTTGTCTTAAATGCTGTAGAGCTCTGTGTGAATTTCTCTCACAAGTCTTATCACCGCTGGTCCTCGCAGCTGTGTGTGTGAGGCTGAACTTGGAGTATGTGATAGTGAGCTCAGTTTACAGATAATGTCCACTAATGAACATGAACAAACAGAGTATATTGTGTAGGAAAATTGTGGGCAACTATTAAGTGGCGTGTCAGTGTGTTAGTGTTCTTAATCCATCCAAATTGTAATACGTGGTGACGACCAGTGGCGGAGTCAGGATTTCATGTGTGGAGGGTCATCTCATAAAATATATATAAAAATTCAAACTCACAATACATGCCAAAGTAACCAAAGCGATCAAACATCATATATATGGATATTACAACATTTTTCTTTTGGTAATTTACACATAAATTGGAACACCCATTAAACTCAATGGAGAGAATAAATCAAATTTCTGAAGGGTCTCATTTTGTGCTTTCATTACCAACACTAAAAATCCCTATGTTCGACCTCCATGATGAAATCGTGTGATTAGTGTACGACAACACTATATGACAAGTTAATGCATTCATGTGATAATGCTTTCTGAATAGAATCACGTGCTTTCATCTCAAACATCAAAAAGCCCTAGAACGTAAAGTCTTATTCTCTATAAATTCCCGAGAAGGGAGAGCTTCTACGAAAGTGTGAAGGTGTTTTGAGTTATCAAAAACATGGAGAAATCAACAATGTCAGCTATACTGTTGGTGTTGCACCTTTTCGTCCTCCAACTTCAATATTCTGAGGTCCACTCGCTTGCCACGACTTCTGATCATGGTAAATCACTTCATCCGTAATTCAAAACACAAAAAAGGCAATATAAAAAGAAAACGGAAAAAAGTGTAAGAAACAAGCAGATATAGACGCCTGCGTAGATGCATGTGCTATATACTTTTAAAAACTCTTCGTCTCTTGAGATTTTGCAGATTTTAGCTACCTGAGCTTTGCATACGACGCCACTGATCTAGAGTTGGAAGGATCATATGACTACGTTATAGTTGGAGGAGGAACATCAGGGTGTCCATTGGCAGCAACTTTATCAGAAAAATACAAGGTGCTCGTTCTCGAAAGGGGCAGTCTTCCGACAGCATATCCCAACGTCTTGACTGCAGATGGGTTTGTATATAATCTCCAGCAAGAAGATGATGGAAAGACACCCGTCGAAAGGTTCGTGTCCGAAGATGGTATTGATAATGTACGGGGCAGGGTGCTCGGTGGCACAAGCATGATCAATGCCGGTGTCTACGCCAGAGCTAACACCTCAATCTATAGTGCATCAGGAGTTGATTGGGACATGGATTTGGTTAATCAGACATATGAGTGGGTTGAAGACACTATTGTGTACAAGCCAAATTCTCAATCTTGGCAATCTGTTACAAAAACTGCCTTCTTGGAGGCTGGTGTTCATCCAAACCATGGATTTAGTTTAGATCATGAAGCAGGAACTAGAATTACCGGCTCAACTTTTGACAACAAGGGAACGAGACATGCAGCTGATGAACTACTTAATAAAGGAAACTCTAACAACTTGCGAGTTGGAGTTCATGCCTCAGTAGAGAAGATCATCTTCTCCAATGCAGCAGGTATGTTGCATCATGCACTCCAAAATTAGTATTTTATCATTTTAAAACACTAGCAGGAACCAAGGTCTGGAAGTACGAATAAAATTTCATTATTTTCCTTGGATTTGTTTGATAATGATTATAAGCTTTTCTGTAATGTAGGTTTGACAGCTACAGGAGTCATATATAGGGATTCTAACGGAACGCCTCACCAAGCATTTGTACGCAGTAAGGGAGAAGTTATCGTGAGTGCAGGGACAATTGGGACCCCTCAACTTCTACTACTTAGCGGTGTTGGGCCAGAGTCTTACCTATCATCTCTAAAAATTCCAGTTGTTCTTTCCCATCCTTACGTCGGACAGTTTCTGCATGACAATCCTCGTAATTTCATTAACATTTTGCCGCCAAATCCAATTGAACCCACAATTGTAACTGTTCTAGGCATTTCAAACGATTTCTACCAATGTTCTTTCTCGAGCTTGCCATTTACAACTCCACCCTTCGGTTTTTTCCCTAGTACATCTTATCCCCTGCCAAATTCGACTTTTGCTCACTTTGCTAACAAAGTGGCAGGACCTTTGTCTTATGGTTCTCTCACGCTGACATCCTCTAATGTGAGAGTCAGTCCAAATGTCAAATTCAATTACTATTCAAATCCGACAGATCTTTCTCATTGTGTTAGCGGCATGAAGAAGATTGGTGAACTCTTGAGCACAGATGCATTAAAACCATATAAAGTTGAAGATTTGCCGGGCATAGAAGGCTTTAATATTTTGGGAATCCCTTTGCCAAAGGACCAAACAGATGATGCAGCCTTCGAAACATTTTGCCGAGAATCAGTAGCCTCATATTGGCACTACCACGGTGGATGTCTTGTTGGAAAAGTGCTTGATGGTGATTTCCGTGTTACAGGGATCAACGCATTACGCGTTGTTGATGGCTCAACATTCCCTTACACACCAGCGAGCCACCCTCAGGGCTTCTATCTGATGTTAGGGAGGTATGTTAAATACACTTACTTGCAGCCACTACAAATTCTCAATAATTATTTGGTTGAATGGCTTGTGTTTTTTTAGTTCAATAATTATTTGGTTGAATGGCTTGTTTGTAATTAATGAACTCTATGCCTCATACTCTAGATCTCCATTTTTGTGCCATGGGCAGGTATGTGGGCATTAAAATTCTGCAAGAACGATCAGCTTCAGATCTGAAAATCTTGGATTCCCTCAAGTCAGCAGCATCCTTTGTTTTTTAAACTTGATGAATAACCCATGCGTTTGGCTTCCAAACGGGCTTAGGCTCTTTATATCCCCATGGTTGGTTGTACCTCTTTATTTTGTATGTAATAAATTTCCCTTGTAATGTCGAGACTATCTATAAATAAATAAAATACGAATCCCCTTTTGTAAAAATAAACCCACGAGATCTGACTCAAGTGGGATTAGGGTTTGGCTAGCAAACGGGATTAGGCTCTTTCTATCCCCCATGGTTAGCTGTACCTCTTTGGTTCCTGTGTAATAAATTTCCCTTGTAATATCGAGACTAGAACTCAGAAAGCACATAGCCCTCCACTGCAAAAACAAAAGCAATAAAAAGGCTAATTAAGTACCCTGGTTTTTCAAATAATTAATCTAACAATACAGACCGATGAGACAAACACGATTAAATCACTCATGAAAGTCTGAATTGAGATTCTCCGGTAAGTATTTGAGTTAAGAATTGGTTACATATTTCTAATCTTGGCTATTAGATTGCATTCATTAGATGTGTTGGTAGATTTAATATGCAACATACATACAATCCAACGGTAGAAATTAGAAATAGGTAATCAATTCTTAATATAAAATACTTATTGGAGAATCTTCACATATATATATATATATATATATCTCTGTATAGTATATTACCATAAGCTTGACATGTATATATGATGTTAATCGAAGTAGCAACATTAAGATATCTAATTGTGATCAACAAAATCAACAATTCCTGTGGCTCAGGACAACTAAATCAAACATCGATTGAGTGGTTAAATAATTTTGGATTCAAGTAATTTTTTGTAGGATTGATCTTTAAAGGAATAACTAGAAAATAGACTATTCGAATTATGAAAATACAATGTGAATAGGCCCCACAAAAAGTGTTCTTATCTGAGAAATTCATCAACAAAGCTCTTTGTATATATACATATGTATATTTATAAAATATATTACCATAAGCTTGCTGTATGATGTGAATCGAAGTAGCAGTATATAAGCAAAGGACTCTTTCTGTCTTGTCTTTCCTACGACTCAGAATAAGACAAAAACAGCTCCTCACCGTGAAACACATTGCATGTGTAAGCGTCCACTGCTGCCATAAATACATGCAAATAAAACAATGCACGTCTTTTACTCATATGTTTCATTCTTCTCAACCTCTCCAAGTAATAAATGAAGCAACTGAAAATGATGGGGACTTCGATCTAGTTTGGTCACTTTCCATGCAACTGTTTCACTGTGATTCTTTTCTTTTCTTTTCTTTTCTTTTTGCATTATTCGAAAGTGAGTTAAATTGTAAATTTTGTGTAGGGTTTTGTAGGAGGCTCCTGTCTCAATGTACTAGGGTCACCAACTGGGCGGTCTATTGATTTTGGAGGCGCTATGGAGTAAAAGTTGTGCCCTTTTACGGTGAGCACTAAGCTGCTTTTGTAAATAAATAAAAATTAAAGTTTCACGTTTAGGTGAAGTGGATTAGTTTAAGTAAAAGATGTCCAATATTAAAAGGTAAAGAAGCTAAAAAAAAACTTTAGAAAAAGCATCTGTCAAACATTCGAAAAGTCTTTTATGCTTATGTAATTGCTAAACGAGGTATGTTTCAGCGGAAAAAAGTATTGACTTGCAGATCAATAGTCTCATCTCAGGTTCAAACTCCTTGGCAATGTGTATGTGAGAAAACTCCCCTCCCAAATATTATTTTTTTTTTTTTTTTTTTTTTTTTTTTTTATTGTTTTTTGGATTGTTACATTTAAAAAAACTGATATTATAATTTTGTTTAACTGAAATAAAATCTCCAACTTTAAATTCATAAAAAGCCTTTCCGAAGTCCGAAGGACGGCAAGATGAAATGTCATTCTCTAAACACAGAAAACAAAAATCTAATATACTGTTAGTGTGTGAATGAACATAACAAGAATGAGACTTTTGAATAACACAATCTAGTTGATGTTTTGGATAATGCTCTTTTGTGTTTTAAACTCAATTCTATGTATATGTGGGTTAGACCAATCGGCCAAGGGAGGGTGTCCATCCCTTGTACTCGAGTTCGATCCCCCTCTCTGTATATTAGAGTAGAGTAATTTAGAATATCGATTCGTCAAAAATACAAAAACCAAAAACTCAGTTCTGTTATTAGAGATCGGAGTTATGCCTAATTTCATTTAACTGGAAGTCTTATTAAAAGCAAACATGGTCTGCAATATAGTTAACTATGTCATGCAAATAACTTCATTAAACATTTTTATATTATAAAAAATCAAAAAATCAAAAATCAAAACTACACTATCTCGATCCCATATTGAAAGTGAAGCGGAAATACAATAAAACTGGCACTTGCCAGAAGGTCATCTAGATTGACTATTTGTCCAGTTACTTGTTTTTCCAAGGAAAATTATGTCAACCATTAAGAAAATAAATAAACCATTACCAAATGGTCAATCTCGCAGGAAGAACATATTCTTGAACAAGACATATGAATCTCAAGTGAGGCCCACTTCTATTAGAGAGGTGGTCATCAATGTGGCTTAGGATACTGCTTCCTTCCTTCCCAAGGAGTCATTCTTACTTCCACTAAATTACAGTTTGACACATGCAAAAATAATTCATTAAAAACACAAAAAAGGAAAAAAATATATATATATATATATATATATACGCACACATGTCAAACTGTGATTGGCAGGAAAGTAAAGAGCTCCTACTTCCAGGGAAGGAAGTAAGTATTATCCGTTTATAAATGTGGTAGAAATAGTATTATTGATTATTTAAATGTAAGATGTCATATCAATCACTTAATTATACAACTTGTAATTTATGTCTGCACTATGACAAAGCCCTAATTAATAAAGGTGACAACCAAGATAGTTCGCCTCTTCAATTTTCAGCTAACCAACAGACTTGTTAAACAACGTCCATGTCCAAGGCCACCACCCAAAACAAGAACTAGGATAAGCAGCTAAAAGTAAGGAACACACTAAACTTACAAAAATAAGAGCCAAATAAATATCAATGATGAAATTTTTTACATGTATATCAGCAGTTTACTCCAAAATCGGAACAAAAGAAAAACCAGAGAAGATCAATTGACATAACTGCACTCTTGAATGAAATTTTCGATCAGAAAGTCATTCCCCCCATTCTGACCTGGCTAGGCAGAAATAAGCTTTTAGATTTCCCAAAACCAATGAATCAGCCTCCTCCAGACTTGAGTGTGTTACTCAACCTACAACAAGAAGCATTTCATTCCACTAGGTTTTAGAAACCAAGGAAAACAATTAAAATATTTAAAAATAATGAAAAATAGTAAAAAACAAAGACCTAACAACTCTTTCATCACTACTAACTGTACAGAGTCTTAAAAGTACCTTTACACACAAAAAGAATAAACAGATATATCTATAAATATATAATCATGTGATAAATTAAATGTTCCGGACAGTGCTAGCAAATTGTTCAAATAGCAAAAGTCAAACAGAACACATCATCAAGCAGGACCCAGGAATGTCTTACAATCATAGATTCTAAGAGGGAGTATCGATGAAACTTTTTACATGTATATCAATGATACTCGAGGTTTACTCAAATCGTTATCTACACCGTGTTAACTACTAAACTACCAACTAATGCTTTTGTGGGACCTGCTAATAATGGACCGAGTTGAATTGACCACATAACCCGACAAGAATTTGCACAAATTTTTGCTCTTCATAAAGAAGTCAAGGCAATATGAAATCACATAGATCAGTCTTATCTAGATTTAAAACTGCAGGAACTTTTTTTAACTGTGGATCAAAGTACAGTACATAAATATATAAAACATATATAACTAAAGTGGAAATTAAACAATTGGAAAAAAATATTCTTTTACCAACTGAAATTTTGACATTTTGATGATTAGTAATGCATACCAGTCTAAGCCCTCAAATAGACCTTCCCCTTTTATGGCAGAAGTTTTAAAAATAGCCCACTGACGGTTTTTTATCTTGTGCAACTCTAAAGCCTCAGTTATTGCAGCATCATCAAGCGCACCAGGTAGATCCTACATAAACCAAAAGAAATACAAAAAGAATCACAAAGAAATGAAAATTTTATTGAACTATATTTGAACTTACATAGTCTTGCTGTAATAGAAAAAAGCTTCACTCCTAGAGCCATAGGATGTACGCACTGCCCCTTGACTATTATTAAAAATGGTTGTTCTTTCTTTAACAAAGGCTTTCATACAGTGGTCAGCTTGTGCATGCATTTTTTTTTTCCCTGATGATTAAACAGGGAAGTTTTTGCCCAACCACGCAATTCTTTCTTTTTTTCGGTCTGAACCACGCAATTCCAACAGACAATGGTACTAACCTGCTTATTAGCAAAAATGAGGACAACCGCACCTTTCAACTCTTCCTCCTGCCAAAGGATTCAAAAGCAGTAAGATGACTAATCAAATGCGCTTACAGACAAACAACACAATCAATAAGTAAAGCCAAACAAAATGGGAGGGAAAACAGAGGAACCAATCATAAATTTGACAAATTTGATATTAAAAGAAAAGGAAGAACACGAAAGACAGTAGCACTGTTCCTGAACACTTCAAACATAAAACTAACAAGGGACTGTGAGTATAATTTTTCAATACCAACTCAACACCCTTAGTCCTACAGAATATTCTATTAGAAAACAAGATGAGAAAAAGGGAGGGGTAGGAAGGGAGGGAGGGTGAGAGAGAGAAAAAGATAGAACAATTATGGAATCAACATCCAAGGCAAGGAGTTTGATGTTACCAGAAGTTTCTCACATTGCAATCATTGCCAATTCATTATTAAAATGCCCAAAAGCCCCAAGTAGGTCTGTTTCTATCCCCTAAATAATACTGTTTATTTTGATTTGCTTTCCTTATCTTTCACATATACAGCCACAGAGAAATTACTATAATTACGAGGATATAAATGCAATGATAAATACATAGCACAGAAAAGGCCAATAATTGAAGCACCCAAAATTCACACTAAATTTGCCAATAATTACTTTAAATATACAAATGTAATCCAAAACTAGTTACCTCTAATATTGCATGAAACTCATCTTTCGCTATTACCAGCCTGTCAGTGTCGCTAGAATCAACAACATAGATTATGGCCTGAGTATTTGGAAAATAGCATCTCCAATATGGCCTGTGGCATGAAACCATATAAGAAGCTGGTGAGCTTGTGGTTAACTTAAAAGTCTATGGGAGAAACAATGCAAAAGCAATCCATAGTGGCCCAACAGAACCTATACCTCAAAATTTGACAAATAGAGATTCAGTACCACATGGTAGCATGCTCAAAATGCACATCATACCAAGAAGTTTATTTAAAAATCCTTTTTCGTAATGTGTTACATCCCGCGTATGCTCTGCTTATCGGAAAGAAAAAAAAAAAAAAAAAAAAAAAAAAAAAACAAACACACCTAACCCCTAAGCTATCATGCATACTGCTAATAAAGGGGATTTCCCTCTTTGATGCCCATTTAATGAAAAGACTACAAAAACTCTTAATAACAGTAAAATTAAAAACAAGATGTTTCCCCACCAAAGTTTACTTACATATAAACCTACCATCCTAGTAATTATCTACCCCTTTCTGAATGTAAATAACTCCACTTTTAAGCTAAAGAAAATGGCTATTATAATATATGCCCTTCTTATTCATTGTCAAACCCTATTGTACAAGGACAATTACATATTTTGCATGAAGTTTCTAACAATGTGTGGTTGACATTAAAGAACTCTTAAATTAGATTAACTTGGATTGAGAAACAATATGTCAACATGTATTTACTTTTAAACTAACAGAATCCATCAAAATGTGCACATATTTACACAAAGAATTCAGGCATACAGAACAATCAAAGTGATGTACTAGAGAAACCACACAACAAATGGAAGAGCAAATGGTAATCATACAACACAGCACCATATTGTATCGTAAAACTTCAATCAATCAATCAATTAAAGTTCACAGGGAGTTCGGAAAATAAATCCTGCTCGTGTAAAATACAAGTGCATATTTGCCTTTGAAACTGTAGTAAAGATTACTATTAAAAAAGTGGTCTAATCAAGATTCATTTAGTATATCAGAACATTACAAGGTGTTATCAATTATAATTCTCTTGGAAATAACATACAGAAAAATAATATTAGTATTATCACAAATTAGACAACCATTTGGTCAAAGAGAGAAATACCTGATACTTGTCTGTCCACCTGTATCAACACAAAGTACAAAACTCATCAGAACAAGATAAAATCATGACCCATCTCTTTGAATGAAAAAACAGAAATGACATAAGCAAGAGGTCAGTTGAAAACAAAAATTTTAAACTTATCACATAAAATTACATAAAAGCCGTAAGAGTTATTTTCCACCATCCGGCAGGATATATGTGCCAAAAAGATGATGGCCGTGGCAGACGATGTAGCTTAAAAGAAAATTCTACAACATAAAATAAATTCAAGAAGCGTGAATAACTTCTGAAGGAACAAAAGTAGTGTAAGAAAACTAAACAACAACAAAAAGGTGCGAGACCTTAAAACTAAATAAATAAACCCCTCCAGATAATAATTCTATTCAGTGGTCAAGCTTTTGCATCCTCATAAGCTATCCATCACATTCCATAATAAATAAATAAATATGGAGAGTAAACTTTTACATCACAAAAGTGCATACATTTTCGACTTTATATCATTCATATCAACTTATAAGTTTGTTTTCTGTAAGGACAAGCAGTAACCAGAAAGAGGGAAAAGGGAGGGGGCAGAGTGGGGCAGTGATCAAAGTTAGACCCACTTCATTTAATAACTAACCAATACATTGTTTTGCACATTTTGATAAAACCATCCTTTTATAGTGGTTGCATAAGAAAGCATCTAAGCTAATTATGAATAGCTTGAGTTCAACTCATGCTATCCTTCAATCCAGTTCATTAATTCAAGGCTTAACCGTTCAACAATTCAAGCTGAAAGTTGTCCCAGTAACCCAGGTAGACTAGTAGTAGCTTTTATTTCACGTTAGTATGCGAATAAAATCCATTAATCAGAGTGATTTTAGAAATTTTACACCACCAGTGCACTAATAAAACAGTTGGCAAGCAGTATTTATCACCCCTAATTCCCTTTGAACGACCAGCACACCACATAAAAACCATCTGCACAACTATGTACATTAATTTCATGTGATTCTAACAAGTTTAAATCAGCTTATCATCAAATCCTTTGAAATAGGATCAACCTAAGTCCAAACTGAATAAACCTGACCACAAATCCCCACATTGGTTAAAAGTAAAACCAACTGCTTTGGATTTGGATCTGGTTCTTAGGATCCTCTCAACATGCTCACCCCCAGCATCTGCTTTTCCTAACCCAACAAGGATACATATTAAAAGGAAAATTAGAAGTGCTGGGGACTTAAACTTGAGGGGCAATACATTTAATGGTTGGATTTGGCACAAATGTTGAAATCAATAATTACTTTAAGTGAATCCAGCCATTAAATGCATTCTCCCTCAAATTAAGTCCTCAGGGTGAGCACTACTCCATAGGCAACACCCCGTGAATGGGGTGCTGCCATGGCAACCTTAGTTCTTTTTCTTCTCAATATTGTTCTCCTATGTAATTTCATGCAAGGATACAATTGTAGATAATTTTTACAAAATAGGGGTGGGGTGAGCATTTTGGAGTGGCAATATCACTCTCAATTAACAATTAGAAGCATCCGCACAAAACTGAAAAAAGAAAACAAAATGGTTATCAAGCAGGCCTTAAGAACAGTCCTGTGATCCAGATTTAGAAGTGGATCCTATAGAATTTGAAGGATTTCTGGACACTATGCTTCAAATCTGGCCTGGTAATTCCTTATCCACTACGTACCCAAATTTTACATCATAATTATAAAGATAAGACCTACTAAGATATTAGATAATTATTCAAGTCTTTTACCTCATACAGAATGTTCCCCCTTAAAATTCATACTGACTCTTTAAAATCAATCAAATAAAAGTGCATCCAATTTCTGACTTCAGGTATATTCTTAATATAAGTCACTGTTCTCATACAATATAATAGCAAAGCAGCATATTTCATGTTGTGCCAATTGAAGATAAGGAATAGGGAATATAGCCATACCGAGATCCCAGACTTGGAATTTGATGTTGTTATATTGCACTGTCTCAACATTAAATCCAATGGCTGCATCCAAGTAAAAGAATTGATTCAACAAAATATTCCAATTTTTAAACTGAAGAACATAGTAAGCTGCACAAACTCTCTAGGCTACCATTTACTTGGTAGAGTGACTTCGTAAATCAACAAGAACTGTCAAATATTCAAATTTTCATCATTCTCAAAACTTGGGAGCAACCAAATACTTAAAAATCCATAAACTATCAAAATCAAAGAAACGAAAAGGAATACCAACTTGGGATCGTGGAGACAACCTCCCCCATCTGGAGCCGATCTGCAGAAAATCCAACAAGTAACCCCAAATTAACACAAACCACTCCAAAAAATCAAAATTTATGAATATGGTAAGCGCGGAATGATCGAAATCGTACAGAGAATAGTAGTTTTCCCAGCATTGTCCAATCCAAGGACAAGGATCCGAGCTTCCTTGTTCCCAAACAGGGAAGAGAACATTTTAGTAAACAAAATGCCCATGTTCGTGTTGCGATTTGAATTCCCTCAGCGCATGAATGGGAACAGAGAAACAGAGATCAACTGGGTTTGAGCCTTTGAGGGGTCTGAGATCGGATCTCGAACGCAGAACCCTGTACCTCCCTGCAAAACCAGCAGAGTGTGAAAAGTGTGATCCTGTAGAGAGCGAGGGAGAGAGTTGAGATTTGCATACCTGGGAAAAAAGGAGAGAGGGCCTGCTGAAGAGAATTGTTGAGAATTTGAGGAACCAGTAAAAAGTGTGGTGGAGTGGAGATAGGAATTTTTTTTCTTTTCTTGCTTTTCAATTTTCTCTGAAAAACGAATCGAAATTGAGAAACATGAAAATTGGAAGAAACGCGGGTCTGGACTTTGGACAAATAAATTTGTCCGGTACTTGAAGCGCAGTACATACTCCTTAATTTTCAGTGGGACCGGAAGGCTTACGTGGCAGAATTCTACTGTTTGATGATCATGGAATAAGAACTTTTTGGTTTTCAAGTCAAAAATAAAGGCTAAGGTCATCTCCAGCCATGGGTTATATTCCAAATATAGCCCTAAGGCCACATTTAGTCCGGTTTTGGCCTAGGTCAAATTTTTTGTGGGTCTCATGCATGTACTTTTAAAGAAAATAAATTATTAAATGTGGGCAAGAGCACGAATCATCTTGTGCAAATGCATATCCAACAACCAACAATAAAAGAGCAGACGTCATCAATATATTTTTAAAAGCCTTTTTAAATGTTTTTAATTCGTGTTGTTTGAGAAAATTTTTTAAAAAAGTATTGGTCATAACCATTGGAGGTCAAACTATTGAAACCCAACTTTTTTTAATTTTTTTTAATTTATAAATGTGGTCATGACTGTTGGAGGTCAGACCATTGAAACTCATCCTTTTTAAATTTTTTCAAGTGTTGTTTAAAAAATTATTGGTCATGGAATATTGTCTTTAAATAGTAGATTAATTAAATTAAACAATACATAGTTGTGGAATGCATGAATATTGTACCATAGTTTTTCTCAAAATAATAAAATATGAAGGACCCTAAAATATAGCCCTACATGGCTGGAGATGGAAAAATTTAGCCTTACAATATTCTTCAAAAAATTAATATTTTGGAGGGCTAAATATTTAGCTCTGGACTACATTTAGCCCTATAACTGGAGATGACCTAACCACATTATAGCCCATATAGGTTTGGCAGCTTTATTAAAATGGGTTATGGGGGTTTCAATTTCATCAATGCATCCTAACGTTTTAAGATAAGTGTTGTTAAACGAACTCTAAAATTAATTAAGTACACTCTAATTTCAAACTATTTATTAAATTACTAATTTACCCTAATATAAAATGACCAAAAAAGATATATTGAATTGTGAAACAAATGTAATTTTAATAAGTATATCCTACTCACTATATTCAAACGTCAGCGAAAAATCCTACTTTCAAAAACCTTAGTATTAACTCCAACAATTTGTTTCATCGTTATTTAGTAATCCATTGATGCAAACAAGTCTAATGGTACTTTCGTGAATCTTAATTTATTTTTGGGTGGAATAGATACTAGTGCAACTACAATGACGTGGGCACAATGGCAGAGTAGAAGATCGTCCCATGTCCCATGTCATTGTAGTTGCACTAGAAACATAATTTATTTTTTAGGTGGAATAGATACCGATTGATGAAAAAAGCCCAAGAAGAAGTTAGAAGATGCATTGGAAACAAAGGAAAAATCAGTGAACGAGATACAGATGAGCTTCAATACCTCAAGATGATAATCAAAGAGACCCTGAGATTGCATCCTCCAGCTCCAATGATTATTCCAAGAGAAACCATGTCTCATTTCAAAATCCAAGGTTATGATATTGACCCCAAAACACTTGTCTTTGTCAATGGCCAGGCAATTGCACGAGACCCTGAGTCTTGGAAAGACCCAGAAGAATTCATCCCATAAAGGTTTGATGGCAGATTCATTGATTATAAAGGGTAGCACTTTGAGTTTTTACCATTTGAAGCTGGTTGAAGAATTTGTCTTGGGAGTACATGGGAATAGCAACACTACAGCTTGTACTTGGAAATCTTCTCTACTAGTATGATTGGAAAGTGCCTAATGGGATGAAGGAGGAAGATATCGATGTGAAAGAAAATAGGGTGTACCATGGGTATTTTTGGTAATTAAATAAGGTGTACTTAGTTAATTTTACATTTTGATTTAAATATTAGGGTGTACTTAGATCATAAGGTGTAGTCAGTTAATTTTAGGTTCATTTAACAACAACCTTTAAGATTTGTTCAATTTACACATTTTGTCAATTTGACCGTCTGATGTTTTGTTAAATTGATGATGTGGCAAGTGAGGGACCCCCCTTCGTGCTGATGTGCCAATAAAAAAACAATAAAAATTCCTTAATTTGGTTAATGGGTTAGTGTTATTGGAGGGGTTTGGGTGGAATTGTTAAGGCTTGGAGGGGTTTGCTATGGACCATGTTTGTATATGTGAATTTGCGCAAATCGTATAGACAGCCTTCTCACCATCATCATCATCCACTGCATCCTAGCTCTTATGGGTGGAATAGGGGACGATCCAATAGCCATGGCAATGGAGAAATGGTGATCCTTTAGAGCACTTCCACCAGTTTGTCCTTTGCCATGGCAAGGGAGGACTAGGGCAGCTACTATTCATGTGAATAGTGCTGCCCTTGCAAAAGGTCATGGGCCCCACCTCCTGCTCGGGTCATCCCTTGCTGTTGGAAACGATTTTTGGGCCTAAAACACCCCCCCAACCCTTGTTGCTGGAACTGCTCTTAGAGGCCTCGTAGTGCGAACAAGGCTGGGTTGAAGCTATATGTTCCATCCCCACTGAATCAGCCTTCGTTAAGCAGATAAGGGCTTCAGGTAGTGTTTTAATTAACACAAAGGTGGGTTCCTCACTTGCCACATCATCAACTTAACATAATATTGGACGATCAAATTGATAAGATGTGTAAATTGAACAAATCTTAAGCTGTTAGGGTATAAATTGATGAAATTGAAATTTTGTGGCCCATTTCGATAATGCCCCAAACCTATAATGGGTATAATGTGGTTAGTCTAAAAATAAAAGAATAATTGCAAGATACCAAATTTTATACCAAATTTGAGTCTCAAATAAGATATCATATACCAAATAATCAATTTTCAATTAATTAATTTCCAGATGCATTTATTGATGATTAATTTCATTCCAAAGGAAAAATAAAAAGATATATTGAGTTAACACCTTAATTAATCCAAAAGTTGAAGAACTCATTATCCCACACAACCTGAGCGTGTTTGGTATTCTATTTGAATCCAACTTTTTAAACTTAAAAACAGAATTTGAGTCAAAAACTCAAAGAAATCTATTTGATAATAGAGGTATCAAACGAACTGTGCCAAGCCTGTCTATTTATGAAAATCATCAAGCTTGGCCTGACCCCACTACCTTAGTCCATATGGGACCAGCCTGGGCTCGTGTCGGGTCACTAAACAGGCCGATATGGGCCCTCGCCAAATTTGAGTTACGTATTGCTTTTTTTTGACATCGTTTCAATTTTTTTTTAAATTATGTATATACTAACAAGATTTATTATTTGTTGGAAAAAAAAAAGCCAATAACTTTATTTGAAGTACATGTTAAATAGAAAATAGCTAGATTATTGTTCGGGTTTAAAAAATTCAAACTTCATAAACAAAATCATTATTTTATTAGAGAAAAGAAATAGACTTGAGTTTAAGATATAAATATAATAATATTAAGTATTATTTTTCTCTAAAACAAATATAGTTTAATAAATGGGCTTTAAACAGGCTGGCATGTCCCATTTGGCCGAATTTCCTTGTCCCAGTTCGTCCAAAGATACTGCACATGAGGTGTCGAGCCTTACTTATCGTATCGTGCTCAGGCTGGCCTGGTCCATTTGACACCTCTATTTGGTATGCCTATATTTGAAAACCCATGAGACTTTTTGTGGGGCCTTCTAGGACATGGTTACTAGGTGATTCCCTCTTCAAACTCCCGTCAGGCTTGGCCTCTTTTTTTATTTTTCAATTTTTTTTATACAAGCAATATTAGGAAAGGAATAATCGACCCTAAGACTTCGAGTACATAATAAATATTATTGGATCCCGAGCTTCTACATTTAAGCATTATGTATTTACCGCATTTTGCTCGATTTGAACCATTATAATAATCTAATGATTCAAGATATGACACATCAATTTTTAAATTTTGAGACCCATCTATATAATTAATTCCAACTTAACATCGTTAAGTCTAAATAAATTAAAATTAATAATAATAATTAATTAATAAATAACTATAAACCTATTCGCAGCCACCCATGACATGCCCCGCCCTACCCTACCCCACCCACGGCAACCCACTTTCCTCCTCACAGGCACAACCAACCTTCTCTCTATTTTCTCTCTCTCTCTCTCTCTCTCTCTCTCTCTCACAAGCGTAGGTAGGATGACACTAGGTTTTTAATTTTTTTCTTTATTTTTTTAATAATTATGTTGAGTTAATTAAATAGATAGGTGCCAAAAGTTAAAAACTGATGTGTTATATCTTGAGTCATTAGATTATTAGAATGGTTTAGATCTTGAGAAATACGAGTAAATGCATAGTTGCTAATATAGAGGCTCAGGATCCAATATTGTAAACCACTAAAGCTACAAATTCCTTATAGAGCCGACCTTGTTTAAATTGATAGATACGTGATCAACGGTAGAAAAATATGGTCATCTTCGCATTACTTTTTGTCAAACCTTATTTCGAAGTCACCCTCACTAAGAAAAGTTCATGGCAACATCCATGCATGAGCCCAATAGCTTTCCTATCTTTCAATGCTCGCACCAAAACCAACTACATCTCCATTGTCATAGATGTGCTACCAAGTAGAGCTAAGCTAGGTTTGGGTTGGGTTTTGAGCCCAAACTGAGCACCAAACTGAAAGCTTCGGTGGAGGACTTTCCGAATTGGCACCAAATTGCTGCACCATAAAACTGATGGCATTGGTGTACCGAATAGACGTTCAATTTCGATTCGATTAGGTTTCTAGGGGAGAGCTAGGTGACAAGGGTGTGAGATTTAAGGAGATACTTGTGAAAGGAGAAGAAATGAAGAGAATATGAAGTGGCGACGGTAGAGAAAGAGTGATAGTGAAAAGAGAGCATGGAATAGAAGAGAAAGAGAAAAGAGAGAGGGAGACAAAGAAGAGAAGAGAGAGATGAGGCACATCGAGTAGCAAATATGGACTTAGCTAAGTTGGCTAGAGCAAATGTGATCCCCACTCTACACTTAATTTCAAATCCACCTCCCTATAGTTTAGATTAATTTAAAGTAGAATATCGTATGTGCTTGCCTCCCAAGATCTTCAAGATCGTGGTTTTCTAGGCACCGTTGGATCCTACGAGGAGGCATCAATTCCTAACATTGAGTGTAAGGTTGAAGTCCTCGATCAGAGGCTTGGAGGCCAGCAAAGGATGGTCGTTGATCCCTCGTTAGGTGAATTTTAGGCTTGGGGTGGTTTTGGGGGGGAGGGGGGTTTGTGGAGGTTTGCAAAAAGTGGTTGAGATAGGGTTACTAGGGCTAGGAATTTTGTTGTTTTTTGTTTTTTGGTTTTAAAAATATTATTTTAAAATTATTTTTATTGTTTCTTTTTCTTTCCTAAAATGCCCTTCACGTGGACTAGTTGGACTGGCATGCTAGGATTTGTTATGGGTCCCGCAATTGCCATAGTCAAGAGCGGAGCCAGAAAATTCATCAAGGAGGGTCAACCTCAAATAATAAAATCATCGCAAAACAAGATAAATTTATCTAATAACACAAAGTCTTTAGTAATAACTCATATATGTCATTTAGTAATAATATCAAATTTCAAGATTCAAATAATAAAGAATTGTATAAACATTATTTTTCTTCATTTGAGATAATAAAGAAATCTTTAAAATAAAAAAAAAGTGGTTTTGGGTTAATAATTCTTAAGTTATTAAAGAGAGAGAGAGAGAGAGAGAGGAGAGAGAGAGAGAGAGAGAGAGAGAGCAGCTGGGAACTTCAGTCAGAAGGGTCAAATTTTAAGAATGAATTATAAACAAAGGGTAAGTATAAACAAATGCAGAGTTATTTAGAGAACTTTAGAAGGGTCAGTTGACCCTTGTGGGTCTTCATTGGCTCCGCCATTGGCCATAGTAGCATTTAATGTTTGACCATACGGTCAATCTAAGGGGAAGTGTGAATTAGTCATATTTTGAAATGTTAGGTATCAAATTGATGAAATTGAAACCTGAAGTCCCATTTCGATACGACACCTAAACCTTGATGGAGTAAAATGTCGTTAGTCCAAAAAATAAAAATAAAAACCCTCATTGTACAAAGATATCATCAGAAAAGTGATTACCATAATGGTAAGTTGGCTTAATGCGCAGCTATATGTCATAATTTTGACTAGTTTTTGAAATATTTGACTATTTCCAAGTAGCCGAACGAACCCGCCGTTTGGCAATATTCAAATTGTGAACAAGATTGAATTATTTGGTTTGGTTTGGTTTGAGAACAAATTTTCAAAATAATTATTTAAAAACCAGACCGATTTGACTAGTTTCTCAATGATATATGCCCAGCCCTATTACTAGGGGATCCATATCCTCTGCTCTGATTTTCTCTGCCATGATCTCCTTGACTTTCATTCTCCACATACCACCTCATTAAAATTTAGGGTTTTGTAAGGTGTGAAACTTTCCTTCCACAAGTTAACGGTTTTTTTTTTCTTTTCATATTTAATCATGAGTAAATTGGGTTTTTATTTTTAAGGATGATGAGTCCAGTTTAAATTCTTTATATTAAATTTTAATGAGATGGCATGTGGAAGACGAAAGTTAAGCAGATTATGACAAAGGAAATCATAGCAGAAGATCCATATCCTACTAGGGGTGGACATCGAGACTAAAAAACCAGAACACCGAGCCGTACCGGAAGGGAAAAACTAGAAGAATAAAAAAACCGTGTTGACTAAAAAGTCACAAATTGGACTAGCTCTATTCAAATCGATTACAGTGCCGGTTTCACACCTTACAAAAGCAGACTGGACCAAGTGTGTATTTTTACATTTTTTTTTTAAAGTCCAATGCTAAATTTCTAATCCCATAAATAATATTTTCCTAAGCCCATCTTCAAAGCACCTCTCTTTTCTAAGCCCAATCATTTATCTTTGTATGAAATTGAGTCATTTGTAAATTTTCAAGCCCAACAAATAAAATTTTAATTGGAATTTGTATAAAATAAAATAAAATAAAATTTGGAATATATATTTAAAAAAATCCGGTCCAAAACCGGAAAACTAAAAAACTGCACTGAAATCGGTTTAAACCGGACTGAATCATATCCGTTGAGTAGTATTGCTTCTGATTCCAATGTAAAGTGAAAATTACTAGACCGAACCGTGTCCACACCTACTAACTACCAAGTACCTACCCTTGACTAATTTTACATGGGACACAAACAGCAGCCTGCCTTGTTGAGTTTGATAAATTTATTTGTTCGGAACAAAGACTAATTATTTCGACATAATTTTTCTGCTCCTAGTTGCTCAATTAGTCTGTGTATTTGATAATAAGCTAATAATACTGGCTAACAACAAAGATCAATAATCCACTCCATCGACTCTATGGGTCACAACTCACAAAAGGTTTTCTTCAAGGGGAAGCATATATGCATCTTTCTCTTGGTTGACCATTTACTTTCTAAAGCTTATGCATCTTTCTCTTGGTTGAAGCAGTATGCAGGTGCTTGAGTCACTGAATCTGGCAAAACTGCACCAACCTCAAATGTCATCACCTGACTAGATATTCCTGCAATATGTTATCAAATTTTTAGTCTCTGTATTACATTTATTAGAAAAAAAAACAAATACATATAAGAATAATGTTCTCTTGCTAGATATGTGCAATGTTATGTTATCATACGGTCAATATAGCTACATACGCGTTCATAGTCTCTCTGTATACATCTAAAAAACTAAACAAATACAAATAAGGTAGTATTCTCTTGTCAGATGTGTGATGTTATCTTATAAGACTGTCAATCTAGCAACATAAGTGTTAATAGCATTTCCTGGAAATAAAGGGAAAATGTAAACAAACATTGCAAGTAATTAAGACGAATCACATGCGTACCATCATAGAAATCCCAGCGAACTGGCCTCCTAGTGTAAACATCCTCATAATACCATATAAAATCCACCTTCTCCCACACATTGCAAAGAAACCCATCTGTGACTTCAGTCCCAAGATAGTGTGCCCCATCAAGAAGAAAATCAGGCCTAGGAATGCCAACTTCAAACTCCATAACCTCACATGCTCCATTTTCCCCTATGGTGTAGTAAAACGACGTGCCGTTGTTCCACTCTACGTCATACAAAACCTCACCCAGCTGCTTCTGAAATATATTGACGTTTCGGCCCTTAGGCCAGTCGTACCAGAGGTCACTGAGCTGCAGCTTTGTTGTGCTCAAGTTCATAAACAAAAGTGCATGGAATTGGTCTGGCCATGGGTTGGGCGTTGGGGTTAAGTTTGAGCAAGTGACTAGCTGTAGTATCAGAGAGGTCGTTAAGCATATTTGTAGTGCCAGATTGAGCTGCTTCATCGTTCTCTCTCTGCTTCTTCTGGTGCTGGACCTTTTTTTTTGTCTTTTTTTTCTTTTTGGGGTTCTTATATACAGTTTTGAGTGAAGTGGATAATACAACTGAGCGGTGGAGAAGCAAAGATGTGTTCGCTTTACCCATAAACAAGAAGGGGCCCATCCTACATTAGTTTTTTCTTTTTCTACGGCATGAATTGCAGCTCATTGGGTTACATAGAGAATCATTATTTGTTTATGTTAAATTCTCTAAGCTTAGAAATTGTGTTTTGTTAATAATGTTTACTTACACGGAATGAGAATATTCCAATTTCTGACTTCCTAGAGTAGTTCATCCAATTCCAATTTCTTGATTCTCCTATCTAAGTTCCTCGCTCAAATATATCTTCCCTCATTCCTAATAAGTAAACATGACATAAACTTAATTCCATTATAACTTTACTTGCATTTACTAATAGAGAAAAAAAAATTTGTGATTTCCAAATTATACATAATCAAATATCTGAAAAACCAAGAATTAAATTGGTTAGGATTGATAGTTCATATCATACTATTCCTTTATTCCTAATCACAACTTCCCCAAGTCATGACTAAACTGATTTTAAGTAGACATGTTCCGAATCCACCAAGATTTTCTTTAAGAGGGTTTAAGCATATGCTAAGATCATCGAACTGCACATATTGGTCCAGACCAGAGAGAATACATGCCAAACTATGCTCCATTTCATGCACTAGATATTTCTTGAAATAGAAAGGGGAAACTTCAACAGCAAATGACCAAATCACAGCTTAAAAGCTCAATGTCAACGCTACCATGGACATGAGCATTTTATATCATCCTATGCAAGCAAAATCTGCAACTTCTAGACGGTTACAAGGATCTGAATCAACTGGTTACTAGTATGTTTTTCGGAAACATAGAAAAGAGTGTCCTTTATTGGTAATGATTACAATATATATTATTTTTGTTATCCTACGCTGCGCTGCATGTCTACAAAACCGACTGGAAATGCATCTCCGCAAGTTCCTGAAAAAGATTCCAGAACTTTATTGTTACATTGTATCTCAGGCAAAAATAAACAATCACTGGGATACGTAAAGGAAAGTTCTGTATTTCGTTGATCGAAGGAATTGTTTTAAACAAAATGTATATTTCAAATTACCTGCTTGGCAGAAGGAACTTTGGGTTCACCCCATTCTATGGCCTTCTTCTCAAGATACTCAAAATCACCCTTACCAGCCTGTCCAAGGTGCATTACCGTGCATTAGCCATCTAGGCAATTTAAAACCAAAAAATGAGACGAAGTGTTTGAAAATTGTTACCTCTATATGTGCGCCAATTTCTGTATCGAAACTCTCATACCGCTTGCGAACAAGCTCATCCAGAGAACCATCCTTAATGTTGTAATTCACAAAAGAAGAGATATAATACCATGATTAGCAAGTAGAAACAAATCATAAGATTCGTTGAGAAGTACATAAAGGAGAGTCTGCACACACACAGGGATGCACACACTACCTCAATGAGCTTCACAACATTTCGGAGCCCACGCGCCATGGTATCCATTCCACTAATATGAGCAATGAACAAATCCTCAACGTCTGTGCTTTCTCTCCGTCTAAAGAGGTAAAAAAGAAAAACAATATAAGAGGGCACTTAGGTACCAGCATAACAGATATCACAATATGCAAAGACAAATCAAATGTAAAGACAAACTGACAATTTTGCATCGAAGTTGAATCCTCCTGGTGCAATTCCTCCCTGTGATAAGGGGGGGAAAGAAGGAACACACACACAGATTCAGCTCATGAAATTGCATGCCCAACTGATCACAAGTTCTTAAAACTTAAAACATTAAAGTGAAAAAGATTCATCTCTGACATACATTCTTTACTACAGTGAGCATAACCAGAGTTGCCTCTGCAATATCTGTGAGAAATTGATCTGTATCCCATCCTGTGACAAAGAAAAAATGACCATATTATAAATTTCATTCTTAGATTGGTTCAGTACCAATAAATTCAAAAAAATAATACAAGTATGGTATACCAGTCTGAGGATCTCCAGTGTTTGCATCAATATTTCCTAATAAACCATTGAGTCTTGCAGTTTCAAGCTCATGGTGACAGCTGCAAAGAACACAAAGTTTTTCAAATTTTCTCATGTGTTCACAAAACTCTAGGGAGAAACATGAAGTAAATATTTGCTTCAGATGAGGTAAGACACAAGCTGTGATGTACCTGTGACCAGATAGCGTGGCATGATTGCACTCAATGTTAAGTTTAAATTCTCCTACAAAAGGAAAAGGGATGCCAAGGTTGAGGATTACTTCTGAAAAATACCTTTCAATGGGTTTGCACTTCCAGTCCCAATTTAAGGAAGGATACTACACTGTTAAACAAAACTTTTACATAAATAATTCAAATAAATGGAGTAGGGTGCAAAATGGCATGTCCGACAGGAGTACAAAAACCAAATACAAAACACCTATTGTACCGTATGAAATTCCACAATTCATCTCATTCATACAGCCAACTCTAGAGCTGAAACAAAAACTAAAAGTAACAAAGTTAAGTGACTCGTGAATATAGAGGGTATGTGAAAAATTCACCTATTAGGCCATATTTTCGAAGGAAATTTGCTGATGTTGCAGCATCCCAATCATACCTAACATGATCAACTCATAGGTGTAAACAAACAGATGAGTGTAAACCATATTAAATTACTAAGTAATCAAGCAAGCAGCATACTGGTGTTTGGTAGGTTCTTGAGGCTTGGGTTCAATCAACAGTGTCCCTGAATGGCACCGAAGGGAAAGAAAAATATAAGCTCTCCGAAGCAAAGCAATTCATGAAAAAAAATAAAAATTAAACAAATAAAAATTCAAAAGGAGTGTTGAGAAATCATTCATAAAATTCTCAGTAAATGTGAAAAACTAAGTCAGTTATAAAACTATCTGGTATAATGCATTGGTATAAATTTAGCACAAGTATACCATTGTATCCAATTTTCTTCTTGTAGGCAACTGCAGCTTCAAGAAACCGTGCCTGTAAATACAAACAACAGCTCATGCTAAGTAATGAGGAAGGCATCATTATGAAAACAATGAATAGATCACAGTAATATGGTAGCATAAATAAAGCAGATCCCTTGGTAGGTTTGCACTACAGTTGCCAAAAGATGGTTTACTCGAGAAAAGTTGAATTCTTATCAAGCCAAAAAACAAAAATTAATTAAAAGAGACGGAAGATGAATGCATAAATGAAAGGAAGCTCATAGTTTAAAATATCTGCAAATAAAACACACCAGATGATCAAGCTCTCGTCCCATGTCAGTATTCAAGAGACTCTGGTAACCCTCACGGCCACCCCAGAAGACATAATTTTCGCCCCCTAAATAATGTGTGACCTGCAGGATATGTAACACATCACAGACATTTCAAATAAATAACAACATTACAAATTTACATACATGCAAACAATTAACTTTATTAATTGTTATTACACACACCAACACCCACCTCAATGGCTTTCTTAACTTGAGCAGCAGCATATGCATATACACCTACTTCAGGGCTGTAAAGCATGTTGAGTTATTAGTCCATGCAATGAGTCCAAGAACAGAGTATATTAAATATTTAATACAAAGATTACCTTGTAGCACCACCATGCATGTAGCGAGGATGCAGAAACAGCTGAGCTGTGCCCCACAAAGGTCGAATTTTGCTTCCCTAAAGTCACATAACAAGGAATTTAAATGAGGGAGATGACTTCTTATACTTGAAACATATGTACACAAACAAGTTGGCATCTATAGAATAGACAAAGGTGTTGAAAACAATGAAAATGCTAAAATAAGAATGCTGGTTTTGTGAATACTTAAGACATTTTACATTTTTCACTTCACCTGGTTAGCAATTAAGTATAGAAAATTTTGACTACCAAGGGGTTTTGGAGGTAAAGTACAATTGACTCCATTTGCAAAGGTTTTTTTTTGGTCGTAATCCATTTGCAAAGTAAAGTGACTAGAAAAGGAACATCAAACAACCTACGAGCCCTGGCTAAATTGCGGTCAAAGATTTAAGTATTTCTGTCATGTCTTTAAGCCTTTGTAACAGAACTCCAATTTGCATGAAAAAGGATTGCCTTTATAATTTATGTGAATTGACTCATATAATCAGTTCCTGATACCTGAAGCTCCTTAGCAAGGGCCACCACTTCATCCAAGTTTTTGTTAGATTCCTGTAACAATCATACAAGGTAAATGAACACTTTCCAGTTTTGGGTCATCTGTACTTTCTATGAAAAAAAAAATTGTAATCTCCCATCTCATACCTTCTTTGCTCACATTCTAAACAGTGTCATAAATTTCAGCAGTAAAGTAACCTTAAAAATTGACTCACCTCCAAGGTTTCTCCATCAGGAGCTATATCCCTGTCATGGAAACACCACCTATCGACTCCAAGCTTGTTTATGAACTCAAAGTTGGCTCTCACTGCATTTTCAGGTACACAAATATAAATATTTCTTTAGTTGATATATTCCTCAATGCCAAATGCAGAAGATTTAAATAACAGAGAATACTCTTACTTCTTCTTTTGGCCATAGCCACAGAATTAGTTCCATCCTCCCATGGCCAATTCTTTGTAGGTGCACCAAATGGGTCACCTCCTGTTCCACGGAATGTGTGCCAAAATGCTACACTAAACCTCAACCAATCCTATGATTGTCAAAAAATCAGTCAAAAACCATTAACTGCTTGATAAATTCAAAACTTATTAGAGAGAAGAACCAACCTTCATTTTCTTCCCTAGAATTTCCTCTTCCGCATTATACCATTTGAAGGATAGGGGGTTCTTGCTAGACGGGCCCTGAAAGACGAAAAATATGTATGGTGTATATTTGGTGGAAGATAACCACTAAGGTTCGGCATTCATAAATGCAACAGCTTTGTAATGAAAACTTTCTTAAATTAATAAGAAACAAAATGAAAATTTGGCCAAACAAAAACAATAAAGATATTTTTTTTATTAAGAAAAATCATAAAGAAATTCGATGTAATCGTTCCTCAAAATCAAGTTAACTGAAAAAAATGTGTAACTTATATGAATCTCATGTGTATAGGAGGAAATTATTCTAAACAAAAAAGGTCTATAAAGATAAGAGAAATGTTTCATAAGTCTTTCTACCTCATACTTAATTTTGGGAATTCCAGGGAAATATTCCCCTTTCCATTCCTCAGAATCACTACACCCACTTTCAAGATCCGATGCAGGACATGTTTGCGGAACAGCAATCTGCGTTGAAGACAAAAGGGATGACAACAAGAAAAATTTCTAGTGGAAATAATGTTTAAACAAAAATATATACGTATATATATAAGAAAATATTGTAGGTAGAGGAAGACGCTTTACCACTCCAAAGGTAACCACATTCAAACAAAGAACAAGCAACAATATCCTCCCAGCCTTCATTTTCATTGTCTCATGCAAATACCTCTGCAATATACAAAACAGACCAACCAATTGATCATTTATCATAATTACGAATATACACACAAATCATAATTGTATTCTGGGAAAAACCCATTATCAGTTTCACACAAAACCTCTCTCTCTCTCTCTGTCTCTCTCTCACCTAGAGACCCCATACAGAAATTTAGTGAGCCCTCTGTGGAGAGCTCAGTCATATAAAACTCAGAAGGACGACTGATCACCACCCATCAATTAATAAACTCACACTTCTATGAGAAATTTGGGGTAGACCCACAATCATAATAACACAGAGGCAAACATTTATTCAATTATAATGGATACCCATCATCAAAATCAGCACATAATAAAAAGATGGGTTTCCACCAAAACTTAAAATATTTGATCATCAAAGCAGAAAGGTTCAAACTTTAAAGTACCCAAAGCCTAGACTACTCACTTGTTCTTAATTATCATATCCAACAGTTTCATCGAAAACAAAAGGCAGTTGAAAATCAACCACACAAGGCTCAGAGTATTGTCTACAAAAACAGAGAGGGAGAAGAAACTTACAGAATGAGATGGGCTCTCTGCAAGTGCTAAAGAAACAAAGTCTCTGTATATATATATATATTATATGACTGGTTTCCCTAAATAAATGCAGAAATTTAATTTCCAATTAGTTCCAAATGGGATTAGATTAGCTCACCCTTATCCTTCCATAGCATTCAGGACGGTTCAAACTTGCAAACCATTTGTTACATGTGTTTTGATTTACCAGTTTACCCTTCTGGTTGCTGCTTGTTAGAGATAATAACAGTGGTAAATGTGTCACTTGACAAGATGATCTTTTGCCTATGATCTCGATTCTCGAACAAAATCAGGATGCCATGCCAACAAAAACAAAAAGTACAAGGATTATCTGAATGTGAATGATAACATTACACGTGAGGAGGTAATTGTATCACAGGCAAAATTTCATTGGACAGCTGCTTTTATTTCTTGTTGGTGATTAAACAATTGGTCTTATCGTATAAGTCTTATCCGTTTTTATCTTATAGAGGCAAGGATCATTGTCTGACTCAGCGGTGACGATATCAAATTATCAATAGCCAAAACAGAACGCTAATTAATTTGATGATTTGGGGGCTTATTTAGCAAGCAGTTATTTTCTTTTCTTTTTTTAAATTAACGGTAGGCATGGGTTTTAAAGACTCTGTTTGTTTTAATATGGCCCTGCTTGTTCAGATTGAATGGAGATTGATCCTGGAGTCCTTGTTTCGTTGGCTTATGCGTGACAAGTAATTTGTCGATGAAGGTAGGGAAGTAGCTCCTTATGAGGAGGGATTTATTCTAAGGGTATATTAATAATTAAAAATTAATTAAGAATCGGATTGTTACACGACAGTATCGTGTACTATAATGAAATGGAGGAATGGGTTCTTATTATTCAAGTGTAGGTGATAGGTTACACACTAGAAAGATAAACTCTATGTTTCTTACAAAATGACTCACACTTCAAATTTATAACGAACTCTCTTTGGCGCATCTGAGGCTAAATGCCTCAATAACCCAGATCTACACAATTTTATCTCTCTATGTGTAACCCCTACAAAATCTCTCTCTCCCTCTGTGATCCGCCCTTACCCTTTGGATGTAGCATACAATCTTAAACGTGTGTTGTTGTGTACCTCTCGGAAGATGTGTAGAGCTCTTACTCAGGTGCTTGCTGCAACACCTCCTTCCTTTCTTAGGTTGCTTGTTCATTTGGCTATGAGTTATGTTTTTGGCTAAAAGTTACTTTTGGCCCCTGTAGTTTGGCACTTCAACCACTTTTGACCCTATAGTTTCAATTACATCAATTTTGACCATGTAGTTTCGTATTTGTAGCAATTCAATGACAAGTTAATATTCCTGTCAATTTCTTTGACGGTGCAAAGGGCAATTTCCTCAACCCAAAATCCATGAGCATAGAAGCTCGTATGAAACTTCCCTAATTTCATATTAGGGCTTGAAATTAGTCATTTGGATTTAGGGTTCTTCAAAAATTGGGATTAGTGGTTGAATTTCGAGACCTAATATGAAATGGGGAGAATTTCATACTAGCATTTACACTTAAGGGTTTTGGGGTTGACGAAATTTCTCCTTGTATTGTTAAAGAAATTGACAAGAATACAAACATATCCTTGAATTGCTACAAATACGAAACTACAATGGCAAAATTGACAGAATTGAAACTACAGGGTCAAAAGTGGTTGAAGTGCCAAATTATAAGGACCAAAAGTGACTTTTGACCTATGTTTTTCCATGGTTGTTTTTCTATTGCTTGCTGCATTCATATGGGTGCTTAGGTGGTTTCCTTCAGACCCCAAAACTTGGAGTATGACATGTGTAGTGGATTAAATTGGTTATTAACTAAACATCAAGTGAGTAAGTATGAAAGAGAAACAGATCACACCAAGCAAGAACAACTTAGTAAGTTGCAATTTACAGACTTAAAATATCCTAAGCTACAAGTACACAAAAGGACTTGCAGTCCCCCAACACAAACACCATAAGTAGAGTACCAAACCACCTCATATTTACACCCTCAACAAAGCAGTTTTGCAAGTAACATAACAAAGATGTCAAAAAAAGCTGGATCATGTATTCATAAGCTCTAGTCATCGGTCACGGCAACCGCCTCGAATTGTGGCCACCGAGTAGACCACAGACTAACCCTGATTAGGTTTGGGTTCTTTCACCCTAGGGAGACACAATTCCTTCTTATTCCATTTCCTTATGTCTAACCTTCTCAAAACACTTTAAAACGCACAACAGTTCAAATTACTCCTTTCTCCAAAACCTTTTTTCCTCCCAAGCCTTCGAAGTACTTTCTTTGTCAAAACCACATTAAACTTGGGCTCATAAAACACAAACCACTACCACAGTTTTCAAAAAAACTTCATACAAAACACAATCATCTTGAAAAGTGATTCAACAACACATATTGCAGGAATATGCTAGTCAGGTGATGACATTTGAGTTTGTGCAGTTGAAGAGTCCATTGACTCAAGCACCTGAATACTGCTTCAACCAGGAGAGGAAAGATGCATAAGCTTAGAAAGAAATGGTCAACCAAGAAAAAGTGCAAAGCTACCCCTTGAAGAAAAAACCTTTGTGAGTTGTGACCATAGAGTCGATGGGTGAATTATTGATCTTTGTTGTTCAGCGGTCTTATTGCTTATATCAAATACACAACTAATTAGAGCAAACTGAGGTGACAGAAAAATTAGTTCGAGAAATACATTAGGTTCTTGGTGTAATACAAATAAATTTCACTCACAAATATCATTATCAACGCAAGGGCAGGGTCACAGAAAACTCTCTTAAATGTTCGTTTGAGTACCATGTAAAATTAGGTCCAGAGGGTAGAGGTAACTTGGTAGTTTAGTAGGGTAGTGGAGACAACGGTTCGGTCGTCAGTATGTACTTTCACTTTACAATTTGTAAATCAGAAAGCAATACTTATCATCGAATCAAAATCACGGACTGTAATTCAGACTACCCAGGGTTTTTAAACCGATTTTCAGTAGACAGGCTGACTTTTTGGATTTTTCCACGCAGGTTCTTGGACCGCGGATATTTTTTTACATAATATGATATTCCGAACGTTTTTAATCTTATATTCTACTAGTTCTGTATAAAGGAATTCCAATTTAAGGGTAATGTTGTTTATAAGTGGAGCTTCGAGACAAACTACAACTGGACTGCTCCTACTGATAGCTGCTTTACATACAAAGATAGACCCTACCAAAATGATATAGAGAGAACCTTTAGGAAAAAGAGGAGGATGGTTTCTGACTATTGATCAGAACTCTCGGTGAGACAGAGCCTTTCTTTTCTTGTTCCTTTAGTGCCAAACCATACCTTATTCTAGTGGATTTCTTTGATCACACCCCCCCCCGCCCTCTTGCTTTTTAGTTTATTTTTTTTGTCCTTTGGACACGGTTGTTTTTTTAAGTAAAACAAAAAAAAAAAATAAACAACAAGAAAAAATAGTAAAATAATAACACCATAAGGATGACCGAGGCTAAGGAATTGATTTGAAGGCATTAGGTAAGGTAGTGTGTGCGAGAATGGGTTGGGTCCAGTGCAGTGCATCCTTGATGTAGCGCGTGATGTGGGATCACTGGGTTGGGAGTGGAGGGATAGGAAGGTTGAATACCGTGCACTTAGTAGGTGTTTTTTTTTTCTGTCGAATAATTGAAAATAATATTGGGAGGCGTAAAAGTCCAATTGTGAACTTTAGTTTTATTTTTTTTTGTTTTTATTTTTTTGTTTAGTCAACAAAGTGAAAGCACGGTTTTTATATCTTCTAGTGTTTTGTTTTTTTTTTTTTATTTTTTTGTATTTTTGATTTTTTTATGTTTTTTTTTATTTCTGCTATTTTTTGTGAAGTTTATTTTTTTTTTTTTCGTTGTTTTAGTTATTTTTTTTATTTTTTTTTTAGTTTTTGATTTTTTTTGATTTAAGTTGTTTTGTTTTTTTTTTTTTTTTTTTTTTTTTATTATTTGGTATGCCCTATTCACCAGTGGCGAAGTACGAGGGAGGAGGCAATACATAGGGTAATGTAGTGAATATATAATGATTACGAATTTCTGGTATTATTTTTTTATAATATATTCGCGTCGAATGCAGAAATAAATCCACACAAGAAACAAAAAGAAGTAGGGGGCCTCAGGTAGAGGGGGAGAAGAGAATTAAAATAAGGATCTGGAATCATCATGCTATTGATCCTTTGTCATAATACTGAAACTAACTTTCAGTGGATAAATCGTCATAAGTACATCCACAAACATAAATGGGGGCACAGGCTACATTGAAAAAATTTAATATAAGAATTTAAAACTGATCATCATCCTAACAAAATAAAAAACCCACATTTACTCATGATTAAAATATGAAAAGGGAAAAAAAAGAAAACCGAGTATTAAACTTGAGGAAGGAAAGTTATCACACCATTACACAAACCCTACCTTTTCGATGAGGGGACGCAAAGGGGGTATTTGGCGAAATAGAGCAGAGTCCAGGGGAGCGGGGCGGATGACATGGCAGAGGGAGGAACCGGAAGAGAAGGGGGAGCAAATAGAGAGCAGAAGGCGATATGGCTCCAACCAGTCATCGGAAAAGAGGCTGGGACGGACAAGATAAGAGCATAGGAGAAGAAAATCGTTCAAATGGGTCTGGTTTTAAGATAATTATTGAAATTTGACGTTACTCAAACGCAAAACCACAAACGCACTAATTCAATCTTGTTCACAAATTGAATATTGCCAAACGGCGGGTTCGTTTTTTTTTTGGTGGGCTACTTGGAAATAGTCAAATATTTCAAGAAAACTAGGCAAAATTATGAACATTAGCTGCGCATTTAAGGCCAACCTTTACCATTATGGTAATCACTTTTCTGATGATATCTTTGTTACAAGGGGGGTTTTTATTTTTATTTTTTGGACGAACGACCATTTTACTCAATCAATTAAAGGGGTGCGTATCGAAATGGGAATTCAGGTTTCCTCATTTTCAATCAATTGATACATAAGTTTCAAATATGACTAATTCACACTTCCCCTAGATTAGACCGTATGGTCAAACATAAATGCTACTATGGCCAGATGGCGGAGCCATGAAGACCCACAAGGGTCAACGGACCCTCTAAAGTTCTCTAAATTAACTCTGTGAATTTGTGTCTAAGATACCCTTGTTTTAATCATTCTATTAAAATTTGCCCTTCTGACTGAGAAAGTTCGCAGCTGCTCTCTCTTTTTTTTTTTTTTTTTTTTTTTTTTTTTTTTTTTTTTTTTTTTTTTTTTTTTTTTTTTTTTTTTTTTTTTTTTTTTTTTTTTTTTTTTTTTTTTTTTTTTTTTTTTTTTTTTTTTTTTTTTTTTTTTTTTTTTTTTTTTTTTTTTTTTTTTTTTTTTTTTTTTTTTTTTTTTTTTTTTTTTTTTTTTTTTTTTTTTTTTTTTTTTTTTTTTTTTTTTTTTTTTTTTTTTTTTTTTTTTTTTTTTTTTTTTTTTTTTTTTTTTTTTTTTTTTTTTTTTTTTTTTTTTTTTTTTTTTTTTTTTTTTTTTTTTTTTTTTTTTTTTTTTTTTTTTTTTTTTTTTTTTTTTTTTTTTTTTTTTTTTTTTTTTTTTTTTTTTTTTTTTTTTTTTTCTCTTCTGTTTGGCCATTAGCCAAAAAGGAAAATAGTGTCCATTTCCTTCCCCCTGGGCCAATCTTTGTAGGGCAACCAAAAAAGGGGTTGGGTCCCACATTCCGGTCAACGGGGGAATGTGTTGCCAAAAAAAATGGATTACATAAAACCTCAACCAATCATTGATGTCAAAAAAAATTCAGTCACAAAAAAAAAAAACCCATTAAACTTGCTTGAGAAAACATTCAAAAAAAAACATTTATTAGAGAAGGGGGGTGGAAGAACCAAAAACCTTTCATTTTTCTTACCTAGGGAAATTTTCCTCTTCCGGCCATTATTTTACCCATTGAAAAGGGGGAATAAGGGGGGGTTTTCTTGCTAGGAAGGGGGGGCCCTGAAAAGACGGAAAAAAATTATGTATGGTTGTAATAATTTGTGGAAGGGCGAATTCACCACCCCACTAAAGGTTTCGGGCAATTTATTTAAATGCCAACCAGGGCTTGTATGAAAAAAAAACTTTCCTTAAAAATTAAATACAAAAAGGAAAAAAAACAAAAAATGAAAAAAAAATTTTGGGCCAAAAACAAAAAAACAAATTAAAAGGGGATTATTTTTTGTTTTTATTAAGGGGGGAAAAAAAAAAAATCCATTAAAAGGGAAATTTCAGGAGTAACAAAATCGTGCTCAAAAAAATCAAAGGTTTAAAAAATGAAAAAAAAAAATGGTGTACTATATTTTTGGGAATCTTTATGTGTATAGGGGAAAATTTTATTTAAAAAAAAAAAAAAAAAAAAAGGGGTTTTTCTTTAAAAATAAGAGAAACATTGTTTCATAAGCTTTCTAAAAACTGCTACTTAAAAATTGTGGGGGAAATTGCCAGGGGAAAATATTCCCCTTTCCATTCCTCAGGAATCAACTACCACCCCAACTTTCAAGATCCGATCAGGACATGTTGCGGGGAACAGCAATCTGCGTTGAAGACAAAAGGGATGACAACAAGAAAAAATTTCTAGTGGAAATAATGTTTAAACAAAAAATATATACGTATATATATAAGAAAATATTGTAGGTAGAGGAAGACGCTTTACCACTCCAAAGGTAACCACATTCAAACAAAGAACAAGCAACAATATCCTCCCAGCCTTCATTTTCATTGTCTCATGCAAATACCTCTGCAATATACAAAACAGACCAACCAATTGATCATTTATCATAATTACGAATATACACACAAATCATAATTGTATTCTGGGAAAAACCCATTATCAGTTTCACACAAAACCTCTCTCTCTCTCTCTGTCTCTCTCTCACCTAGAGACCCCATACAGAAATTTAGTGAGCCCTCTGTGGAGAGCTCAGTCATATAAAACTCAGAAGGACGACTGATCACCACCCATCAATTAATAAACTCACACTTTCTATGAGAAATTTGGGGTAGACCCACAATCATAATAACACAGAGGCAAACATTTATTCAATTATAATGGATACCCATCATCAAAATCAGCACATAATAAAAAGATGGGTTCCACCAAAACTTAAAATATTTGATCATCAAAGCAGAAAGGTTCAAACTTTAAAGTACCCAAAGCCTAGACTACTCACTTGTTCTTAATTATCATATCCAACAGTTTCATCGAAAACAAAAAGGCAGTTGAAAATCAACCACACAAGGCTCAGAGTATTGTCTACAAAAACAGAGGGAGAAGAAACTTACAGAATGAGATGGGCTCTCTGCAAGTGCTAAAGAAACAAAGTCTCTGTATATATATATATATTATATGACTGGTTTCCCTAAATAAATGCAGAAATTTAATTTCCAATTAGTTCCAAATGGGATTAGATTAGCTCACCCTTATCCTTCCATAGCATTCAGGACGGTTCAAACTTGCAAACCATTGTTACATGTGTTTGATTTACCAGTTTACCCTTCTGGTTGCTGCTTGTTAGAGATAATAACAGTGGTAAATGTGTCACTTGACAAGATGATCTTTTGCCTATGATCTCGATTCTCGAACAAAATCAGGATGCCATGCCAACAAAAAACAAAAAAGTACAAGGATTATCTGAATGTGAATGATAACATTACACGTGAGGAGGTAATTGTATCACAGGCAAAATTTCATTGGACAGCTGCTTTTATTTCTTGTTGGTGATTAAACAATTGGTCTTATCGTATAAGTCTTATCCGTTTTTATCTTATAGAGGCAAGGATCATTGTCTGACTCAGCGGTGACGATATCAAATTATCAATAGCCAAAACAGAACGCTAATTAATTTGATGATTTGGGGGCTTATTTAGCAAGCAGTTATTTTCTTTTCTTTTTTTAAATTAACGGTAGGCATGGGTTTTAAAGACTCTGTTTGTTTTAATATGGCCCTGCTTGTTCAGATTGAATGGAGATTGATCCTGGAGTCCTTGTTTCGTTGGCTTATGCGTGACAAGTAATTTGTCGATGAAGGTAGGGAAGTAGCTCCTTATGAGGAGGGATTTATTCTAAGGGTATATTAATAATTAAAAATTAATTAAGAATCGGATTGTTACACGACAAGTATCGTGTACTATAATGAAATGGAGGAATGGGTTCTTATTATTCAAGTGTAGGTGATAGGTTACACACTAGAAAGATAAACTCTATGTTTCTTACAAAATGACTCACACTTCAAATTTATAACGAACTCTCTTTGGCGCATCTGAGGCTAAATGCCTCAATAACCCAGATCTACACAATTTTATCTCTCTATGTGTAACCCTACAAAATCTCTCTCTCCCTCTGTGATCCGCCCTTACCCTTTGGATGTAGCATACAATCTTAAACGTGTGTTGTTGTGTACCTCTCGGAAGATGTGTAGAGCTCTTACTCAGGTGCTTGCTGCAACACCTCCTTCCTTTCTTAGGTTGCTTGTTCATTTGGCTATGAGTTATGTTTTTGGCTAAAAGTTACTTTTGGCCCCTGTAGTTTGGCACTTCAACCACTTTTGACCCTATAGTTTCAATTACATCAATTTTGACCATGTAGTTTCGTATTTGTAGCAATTCAATGACAAGTTAATATTCCTGTCAATTTCTTTGACGGTGCAAAGGGCAATTTCCTCAACCCAAATCCATGAGCATAGAAGCTCGTATGAAACTTCCCTAATTTCATATTAGGGCTTGAAATTAGTCATTTGGATTTAGGGTTCTTCAAAAATTGGGATTAGTGGTTGAATTTCGAGACCTAATATGAAATGGGGAGAATTTCATACTAGCATTTACACTTAAGGGTTTTGGGGTTGACGAAATTTCTCCTTGTATTGTTAAAGAAATTGACAAGAATACAAACATATCCTTGAATTGCTACAAATACGAAACTACAATGGCAAAATTGACAGAATTGAAACTACAGGGTCAAAAGTGGTTGAAGTGCCAAATTATAAGGACCAAAAGTGACTTTTGACCTATGTTTTTCCATGGTTGTTTTTCTATTGCTTGCTGCATTCATATGGGTGCTTAGGTGGTTTCCTTCAGACCCCAAAACTTGGAGTATGACATGTGTAGTGGATTAAATTGGTTATTAACTAAACATCAAGTGAGTAAGTATGAAAGAGAAACAGATCACACCAAGCAAGAACAACTTAGTAAGTTGCAATTTACAGACTTAAAATATCCTAAGCTACAAGTACACAAAAGGACTTGCAGTCCCCCAACACAAACACCATAAGTAGAGTACCAAACCACCTCATATTTACACCCTCAACAAAGCAGTTTTGCAAGTAACATAACAAAGATGTCAAAAAAAGCTGGATCATGTATTCATAAGCTCTAGTCATCGGTCACGGCAACCGCCTCGAATTGTGGCCACCGAGTAGACCACAGACTAACCCTGATTAGGTTTGGGTTCTTTCACCCTAGGGAGACACAATTCCTTCTTATTCCATTTCCTTATGTCTAACCTTCTCAAAACACTTTAAAACGCACAACAGTTCAAATTACTCCTTTCTCCAAAACCTTTTTTCCTCCCAAGCCTTCGAAGTACTTTCTTTGATCAAAACCACATTAAACTTGGGCTCATAAAACACAAACCACTACCACAGTTTTCAAAAACTTCATACAAAACACAATCATCTTGAAAAGTAGATATAACACACATATAGGGTCAAACTAAACGTATTGCGGAATTAGAATCAAAATAATAACAAATCCTTTATTACCCCTACCTCAGAGGTTTACAAACAGCTGCAAGTAACACCAAATAGCAAATCATACCCAGAGCTCTTTCTTGTTTCCTTCCAACCTAATCACATGTCCTGAAGTTATGAAGGGATGAGAGAAGGATAGGTTTTTCTGAAAGTGCAAGAGAAAAGAGAAGATAAGTGGAGCAGTTTCTATGTGAAGAAGAAGAGAATGGTGCAAATGAAGAGAGACAAGGATCTCAGCATAATAGAAGCAAATAGCTCAAGAGTTCCAAAAATTATTCTCACCTCCTCAAATCTTTCCTACCATGAGTTGCTTGATAAATAAACATGACACCTAACCAAGTAGGTGACAAGGATGAAGTTTTGAGCATTTCATAACTTAAGCACATAGGGGATTAGAGTTGGCTTTTGACCACATTAAAATATACTTATAAGCAAACATCTCAATCATGGAATTGTAAAACTAAAACAAAAACTCAATGAAACTTAGAGCATCTCCAAGGCATATGTTATATCCAACGTGGCACTTTTAACATGTTGAAAAAACAGCTGAGACTCACTTCAACCGAAATGTTAAATCCTACGCATGGTGGCATGGAATAACATTTCTCTCTCCTGCTGTTATTTTTGGTTGTTTGACTTTGTGATGTTATTTCATTATTTTATTATTATTTTTTAATTAATGTGCTTAGAAACTAATAAACAAATAAACATTGTAATAAAATAATATTTTAATTTGACATATCAGGTGGAGTGTAAAACTCTATTATATGTCAAATTGCCACATTAAATCAAAATCAAATTTAATGTTTGATATTTGACATCTCTAAGCTCTTAATATATTACACACTCAAATAGAAATTAAGCAGATAGAATGCATGAGCAATATAGTAGTAGTCATGTTACCAAAAACAAGATATGCCTAAATTTCTCTAATAGGATCTTATTGAGCTTGCTTTATATACCCATATTCTATTTTTTCAAGTTTATTGAAACTTGCTTTCATGTCCAAAAAAAACTTATGACAAACAATAAGGGTTTTGTAGCTTAGGTGGTTAAGAACCTTTACCTATGCACTTGAAGTCCTAAGTTCGAATTTCCCTTCCTCCAATATCGCTCGTACAAAAAAAAATTACTTATAACGGACAAAGTCCCTCATAAGCTCCTAACATGGCTAGATAGTTGTAATTGGGCATAAATTCAAAGCTCATTTGTGTGGGGTCGAGAAATCTCATTTGGCCCACTTGTTTAGTGGCTTAGGTTTTGAAGTTAGCCATTTGTTCATGTATGTAAGTATTTATTCTCATTTTATGGTGTGTGCGCCTCAACATTTGGTAAGAGAAACTCTCTCTTTTGTTTGGGTGGAGATCACCATTTGGAAACATTTGAGAGAGCTATAAGCATCTAAAGCGAAGGCAGTGTGACTCACATCATTTGAAAGTGACGAAAATCTTCTGTTTTTTTTGGGATGAGTACCACACTATCTCTTATTTCTCTTTGGTTGATTGTTTGTTGTAGCATTTTGAGAGAAAATATCATTTTTCCCCTTTTGTTTCAGCTACTGCAAATTTAGTGTTGTTCTCCCTTTTGATCTTTGGATTTGTGAGCAAGAATTTGAACTTTGTTCTTGGCTCATTTGCACGAAAGTGATTTGGATGTTCGTGGGATTCGAGTTTTTGAGAGTTACACTCTTTTGTAGTCTCCTTTGTTATCAGTGCAATTTCCTTGCAGTCTTCAAATTGGACCTCCTAGGCTAAAAAGCTAAACCATTATAAACCTCTATGTGTTGCAGGTTCACTTGTTTTTGTCATATTTTGCCTATACTTGATATCCATCTTATATCTGACGCTTCTAATTCCACACAACATAGGTCCTCCATCGAGAACACATTAGCAGATGAGAAAACCAAAGAAATATATTGACTCTTTCCTTTGTTGTATGTAAACAACATCAACCATACACACGAGAAAAAACAGCATAAAGTCCATTTGCTTTATATAGATGAATAAACTTGGCTTTAGGCCTTTCGAATCATATTCTTTGAACTGATTGATGAGTCTTATTGATCATATTGGATTTGATTTATAATTTTTGTTCTTTCGCCCTTGCTATGCTCTTGGAACATGTTTGGTTAACGAAAAGGAATTGATGGGAAATAGAGGATTCTTTCTCATGTTCAATTTGTGGAGGAACTTGAAACACATTTTGTTTAGTTTTTAATTTATACACGTAAATTAAAAATATGCAATAAAAAATTTAATTAATGCAGGTCTTGGTATTTTTAATTGTTATTAAGGCAAGATTTGTCATAGAAATTGTTGATACCAAATATGAATTGGGCCTGCTCATAAACAAAGTCTCTCAACTTAGGAAAGTGGATGGGCTCAAAAGGCCAAAAACAAGGCCCAAAAACCTCTTAATACTCATGCGGTCGGGGCCTAAGGACAACATGTGGAATAAATTGCCCATAGCGAGCCTAGCGCCTGCGTGCTTCGCCTTAGAAGCCCACGTGTTGCTCCATTAGAGCACTTTCACCCATTTGTCATAGCAAATGGTAAGGGCAATGCAATGGCTGTTACTATTCACGTGAATAGTGGCAGCCCTTGCAAAATGCTTGTTATGTTTCCATTCATTGCCATGACAAAGGGCAAATACTATTCACTTTAACCTTTTTTTTTTACTTAAACGATTAATTTGGAGAAGATTTTCGGTTGCCACGTGTCAATATTTATTATAAAATTAGAATGAATTTTTTTGATAAAATTTTTGGATGAGATTTTCTGTATGAGATTTTCACATGGGATTAATTTTATTTATATGTATGAAATTAATCAATATATATAAAGTAAAAGACAGAGAATTGTGAAACATTCAAAATACCAGAAAATTCCCTTAGTTAATTCAAGCATTAAGAATTGAAATTATTAATTAAATGAGGATAATATGGTAAATTCATATTTTTTTTCATACTAAAAAAATTAAAATTAAAAACAAAATCAGATAATATGTCCTACTTTTATGGAACATAATTACCCATGTTATTTTTCTTAATTCTAAAATAAATAAATAAATAAAACTAATTGGCAAGGGGCTAGTAATAATAAAATTGCTAGGTATGTATAAAAAGAAATGTTTCTGAATTTTTTGGAATTTTTCAGATTTCTTTTCGATGTTTTAAAAAAAAAAATTTACATTGCTAACGTCAATCCTGACGTCAACTAGCCCAAGCACAAGTTCGGGCTCGTTTTGCCTTTAGACCTGTCCAGTCACGTGGGACTCACTAATTGCCTGGACAACTGAAACCCACTAGAACTCGCGGCTGGGGGCTCCATGAAACCATGACTATTCCACTGAAAACTCAGCGCCTAATCCAACTGTTTAACATCTCAATAGCCAATTCCCTGATTTAAAGATAACAAACTAACATAATAATGCCACGTTTCACAGTCAAAACAACGATACTTGAACCAATGAACACACGCCACCTCTCATAAACAGCATGGCATCATACCTTAGCTCGACTTCGACTCGGACTCACACTTGACATAGTCCAAAACAAGTTAGATTCCGATTTCGCTTTTTTGTTTATTAGTCTTCAAACGGATTAATATTGTTTTGTTTAGAAACTCATTATTTATAAGAGGAAGCTTTCAATTGGTCTCCTCTGAAATTATAACCAATCAAAAGAAAAATATTCAACCATTAGGATTAGGATAAGAGATCAAGCAATTTGATTTGGTTTAAAGTTGGACTTGTGCTTGTGGTACCCGGTATGCAAACAAACAAGCCAAGTCATCCAAGTCTCCATCGAGGCATGCGTGGACAACGTCAGCAGCAACGTAAGGGGTTTGTAACTTCAGTGGTGAAAATGAGTTATTTATGCATCCAAAATCCCCTTCTTTCAGCATCGCGTGTGTTATAAATTTTTTTTTAAAGGAAAACAACATATTATCTTACTATAATAATAAAAAAAAACATATTATCTGACTAAGGAAAATAACGTATGCATGCGATGGTGACTGGCATCTTCGTCAAAAATTTATCTTCGCAGCTAATGGCTTCCATGGTCCATGGCCCTTGAAGCTACTTCCCAAATGATCCATGTCCCCAGTAATTGACTAGAAGGTTGATTAATTAACTAATATACCCCATTTTAGAGATAAAGAAACAAAAGAATAAATTAACAAACCCAAAAAAAACATTATACCATTTTATTTCTATAAACAAACTCCAAAAAAACCTAAAACTGACAGCAAATACATTTATTTAGCTCAATTAATGAGATGAAAAACCTTCATTACCCTTTTAACATTAAATTAGTTATCAAATTTTCCTTTCTTTTTTTTTAAAATTTTTTTATTTTATTTTATTATTTTTTATGGCGTTCAAATCATAAAAAGTCAAGGAGGTTCACGCCCGCCTCCCAGCCAATGCTGCTACGCCGCCCAACATGAGCATGACCATGAGCATAACAAATTGTTCTTCAAAATTATGGCTTCCTCTCTCTCTCTCTCTGTGCCTAATTTGCAGAGGTCTTGTCTATGTGTATTGAATTTTTTTCAACAACCCAAATTTGCTTTGTCGTGAATTTAAAGGCCAAAAATAGCTTCTCAGTGGATAGATGCTCAGAGAAACAAATGCATCAAAATTAAGACTGGCATTATTGTTAGTGTGTAATTATTCCTCCACAGTGAGGGGAATTGGACTTTCTTCCTTTTTTTTTAAGTAAAGACAACATTAAGGGGGTGTATTCAATTTAGATTTTAAAAGATTTTAAGAAGTTTGGGGGGCGTTTGGTATCCTATTCAAATAGGAAACTCAAAAACTTTGATTTTTCTTTTAAAACAAGGAGTTCTTAAATATATTTTTAAGATTCAAAAACTTGTTTGGTATGCAACTTGAAAACTGTTTTCAAGTCTTAAAAATTTGAGAACTTAAGTGTTGTTAAAAAAAACTGAAAAAACAAATATTTTTTGTTTTTTTTTATAATTGGGGTGTTTTTGTTGTTGTTCTTGAGTTTGAGTTTTTAAAAATAGGGCTACTAAATAGGTTTTCTTTGTTTTAGACTCAAATTCTGTTTTTGAGTTTAAAAAGTTGTATTCAAGTTGATTACCAAACAAACCCTTAAAAGTTTAGGTGTATTCAATCACGATTTTATAGAAGTCTATTATGAGTGTATTCAATTTAGACTTTTTAAACTCCATTCAAATTTGGATATATTCAATCACGACTTTAAAAGACTTCATAAAAGTTTGGGTATATTTAAAAACTCATTGATTTTAAAGGAAATACAAAAAGTGGTAGATTTCGTTTGATAATAGACTAATTTTAGGCCTGACAAAATCTTTGCTTCCCCATGGAGATTTTGATAGATATATTATTTTTATTCTCAAGATATGATTTCACCACTTCTACTAATCTTATCCTAACTATCACCATAGTCGCCCTGCCGCCACCACCACAATAATCGTTGTCGCCTGCCCCTAGCGCCACCACCACCCATCGTTGCCCCCACTACTAGCCCCACTATCACCACCTCCACCACCACTACCACCCCCACTATCAGCCCCATCGTCATCACCACCACAGCCACTGCCAGCATCATCACAATCACTACCACTGACACCGCCACCGCCACCATCTCCACCACCTCACTCCCACCACCACCATCACTATCACCCCCACCTCCTCCACTACCTCACTCCCACTGCCACCATCACTACCACCCCCCACCCCCCACCTTCTCCACCACTACCTCCCCCACAAAATACCATCACCACCACCCCATCGCTATAAACTTCATTAAAATCAATAATAAAATTCTAACAAACTTAGTTAAAATCTATACACAAATTCAATCAAAATCTATATGGAGTTTGTAGAATTCAATCAAACTCAATTAAATTCAATTAAACTTCATCAACTTTATAACTCATTTAAAATTTAAATTGAATACACCCTCCTAAAATCCCCATGAAAACAAGACTATACCTATCATGATTTTGACAAATCTTTCACTGTATGATAATTCTAAAGACCCTCATCACAACTTCATCAGCAAAACTCCGATGGTTGGAATAGGCTTAGAGTGCATGCCACATCATGATCAATCAATATTCTAGTTAAGGTCAACGAAAAGGAAAATGAGACCATAGCTCATAGCCTCATACCTCAAGATATTGTGTGTTGGAGGTACGAGGCTACTGATCAAACATAATTACTGAGTCTTAGGCTTGTGGGGACGTGCTTGATGTGAAGTTGGGTAGGCAGATACATGCGCATATGATTTTTGTTGGCAAGTTTGAGACGAATTTGTATGTAGGAAACATCATGATTGATATACATGTGAAGTGTGGTTTTTTCGGATTGTGGGCGCATGGTGTTTGATGAAATTCTTAATAGGGATGTGGTTTTTTGGACCGAGTTAATTGTTGCTTATAATAAGGTTGGGGATATGGGATCAACTCGGGAATTTTTTAGGGGGGGCATGGATGGCAACAAGGATTGAAATATCGGCCGATACACCGATATTGGAGGGTAAGACTATATCTTCCCATGTATCGACGATATATCCCCCGATAAGTGCGATATTCCCGATATTTTGCCGATATCCCCGATATTTTCCGATACCCATAATAGAACCCAAAAAAAAATTCAGAAGTTTTGAAGGCAATTGAAGCAAATTGAAACCTAAAAATTGCTAATCCTTGCCCAGAACCTTATAATTTATTAATATGAAGAATCTATGCACAGTCCACTGCCCATATACCTCCAATCCATTTGAAGAGGACATGACGATCAATTTTGGATCTATGAGCACATGAACTAGACCTACTACTAACTCAAATGAATCTTATTATGGCTATGGTCATTTCATGTCTGATTATAGTGGAACTAGTTATGGAGCTCAATATGATGAAACAGATTATGGACCTACTAGTTAGGTTAATCCTAACTATCCTATATATGGAAGGACAGTAGGGAGCTTGAGAGAGACTTATGTGCACCATGTTCTAACATGGCTTACAAACAGTTCGGGTTACATGACTTGGTATGACTATTGTATGAATCTGGATGGTTGTTCCTCATTGTTTGAATCTCATAAGAGCTCTTCATTTATGTAGGTGGACACTTATCTAAATTGTAATCCAATGTTTAAACAAACTATATGGATTTATGCATGGTTTATTCATTATAATCAAAATTTTATTTTCAAACTTTTCATTAATGCGCATTACATACCACTTATATTTCATTAATATATATCTTATTATTAGTAAATTTTGAGTTTTATTTGTTTAATACATTTATTGATAATGTACATAACATCTATGAAAGTTTTACACCAAAATTATGTGTTTCAATGCCTATATCTGTCCTTTTTGTTCATTTTTTTCCGATACCTAAAACGATAACGATATATCCTTCGAAATATCTGTAAATTGAAGGCCCGATATTATCTGCACGGCCGATATTTTAATCATTGGATGTCAATAATTCCTGGTTATGCCATATTAATTAAAAAAAAGACATTAACATACATATAAAGTGTATTAATAGTTATAAAAAAGTGTATTAACAGCCATAGAATGTGTATTAACAGTTATGAGAAATGTATTGACATTAAGCTTGGGTTGCGTGATTGATATGTGTATTACCAGTCATGATGACTCCTTGGATTGCCTGATTGATTGATTTTTCCCATTATTAATTTTTTTTAGGCTTATATACTGCAGTACCCCTTGAAACTTCAGTCAGATCTCACTTTACCCTCCCAAAGTTAAAGTGGCCCCTTAACCCCCATTGACCTTGATTTTGTGTTCTACTTTATCCCTTACCCTTAAAGCCATTCAAAAAATCGTCAAAAATGTTGACGTGTCAAGGTCATTATGGTAAAAGCACCTACGGTAGCCAATTTTTGAGCGTAGTCAACTTCCTATGTGGCATAAAAGACCCCACAGGCTTTTAATATCCAAATATAAGCAACTCAGTTCGTAGATTTGTCCAAAAGATGAAGCTTCTCAGTCGAAAGAATTTGGGGATTAGGGTTTGGAGTGTGTAATCAAGGAGAGAGAGAGAGAGAGAGAGAGAGAGAGAGAGAGAGAGAGAGAGAGGGAGTAGAAAATCTGAGGAGTGAATATTGCAAAAGAATCAAAGAAGAAGAATCAAAATCTTGGTAGAAGCGAGAATATTAGAGAGATTGAAAAGGACAATGACGGTGCCAAGAGAGAAATAAGGTTCTCAACTCGAGTACAGTAAATGGCCCTTCTTTTTTGAAATGGAATTGATGAAAGGGAGAGATTTACAGAGTGTGGTCCAAGTTCAAGCTTCTTTATTGTCTTCTTGCTTTGTTGGATCGGGCACAACAAAGGTGTCTTCTAGACTACATAAATTTGTTAGAGATATATAAGTATGAAAAAGAGCTTGGCTACTCATAAGTCCATAAATTTACACCGTTATGTACTCTTTATACTTAGTTTTTGTAGGAGAATTTTATTTAAAAAGGACTAATTACTTTATTTTCTCAATTTTCAATTTTCCAAAGCAAGTAATTGGTTTTCAACGAAAATACGATTTTTTGGTGGAATTTTTGTACAAGACTAGTTAGAGATGAAAGTTAAGATCTTGAAGATGATTGTGAAATTTTTCTAGAATTTTCGGAGTAGCCAATGAGAGCAATCTTTAAAGTTAAGTCAGCATAAGGTCCAATCCTGTCAAAACTGTGCTTCTGTGGAAGAATGATTATTTGAAGACTTTTATGATTTTTCCTCAAGGCTTGCGATATATGGTTAGAAAGATAAGACAAATACCTACAATTTACATATTTGTTTTGAATTTTCTTGAAGGAGGAATGACCCCAAACGTGCATGCAAAAAAATGGACGTGTTATCCCAATCAAAGTAGGAAGAGGAGTCAATTACTTACCCATTTTGGATTTATGTTTTAATTAGGTTTTTCTTTATTTTTGGGCTATTGTAAAAGCCCAGCTAAGGTAGAAATAGACGTGTGGTGTTTTATTTGAGCATGAGAAACAACTCCTTAGGGGTCACACAAAGACTGGGAGAAATTGGATATGCTAGAAGAGTACCGCAATTGACAAAGTTTTATTTTTTTTCTTCCTCATGTTTTTGCTTATGCTGAATTCTATGATTATGTATAACTAATTTTCTGTTGCTAAGGCATGATGTAGCCCTAGTATGATAATCTAGTTTTCTTATTTTACCTATCTATTGATTGCCGTTTGATGTTGGATTCTTAATCACTGTGCTTAATAACTTGGTTTATTATCTTGATGCTTGATCACCGCCTACACTTTTAATTGAGTTAATTAGATGCAAATTAGAGTAAATACCATACTTAATTTGAGGCTTGCTTCTTGTGATTAGGATTTGTAATTCATCTAGGGTAAATACCATACTCCTAGGGTTTACATGCTTGTTGGAGGTTTTAACTGATCTTAATGAGTTTCTATGTGTTGATATTTGACCTAAATACCATAGGTGAATTGCATGTAGGAATATATGAGTTAACCTAAATACCATAGGTAATTCATGAAAAAGGAAACTAAGCGGCGACCTCAAATGGTTAGTTAAAAGGTAGGTGAATAAGAGGCTAGATCGGATTACTAGTGGTGAATTCATTGTCCTAGTGCTTTTATCAATTTGAATTTCTCATCTTGTGTTTCGTGACTTTCTACTTGTTTTGTCTTTTAATTTCATTGTTAATTAAATCGTTCTTTCAAAAAACCCTTTTTGTGTTTACGTGAGTATGCTATGTGTTTAATTTCTTGTTTATATAATTAGAGTAGTTAAAGTATTTTTTGAAGTAAATTAGGTTAGACTAGTTGGAAGTTGAACTCAATCCTCGTGGGAATGACCTCGTATTTGCCATACTAAATTATGATTGACCTTGTGCACTAGTGAGTATAATTTGTGTTCAGACTAATCTTTATAATCTCCATAATCTCCATTTTTCAGGTAGTCTAAAATTCACAATACGATTTTGGCGCCGTTGCTGGGAATTGTCTTCATAAACTACGATTTAGTTCAATCTTAATTTAGCTTTTCAATTTTCTTTTTGTTTATTTATTTTATTTTATTTATTGTAAAATTTACTGGAAAATTTCAGATTATTGGAATTGATTTGTGTTTCTTGTTTGCCTTGTTTATTAGGTTCGGCTTAGTGTATGATTGATAGACGCTCTTAAGGTCAAGACCTCATACTGTTTGATCCTGAGATTGAGAGAATAGTTAAGGAACGAAAAGACAAATTCACTCACTCACTGGAACATCAAGAAGACGGAGGTTCCATTGAAAATATAAACGAGAAGAGTGACAAAAACGTTGGGGAACAACATTTAGCGCAAGAGGAAGCAATGGAACGAGCACAACTTGCTCGAGCTATGAAGGAGTACTCCATACCAACTATTTCCAACACTCCATCATGTATTGTAGTACTAGAAGTCAAAGCAAATTCATTTGGACTCAAGTCCGGAATGATTCACTTGTTATCATCTTTCTATGGCAAGTCGAACGAAGATCCTAACATGCATATTCAGGAATTTTTCGACATTTGTGACACCATCAAGATCCTAAATGTCTTTGATGAAGTGGTTAGGCTGAAATTGTTCCCATTTTTATTAAAGGATAGAGCCAAAACTTGGCTTCACTCACTGCTAGCTAAATCCATTAATTCATGGGAGGGATTAGCACAAAAATTTATCCAAAAATTCTTTCCTACGCAGAAAATGAATAAGCTTAGAAGACATATGATGTGTTTTACTCAAGGAGAACAAGAGCCATTCTATGAAGCTTGGGAAAGATTAGAGAGTTGCTGCAAAGATGTAGATGCACTTCTTTTATGAAGGACTTACGACTGCAAACAAACGAATGGTTGACTCTGTATGTGGAGGTGCATTGATGGAGAAGACACCTCAAGAGGCATTTGATCAATTTGATTTGCTTGCCAATAATAATCAACAATGGGGCAGTGAAATGACAAAGAAGGTAGGAATTCATGAAGTTGACACAAAAACTACGGTTGCTGCTCAAATTTCAAGCCTTGAGAAAAAACTTGAAACTCTTATGCGTGTTGTTATTCCACCTTCCCCACAGCAAGTTTGCGCCATTTGTTCTGACCTAACTCATCTATTGGAACTTTATCCATCTACTGCGCAAGGTTATGAGCAAGTTCGCCAAGTTAATTCGTTTCAACGACCTCAGAATGATCCATATTCGAACACTTATAAGCCGGAGTGGCGTAACCATCCAAATTTTTCATCACAATCTCATAATTTATTGTCCAAATTTCAATAAAATAGCAAATCCAAAACCTGCCTTTGACTTTGGACACATAAAGAACCTCCGAAGTAGGTTGAACTCTGTACAAGAAGTCTGCAACCAAGCAAGCCTCCCACAGTAGCAATGAGGTGTAGTAACAACCAGCTCTTCTTCTCGTGAAGGCTCTTTCCTTATCTTTACACCCTTTAATCGAAGAAAGATGGCGATTTTTTTTTTCTCTAGGTATAGAACCTTAAATCCTTCAAATGGTGGTAAGTAATTTTTCTGGGTTTAGAAACCCTTTTATTGAAGAAGAAGCGAGTGAATTGTTAACTGGGGTCCACTTCACCCCTTCAGCTGCTTAGATTTGGATTTTAAAAACCGGTAGGATCCACTATGCCACAGAGGATGCTGACTATGCTCAGCAATTAGCCACCGTAGGTGCTTTTACCATAATGACCCTGCCACGTCAACATTCTTTACGGTCTTTTGAATGGCGTTAATTGTGGGGGAGGAGGGGAAGGGAGTAAAGTGGAATACAAAACTACGATCAAAGGGATTAAGTGGGCTACTTTAACTTTGGGGATAAAGTGAGATTTGACTGAAGTTTTAAGGGGTAATAAGCCTTTCTTTTATTTTCGTTTGGGTTTTCTTTTTTAAATGTAGGCTGAGCTTGTTTTGAGTGTTTTGGGGGGTTTTTTTTGGTGAGTTTGGGGTTGTGCTTGTTTTAAGAAAATTGATGGCAATTTTGTAATGTAAATGAGCTTTGGATGTGTTTCTAAAGTACATGTCATATATGGGCTTTTTATAATTTGTGCCCTTATATTGGGTAGTGAAGCTCCCTTTTATTTTTATTTTTTTCATTTTGTAAACGACCAATTTTAATTTTCCTATTTTTTTTATTGGCAGAAATATTATCGTCATATAGCAACCACAATCAGTGCCGCCCTTGGACAAGGATAGGTAGTGCGATTGCCCTAGGCCCACTATCTAGAGGGGGCAAAATTTTAATTTATTATTATTATTATAAAGAGGTATATTATATTTATTATGTATAGTTTTAATATTTTTTTATTTAAAAAAAAAGTAACATGAGGTATTTCAACTCTTTTAAGCTCTAATTGATTACAAATTTGGAATTTTTAAGTTTGTTGTTATGGAGGGGCATTTCTCAAATTCCAAGTTATGTTGTTCTTTGTTTATTATTTGAAGTATTAAGGAGGTATATTCAATTGAGATTTTAATAGATTATAATTACATGATTTAATGTAATAGATTTCAGCATGATTTGTAATTTCATGATTTTTCTTATGATTTTAATAGATTGTAATTACAAGATTTTACTTATGATTTTAATTAATCTAGGACTTTCTTGTATTCTAAAAAGTAGATTTAACCGAAGTGTGGATTGGATTCGGGTTAGCCATCTTTCATCCATTAGTTAAAGGATGCCAAGCCTTTAAAGAAGCAAGAAGTTGAACTTACACCAATCTTAGCTCAAGTTATCATTACTATCTGTCATGTATGGCTTTCTTCAAATCGTCCCTGTTCTATAGCTAAAACCATAGTGGTCCCAAACTTCAAACATAACTATCATTAAACTAAAACCATACAACTATTAAGTTTTGGATAGAGAACTTGGTCTGGAGCTGAGAATTGACATAGGAACAAGCTAAAAGAAAGAAAAATCTTGAATTAATTGAATTTATAAATATTACAACAGACAAGTTAATTGAATCAATTCAAATAAGAAATTAGACAACTGAAAACAAGTCAAAATGGTCCAGTTATGACATGATACTAGTACAGAACACTTGTCACTCAAATTGATTCCACAAATTGACTAAAGAAAGACAAATAAATCAAAGGAAATAAACGAGCTGAAAATCTATTGAGAAAAATGCACACATATTGCATAAATATGAACAACTATTGAAAGCAACGTATCTGAAATTATTGTTTAGATATTTGAAGGTAAGCCATCTGAGTCACCTTTTTATTGGGCAAAGAGATTATCCATAAGATCAAGGCAAACAAACAATATAGACATGAAGCCAAAAGAAGGGTGGGAAACAACTCCTGCAACCAAACAATCAGGAGAAAAAGAAAACAAGATAGACTAGAGAAAGCAAAGAAAACAAAAACAGCTATTTGAGTCTATCCACTAAATACAGAAGGATCGAGTATGGTTAAACCAAGCTCTTGTAAAGACATGAGTACCTTGTTTATCTTCATTTGTTCATCTTCCCTTAAAACAAAAAACGTGAGAATCAGGCATAGGAGGGTGGAATTTTTTTATGGGGTTTGGTATTTATATCATCTACTCAAAAGTCTCACACAACACACCATTTAATGAAATACCTCAAAATTGGTAAGTTTTTGAATACCGCCGTACTTTTTCTTATCTTTTTAAAGTCTTAATTGAATACCATAAGACTTGGATTGATTATTTAAAAATCTTAATTGAAATACCACCAGATTTTTATTGATTACTTAAAAATCCTAATTGGATACCACTGGACTTTTAAGTTTCAAAACAATCTATTAAAATCTCAACTGAATACACTGCCCCTAAAATTTCATTAGATTTCCTTGTACTATTTCTGATTTCAAGTCGCAATGATCCTTGAAAAAACAACAATCTGAAATCGAAAAAAGAAAAATAAATGATTGAATTGTTACAAGTATTTATCTTGTTTATGCATTAGATTTGAATGTATCGAGCATAGCCTCTTATTTTAGATTTTTATATATTGAAGTTTGAATTGATAAAATTTATTTGTCTTGAATGTGAAAATTTTAATTAATTCGAACAAGTTAAATCTAGATTGAAAAATGAGAGTGAGTCTAGCACTTAAGTGAATATATATATATATATATATATGTTGCACTGATACTCCTAACTGGAGGGGTATACTCATATTTGATACTCAGATACTCGTATATGATATGCCAATACTTGTATCCAATATACCGATACTCTCATCAAATTTGCGGATATTTGTATTCGATATGCCGATACTCGTACTATCTTCCAATATAGTTAATTTTAAAAACTCCATTTGTAAAGACCCAACCTCTTCTTCTTCATAGAAGCTAGGTCTTCATTTCATTTGAGAGAGAATAACCATAAAAGAAGAAGAAATAGGAAGAAGGGATTAAAAGCTATCATATCTACCTCTGGTGATAATGATGAATGAAGTTAGAGATTTAAGAAGGGCTTCTGAATGTTTTAATTAATTTATTTTTTGCTTTTTTATTTATTTATGATTTGAACAATCCTATGACACTTGTATTTTGTGTTTTGTTTATGTAGACTTGTATTTTGTGTCTAGTTTTATGTTTTGACTTATGATGGATGATCATAACATGATGCATGCAATATTAATTTTTGCTATTTATATTATTTTAATCACCGTATTGGGGCCGTATCCGTAACCTAGTTTTTAGAATTTTTCCATATCACATCGTATCGGCGTATCCATACTAGTACCTATACCCGTGCAATTTAATTTAAGGGCCTAATTTTTTTACATTTACCCTGGACCCTAAAAAATTCTGGAACGGCCTGCTAACAATATTATTCAACTAGTTTGGTGGTTCAAAAAATATTTTGATTTGAAACTAATTTAAAGCATGCTAGCAGCATGACACATGATGGAAGTTACTCTATATGGAAATTATTGGTAAAAGAGAAAAGGTGTTAGGGGGTGAGATGGAGAAAATAAGTGTGTGAACTTTAAATTATTGCAAAAAGAGAAAAAGTGTTAATGGGTGAGATGGAGAAAATAAGTGTTAATTTGTACACGTTTCATGTGGTTAAACTTATTGAACTTTTTGATGTCTCACGTTTCATGTGGTTAATTATATATATTTTATTTCTTTTTGTTTTTGTTTTTGTTTGGCAGGAGTTGATGATGGTAGTGGTAGATTTACTTGGAAAGCGTCTCGCATTCGAAATTTTTCTTTATGATTCTCATGGATTTGTTGCGGTGCCCTGTTTAGCTTTTTGAGGAATAATTTCTCATGTCTTTTCCTCAAAGAATGGAAAATAAAAATTACTTTCCTATATTTAATTTGTGTGGAATTGAAAATCAAACTTCATTTAGTTTAAGACACGAAGCTGCTATTTGTACTTTATAAAATAAAACAAAAATCATCGTTCACCCACACTCAGTCATAGGATTAATTTGTGGCATGTTTACTAATCCGTAATTGGATTATAAGGAATTGAATTGAGGAGGAGTTGAATTGAGGATAATTAGATTCCGGATTCCTATTGAAATTTTTTACTAAACCATATGGATTGAGGTGAGTTAGATTCCGAGTTCCTATTGAAGTTGTTTACTAAATCATCTGAAATTGGGGTAAGAGTGATGTTAATTACTAAAATGTCCTCATTGTTAGGTTAAAATAGATGACAAATTTGGAATTTTTAAAATTGTGTGAGGATGTAATGGGTAAAAAAAATGAATTCCTAATGGGTTAGTTCTCCAGGAATTAGAATACCACCTCCCATCCAAGAATTGAATTCCTCCAAAATTAGAAATTTAATTCCTAATTTTGTGTGGGTCCTATTTACTTTTCAATTCCTTGATGTGAAGTAAACGCATAAATCCTCCATACGTGAAATCCAATTCCTGATAAGTAAACATACCATAAATGTATTATGATAAATTAACACAAGAACTCTCTTAAGATATATCTCGAAGATCTCATATGACTGTTAGTATTGAAGATGATTTCATGGTAATACCAAAGTGAGTTGCTGTAAAGGTGTAGTAAGTGACATTCTGAGAGAAGGTTTTTAGAAGGTCACACTCACACATATGTATAAAATTGGGTTATAATAGGGAGATCAACTTTAGATACCAAGTTGTGTATCATCTCTTTAATAGAGGTGGAACCCACCAATATAATGGGTCACACGCTCTATTAGAAAAATAGTACATAAATTGGTATCTAAAGTTGGTTTCCCTAGCATTTTCCATATAAATAAGAATTTATATTCCAATTATTGCTGCGTATTAATTGCAAGTAATCAAAAGCCTAAAATTAGTTGACACTCAAGGGGTCACATGCAGCATATTGATTTAGATCCAGAATATTGCTTCCGATACCAAATGAGAAAGACATACCTGTATCACACTCAGCAAACGCCATACAATAATTTTTTCTCCAGCACATATAGATTTCTGGGGAAACGAAGTTCTAGAAAAATAATCCTATAGTTTTGTTGGTTAAGAGTATTTACTCCTGCACTCGAGGTTCTAGCTTTGATGCTCTCATCCTTTAATATAGCTTGTATATAAAAAAACGACCCTATTTATTTCTTTTTTGATATATATATTTCAGAAATTTATCATCCAGAACTAATTAAATGAGTGAAATAATTTAAAAGCAAGTTAATAAGCTAATATTGCATTATATTATTACCAATCATTCACCAAGTACAGTCTGTAAACAAAACTTGGTGCTCACACTTACAGACCAAAAAAATTCATAAAAATGCTTGCACTTTATATAGCTGGCAAATCAGGAAGTACTAAGAAATAAATGTTCCATGTGTTAAGAAATGCCACAAAGACATGAGCTAAAATAATGCAATCCCCCCAACATATGATGCTGAAAATGCTGAAAATGAAGCCCATGTCATGTGTATACAAATGAGATTTGTCCTGCAAATTAATTAATTAATGAATTAATTATTACTTGTTATGTAATGCCAAATTAATCAATCATAATTAATAAGTAAAACTCTACCATGTGGATGGAAACCCAAATTTGCTAGTCTTAAAGGAAGTTGAGGTTCAAAATCAATTGATAATGAGGAACTAAACTCGGACTGGGTCCCATAACTTTTTAACTTAGGCAAACATTCTCCACAAACCTCGGTGGGAGAGAGAAAAACATGCACTCAATCAGGTAGTATCTACCTCAATTTGAGTATGGAAGCTAGAATTAAATAGCCTACTAGGCAAGGATATTTTCCCAAAAACAGATATGCTTTTTTTGAGCAAATGGGAGATCCTTCAACAAACTCCCATCAGGTGCAACAACCAATCGAAGAGTACCTGTAGCATGCATGCATCTAATCTTCCAATACTTAGAGCACTTCCATCAGTTAGCCCCTTGTCATGGCAAGGGGAGCCTTAGGGTGGCTACTATTCACGTGAATAGTGGCTGCCCTAGCTCCCCTAGCAAAGTGTGTTTCCAGCAGTTTTTAGGTTTGCCATGGCAAACTATTCTTTTTTTTTTTTTCACAACTTTGTTTACTTAAACATTTGATTTGGATAATATTTTCAGATAAGATTTTTGGGGTTCCTACGTGTCAATACTATTCATATCGGATAAGATTTTTGGTTTCAAATTTCATATAAATTTCAAAATTCAAATTTCAGATAAATCAATACAACTAATAAAATAAAATACATGAATGACCACTAATTATTAAAACAAAACAAAAAAATACAATGAAATGAAAGGCAAGCAAACTAAGAAATGAAAGGCAAGATTTTATTTTATCGGATAATATTTTCGGATAAGATTTTATTTTATTAGTTGTATTGGTTGGTATTTATAGAAAAAAAAAAGTATGAGGATTTGATGTTAAAAGTGTTAAAAGCGGAGGTGCAATATTGACTAAGTATGAAAAATGGTTTTTCGGAATAATCATTTTCTCAAGATAATTTTTGGTGGCTTTTATTCCTTACACATCAAATAAAAAAACTTGATTTTATGGGATTTTAATATGAAGTATATATTGACTTAATGAGCCATCATTTTTAGCCTAAATCGTATTTTGCACTAAAACCGATTTTTCATATTTTGATTTGGTGGGAATTTGAATTTCTAGTATTTTTATTTGAATCCAAATGGGGGGTACTTCCTTATTTACATTGTAAACTTAAGTAAATGGAGTAATATAAAAATAAATAAAAGTAAAAGGACAAAGACATTTACTTAAATGTTGAAAATGGAAATAAGGTATAGAGAGAAAAAAAAAAAGAAGAAGTAATTTTTTGGTTTTTTTTTCATTTTTTTCGGATTTTTTTTTCATTTTTTAATTACAAAAATATTTGTTGTCGTTGAATTGGAGCAAAAATTATGATCGGAGAGCCCAGGACACGACACATGGCACATAATTGTTGGCGGACACTGTAGCGCTGGCGTTACGACGACGTCAGCACAGGCCAGCCCTGGCTGGAGCTCGGGCCAGCCAGTTTTGCTGGGTCCCACCATCATGCCCGGGCCTGCCTCCACTGCTGGAAACCCCCAAACCCCCGCCTTTTGCCTTGGAAATGCTCATAGGAAAAGGAAAATATATAAACAAATGTTATGGAAAATTTGACCCTCTCAAAAAAGGAGAAATGTTATTATGACAAATACCCCACTGCTGGAAACGAGTTTTTACCCCAAACCACCACCCCCCTCCCTTTGGGCCTTTTGCTGGAAATGCTCTTAGGAAAAGGAAAATATATAACAAATGTTATGGCAAATTTGACCCTCTCAAAAAAAGGAGAAATGTTATTATGACAAATACCCCACTGCTGGAAACGAGTTTTTACCCCAAACCACCACCCCCCCCTTTGGGCCTTTTGCTGGAAATGCTCTTAGGAAAAGGAAAATATATAAACAAATGTTATGGCAAATTTGACCCTCTCAAAAAAGGAGAAATGTTATTATGACAATATAAGCAACTTCTGTCAAGAAATGGGAAAGTTCGTATTGTGTTCCAAAAAATAAGATAATGCTTTCCTCGTTGTTTATTGATGTTGTTTAGTCACAATCTAATACGCGTGTTAAACAATAATTAAAAAGAAAAATAAATGCACTTTTGAAAAAAAAAGAAAAAACAAAGTGTTAGTTTATAGTTGAGTCACATTAATTAATAAGTAACGTATGTGGTCCAGGAAAGATACATGGTCCAAGGAAGAGCTGATATTTATCTAAAAATTATTGACAACCTCAATTTCAAGGCTGGTTAATTATATGATTGGGATTGGGACTTCTTCAAGTTGTATGTATAAATTGATGAAACATCAACATTGTCTGCTCCATCCATCAACATTATTAGTTGTCATTAATAATTATTCCAGCATTCACATTCTACAGTTCAACACGGGTAACAAATCAAGAGGCCACAGTTCTTCCACATCCCCAAAAGAAAAGCCACCTACCATTGTTACTGTAATATGTAATAATAAAGTTCACAGATTTTTCTTCCACAAGATAAACAATCATATAAATTCCTAAAGTCGATATCAGAGTTTTCGTCCATGAAAATAATGATAAAAGTTTCTTTCACGTGCTTAAAATCAAAAAGGAAAACGTGTGGAAGAGATGGGCTTGCCTTCAAATATGACCATTTCTGTACAAATGGTGCCATGCACAAACCCCTAATCCTGCAAACTTTTTTTATTTTTCTAATCTAAACTATGAAAATGAGGATTTGAATTCAGATGCAGAGTAGGAATTCGCTTTAGCCAACTTAACTAAGCTAATATCTGCCGGCCTTGTAAACTTTATATAATAAAAAACTATAACTATATACTTGATTTCATTTCATATGGATGAGAAACAACGGCGGATTTAGGTATGAGCTAGAGTAGTGCTAAATTTGGTGATGAAAAAAATTGTATTAACCTATATCCAATGGGTTCTTTAATATTAGGAAGTTTCTCTCTTAATTTTTGTTTAATTTCCAATTTCAATTGTTATTGTTAGCTTTTTATGATTTAGAGTTTAGGTGTTAAATTTTGGATTTTATTTTTTTTTTTTTTTTTTTTTTTTTTTTTTTTTTTTTTTTGTTTAACTTTATCTTTGCTTTTTTTATTGTTTTTGCTTTGTCTACTTGGTTTTGGTTGGCTTGTGACTGTTGCAATTGTAGATCTATATGACTGCACTCCTTATTTTCTATTTTTACTCCCATAAAATTTAAAAATTATTAATTGAAGAATAGTTGCTACCACTCATTTCCTTTGCATATAAAAAAATAAAAACCTATAGGCTATAGTCAACTAACCATGTAAACCTGTTATGGATTTCCTATAATAAAAATTAGCCCACCCCTAAGGAATTCCATGGGTCAGCCTTGATGACAAATCTTCTGCTCCAAACTTTGTTTGATAAGAGTACAAATAGAAATTCGATTTTTCACAAACAAAGCATAAAATTACATACTAATTATCTTATAAAACATAAAGAATGATTAAAATGTAAGATTGAGACACGACTCTAATTTGAGTATAAACACCATATCAACATATAAATCGTATACGCAAAATCCTTCATTTGGTGGTCAATTATAATATATAAGCGCTGTGCAGAGGGCAAATTTGAACATGTGTTTGAGTTTAAGGCTGTCAATATGGGTTTGGCAGCTTAATTTCCTTTGATAATTAACAACATTGCATTCCACAATTGGGTTTTGGTTTTCCTCACCATCATTCTAAGATATTTAACAATATTAATATTGTCCCTTTTCTCCTTGACCATATCTACTCGAAAAACCCTACTTATCAACGGCTACCTTCCATTCAAAACACGTTTACCGTCCCATGGTCCATACCAACTAGCCAACTAGTCATTGAACTTTCCAAATTCCATGCAAGGACTGACTCTGTCTGTCTGTCTCTCTCTCTCCCCACAAACACACCAAAGGAAAATGAGTTCTCTCAACTGGTAGGACTCAGTTATTAGAAACCACATGTGCTCTGTCAATTGTAGCCCTCATATATAATCACACCACCTCGGCCATTACGATGGCAGGTAATAAGCACGAGCTACTTCCTGAATTCGATCGAATGTTTTTCGTTTTCGAACAAGATTTACAACAGCCAGGGTATAAGGAGCATTTGCAGGGGATTTAGGAGGAACAGAGATATTGTTGGAGAAGAAGAAGGCAGGGGATTTGATTTGTTATTTGGCTTCTCTCAGAGTTCAGAAACATGGGACTTGCCAGCAACATAGGGAAGTACCAGCTCGGGCGGACGATTGGAGAAGGTACTTTTGCCAAGGTTAAGCTGGCACTGGACAGCACCAATGGCAAGTATGTTGCCATCAAGATCCTGAATAAGCATATGGTCATGGAAAGCAATCTCAAGAATCAGGCAAAACTCAAAATCAACCTTTTGATTTGATTTGTCCGTCTGTTTGTTTTCTTGGACAAAAAGAAAAACTGAACAAACTTGTCCCCAAATTTCAGGTACAGAGAGAAATTAGAACCATGAAGCTTCTAAACCACTCCAACATTGTACGGATACATGAGGTATATATCTTTAGCAGTTACAAAAGTTTGGTATATACAAATTTTGAGTTCAATGAATTTAGAGATTTTGTTTCGAATTTCGATTATAGGTGATTGGTACAAAGACCAAAATTTACATAGTAATGGAATATGTATCTGGAGGTCAACTCTCAGACAAGATGGTGAGACTCATCTACCCTTCATCTCTGATCCAACGAGAATTTTTTGGGTAGCTAGCTTTTTCATGTGTATGGTAATTTGAATTTCTTTTGTTTTTGTTTTTAAAAAAAAGTTGTATGCCAAAAGATTTAGTGAAGGAGAGGCAAGAAAGCTTTTTCAGCAATTGATTGATGCAGTGGACTACTGTCACAACAAAGGGGTATATCACAGAGATCTAAAGGTGAGCAAAAACTAAAACACAACCATACGCATCATTTTTCGAAAATTCTGACAGGCGAGGTCCAGGAACTGACAAGGACTATGGCATATTATACAGCCAGAAAACTTGCTTTTGTGCGGTAAGGGGAGCCTGAAGATATCCGATTTTGGACTAAGTGCATTGCGTAAGGTAGAGACAATTTTGCAAATTCCTTATGTTCTTGAGCCATTATTTATTTACAAGTCCTAAAATCTGTCAATAAAAATTGGTGCTTTGCTGAAATTCTGATGATCAACAGCCTGGTGACCTGTTGTCAACAAAATGTGGATCTCCAAGTTATGTTGCTCCTGAGGTATGTAGCAAATCAAATTACGTTTTGTGAAGTTGTGCATAGAAAGAAAAAGTATCAGCTCAAAATGACTAACCATTGTAATGTACAAAATTCATACCTGAATTTCAATTCGTTATGTGGTTGATCGCTTTCATTATTCATGAACAGCTGCTTGTCAATAAGGTCTACGACGGAGCAGCTGCAGATGTTTGGTCTTGTGGAGTGATTCTTTTTGAATTACTTGCTGGTGGTCTACCATTTGATGACGCTAGCTTGATGAGTTTATATAGAAAGGTATACTTCAAAAGCATCCAATAAGCAAATCCCCATTTCGAATACAAACAAATTACCTGTATCTGAAACTTCTGCCCATGGATAGATTTGCAGAGCAGATTTCACATTTCCACAATGGTTTACAGAGAGCCAAAAGAAGCTGATCTCCAGAATACTTGATCCAAATCCTGAAACGGTATAGTTCTGCCACATTTGTTCAACGCTTTAAAGCATTTTTCGTTGAATAATGCAACATTTACCGTGTTGACCGATCATATCTTTCATAGAATACGTTGTCTGATATGCTTCCTTTATCAAAGCAGAGAATAACAATACCAAAGATCATGGAAAATGAATGGTTTCAAAAGGATTATGTGCCTTCATGTGGAAACAATAGTGACGATAAAATACACTTAGATGATGTCAATGCTGCTTTTGATTCAACTGAGGTAAGCTCCACCATAATTTCACTACAGAGGAAATGCTATAATCACACTTTTAAAACCAAATGTCATATTTGTGTTAATGTTGTTATTTGTTCCTCGCAGGAGAATGACATGGAGACAAAAATCCCAAAATCTGCAAGTTTTATAAATGCATTCCAATTGATAGCCATGTCAAATGATCTCGATTTGTCAGGTCTTTTCGAGGAAGAGGCAAGTCCGCAATGAAAAGAACTAGATTTGCTATAATATCTATCCTGCCTTTTTTTTTTTTTTTTTTTTTTTTTTTTTTTTTTTTTTTTTTTTTTGGTGGCGTATAATGAATGTATGAAATTGTTGAATTGCTTAACTGTAATCAAGGATTGATGAAACAAGCAGAAAAACAGAAGGATTGGATCCAAGCTTACGATTAATGAAACCATAAAGAAAATAGAAGCTGCTGCAATGGATGTGAGCCTTACGGTAGAAAGAACGAAAAACTTAAGGGTACAGGAAACTTATATTATTGCTTTCTTTTTCTTTCCTGTTTTCACAGTTCCTGCAAACTAATGATTTCTTTTCATCAGATGAAAATGCATGCAAAGCAGATTATGAATAGATGCTGTAGATCATATATTGACATATCAGCAGAGGTGAGTAATTGTCATACATTTGTCTGACTCATATGATATGAATGAAGGATTTTAATTTCAATCTTTTGTATGCTGACGAACTTGAGTGGAAACTGGCAGGTGATTGAAGTTGCTCCGACTAATTGCGTCGTAGAAATATCAAGATCTGCAGGGGAGCTCGGAACATACAGAGAAGTATAATGACCATATCCATGAGCTGGTTTCTGCATTTATAATTAAAAAAATTGTTTACTTACTCAGATAACATTATGTTGAAAATGTTCAGTTCTGTAAGAGTTTATCAAGTCAGCTGAGAGAGGAACCTGCTGTTTCATCACAAATGCAAGAGTCTGATGTGGTCAGCATTCAAAGCCAAAGTATCCCCAAAAAAGAAAGGTATTATTCTGCAATGATCGCTACAAGTATATAGCATAGATTGCTGCAGCTGGCTGACAAACTATTTTTCAATCATTATATGCAGCTCTGAGGAGTCAAATTCCAGAAAAATTAAAGACCACCGTGGCTATTCATCGTCTTGAGTAGCTTCTTCTTTATTTTTTTGTTTTTTGTTTTCTCAAGACCAAGTTACTGTAAATGCAGATTAATAAGAACCATAAAAAATAAGCCTGATTTCTGGAAAGCTTTTTTGCTTGCTGGCCGGAAGAAAAGAAGAGCAGAACGTTTTGATTGCTTTCAATTCTATTGTGTATTAATTTTTATAATTTTTACCCCTTGTACTTCTCGGACAAAATATGTTACCTGAAGATGACAAGAAATAAAATTTACAGTCACCTTGATTTGTTGAAACCAGATTTATATATTTGTCCAAAGATAGATTCATATTCAAGCAAAAACAGCTTTCTTAAACGATCCAAAAGCACTATTCTCTACTTGTTTACAAAACACGTCACAATCCAAATGCACTATTTTCCTGCTGTGACGAAGGCAATTTTGGAAGATTTATAAGTTCTTGCCTTGAATTTTTTTATTTTTTTTCCAGAGCAGATTTGATTATTTATCTACAACGCGACTCCATATTCAAGCTCCAAATATACTTTCTTCAACAATCCAAATCAATATAGCTTAAACTAGTTCAGCATAACAGATCATATTTTAAAACCACTAAACCCTGTTTTCTCCATTAACTAATTGACCTATTGTATCCCAAACTAATAAATTTATATCATAATCCAAAAAACAAGGCTAATCTTAATACAAGCGATATTATGAAATTGAAGTGCCATGTTGGTGGTGGTGCGGTTGGGGTTGGGGTGATGTCAGGTATGGGGAATGCTGGTGGTGGTAGCAGTGGCAGCTGTAGAGGCAGCGCTATTGGTTCCGGTGGTGGTTGGTTTTAGTGTTGAAGGTGGCAGTTATGGTGGTGGTGGGGCCCTTTGGGGGTGGTCACAACAGCTTGTAGGTTAGGTGGAAGGGTTGTGATGGTGGCATGGCATTACCAGTGGTGGAAGCAAGGGAAAGGTAGTGGCAACGGTGGAGCCAGCAGCAGAGATGAGCAGTGGAGAGGGGGTGGCGCTAGTGGTGCCAACTGGCGAGGATGGTTGGTGCCGTCGCAAAGGGCAGTGGTGATGGCAGCCGTGGCATGCTTATGGTAGTGGTTGCAGTGGATGTCGTCTGTGCTTGTCGTGGTGAATATGACAACTTCAATTAAAAAAACATCTCCTATTACATAGAACTCTTTTTTCCTCACTAAATTTTAGAAACAAGTGAATAGGTGAGGAGAAAGTATGTCCAGCTACTTAAAAGTTCAGTATAGTTTCCACTGCCGTAATTGGTTGGTTCTTAAGAAAGGGTACTGGGACCATACAGCCTCAAGGCTTCCAGTCACTGAGTTAATTCCTACTGACGTTAAGAGCATGATTATCTTCACAACTTCCTCAAATGTGGCCAAAAATTTTGTGCCAGATTTTCAAACTGAGAAACCTTTAATCATTCTCAAGTACAATAACACAGCCAAGGACTACTTTTTATAATACAAAGTTTATCAAAGTTTCAAGGGCCAAGGAGATAAATTACAAACTACAAATATAAATTGAAGGCTGAAATAATTCTTAAAGAGTACATTTTGGTTACACCGCAAGTTACGTAAATCAACTTATAAATGAAGTCCAGCACAAACTCAGACTCATCTATTCCTGGTTTCAATTTAATTACAAAAGGCCAGTATAAGGGTTTGATTACAAAATAAAGGTATTCATTCAGAAACTAACAACTTGGACATGGCTTGCAACAATAATGAGAGCTTACATACATCTCTGCATTTACATTTGACAAATATACATCACAGTATCTTCATAGGTGAAAATGTACATGACAAGCTTTAAAATTGATAAATTTAATAAAGCAGCAGTCTAATACATTGTTGAATCACGTATTGGAAGAAATAAAAAATCAAACTTAAAGAAGACTTAGAGAAGGAAGTAATCTATCATATGGAAAACCACATCTGCACCATCAGAATTCAACCAGTAACTCTTCACCTGTATGGGCATGAGGGAGTAGATATATATCAGAAAAAGAAAATACGCAACACCAAATGCTTCTCTATGACAATAAATTTGTTACTAGTATAGTTCATTGAGAACTTGGACAAGTTCTATGCCTTAAAAGGGGTTAAAATCTAGAAACTAACTTCTACCATATAGCAGTCTGCCTATATATTGGCTCAAAGTTAAAATGCTTCCTTCAGTATTTTGTATAAAACAAAAAATTATCTGTGTACATGCCACCAATTAGTCATAGCTATAGAGCCAACCAAAACTTGCCTGAATGGTATTATGAGCAATATATCGTTGTCGACTTTTTTGAAAGCTGACATCCACACGTTCCCAAGGTATCTGAGTAAGGCCCCTAATCATCTCCTCTATACACAAGAAATGAAAAATACTATTTAAAACTGGAAGTAAACCAGAAAAGAATTTGAATATATAACATAAGACAACCTGAAATCATTGTAAGAAACAGTACTCTGTCCTGAAGTCAATTATGAGGGACAGAGAGAAAACATGTGTAACAGGTGGTAAAAAGCATGTTGGAAAGGAAAATTAGTATGTATCTGGCACTGCTGCACTCAGGCAACTCTGACTTCAGGTTTTGAAGTGTTGTTTAAGGACACATGAGTTATGTCATTCTCATGGCATATAAACCCCAAATACAGTAATACAGCAGAGCCTAGAAGAAGGTGACTTGCGCAGACAGCTGACTCCTTTTCATGATCTGGCCTGGTCGACCCAATCATGATATTGAAGGATGGGACCTTTTCTTGAAAAACGAAATACTAAAGTTATAAATGATGAAGAGGTTATCATTAGTTTCCCCTTCTGTGTCTCCCATGATGACCACTCCTATTTCTCTCCTTGTCCAAATAACCACCATTCCAGTGTCTATTAACAAGATAGTGTGCAGAATGCATGGTTCAACAAGAAGTATCTATGTAAGTTAACACAATATAAGACTACTATAGAATACACCACTGCTGTCCTACTTGCCCATCTGCTAATTGTTTTACCATTTAAAAAAAAATGGCCCATGTCTCTGCAAAAGGCCCATTGCTAGGCACACAACTTAAACAGTTTTGTCCTTATTGGGTGGAAATACATAAACTTAGGACCTAACCAGCCACAGAGTCTGGCCCAAAGCCCAGGTCCCTGAGTTATTCCAATAGTTAAACACAACCAAGCAGATAAAAAGTTTGACAAACCTTCCAAGTCTATTTTTTGGTCTTGAGCACATGAAGAGGCTTTCATATGAATATCATCAAAAGTTTCTTGCTTGACATATACAATATGTGGATATCTCTCATTGGTTCCAAGTAGATTGGACTGCAAATAAGCAATGAAGAAAAAAGTATTGGAGTGAGTTTGGAACATAACCGATATATAAACCCTGAACAGGCATGACGTGGAGAGGGAAACAAGGAAGCCTTACCTTCGGAAGTTCATCTTGACGCCGGATTGAAGATGTTCTCCACCCAACCATATCTTAAAAATCAGTGAACTTAAACAAGACATTCATGGTTTTAAACATATAAACAATGTATGAGAGATATCAATATTTTCAAAGCAATATAAACCCGAAAAAGGATACGATCGTAATTTGCATTAGCATATGCCACACGGCGCTTAAATGCACGTAATGCTGATCTGCGCATGCCAGAGAAAAATATTGTAATACCATTGACAAAACTGATTATAATTGAATGTTTATGAAATCAATGAGCATTATGGACATAGTATTACTAACATGAATTTTAGGTCATCAGAGTCATTAACCATTCGAAGAAGAAGAGGAGGTCTGCCATCATCATCATCTGTTAGGAAGAGATGCTTCCCGGATCTCCCAGCAATAAAGTGCGCAGTTTGAGAAGCTCTTCTCTCAAGAAAAGGAAGACCACAGAGAAATGGGAGCTGTGGAAACAAAGTTAACAAAACAGAGTTAAAGTTCACAAAACAAATGTGATAATCAATTAGAAATAGAGGTGTATGATAACAGTGCACAAATTCTCTACATTTACTGAGAAGATTCTCTAATATAGAATGGAAGTAACAAATACATTAGGAAACCTTCAACAACCAGCCACTTGTCAACACTACATATTTCAATGCTTATCTTATCAGTTGTCAAACCAAGCATATCCTTAAAATCCCAAAACGAATTACTAAAAATCAATAGTAAACAATTGAATGATAAATAAGAATGTAGAAACTTGAGAATTTAAATAGAATATAGAAAATAACTAAACATATAGAAAAAAGAAGGCTCTCTCTGTGTCTCTGTCTGTCTCTGACTCTCTCTTTCACACACGCACACACAGACACTCACACACACTATGAAAGGACAACAGATTCCCTAGCCAACACCTTTGTTCTCCCTCTCTCTCTCTCTCTCTCTCTCTCTCTCACACACACACACACACACACACTATGAAAGGACAACAGATTTCTAGCAAACACCTTTGTGTGCATAAATGTTCAATTTTTGTTTATCCATAGCAAACACAACAATTACTTGATCTACCTGTTTATTTCCACTATGAAAGGACAACATCTTTCTAGCAAACACCTTTGTGTGCATAAATGTTCAATTTTTGTTTATCCATAGCAAACACAACAGTTACTTGATCTACCTGTTTATTTCCCCTTGAACCAAGATGTGGTGTTGCGAACGTTATAAAGTTCATTGGTTCCAGTCCAGCAATTGTACCGTGGTGAGGCTGGTCAAGGGATTGTGTCAAATTATTTGTATGCCCTTCAATTAAGCAATTACCATTATGACCTGAGGGTTCAGATTGTGGACAACGTTCGTAAAGCCTCCCAATGGCATACCTTGCAACCAACCCTCCTAAAGAGTGAGCCACAAATGATATTTTCCGGACCTCAGACCTATTTCTGACAACAGCTAATACCTGCATCACATATTATTCTAGACTTCAAGATTTGAATAAAGTTCAAATAAAAACTTTCTGACATTGGTATTTGTCTTTGCAGTTTTCTTATATTGGTGAGTACTACACATGTCATTTTCATTATAAAAAAAACCCACTTGAGGATAGTTTCACAAACCAAGGGAGCTACGCTAAAACATGAGGACAAATATGCTATTTCCAAATACCTCTTCGGCTAGCCTTTCACCCATCATGTCAACACCATCAAATGTCATCATTGAAGAGTTACATTCACTGCCTGTGGGCAAAATACCAAGTCACAAAAATCATGCATTCTGGATAAGACTCTGATTCCTACACTAAATTTGCAGCAAAGGAGGAACTTGTAGAATTTGAATGTTTTGATTATTAACAGCTTTTATACCGTATTACAGCATCAATAAACAGATATCAGATACAGAAGAGCATCGACAATTATTATTATTATTTTCAAATGAAAGACAGAAGCCATCTTGCTTTAACTTTGCAAACTATTATCTCGCTTTAACTATCTCAAATCAAACTTCGTTCGGATTTCCTGGTTTATACAAGACTATAGATGGGCTAAAACATCACAAGGTTTAAGCAAGACAGATGTCATCTCAGCGAACAAATTCAAAATTCCTCTCCCATCTTGAAACACCAAAGCGTCATCAACTTTGTGTTGTAAATTTGTCTGTGTGAATGTTGGCTTGTTTAACTCTAAAGGTTCAACTCAACTACACCTTTGATATAGTTTCATAATTGGAGTAATTGGGAGTTGGGGGGATAGGGGTACTCTAAGATGAATTTTCAAGCATGGACAGTGAAGGCAGGGTCAAGTTGCAGATGGTGGATGGCCATGCCCAATTCATTGGGAGCCAAAGATAATTCATTTAATTGATTTCATCTTTGATTTATTAATGGAGAACGCTACTTATCCCAACTTACATGTCCCAAGAAAAGGTGCCACACCCTTGCTTAAAAAAGAGAACAATATGTAAACTCTAAAGTGAGCATACCATGAGTGCTGGAAAGGAAACGTTGGGAATTAAAGTTGGGTTGTTTACCATTGTCCCTTATTTGACCTTCACTGACACGATCAATTCGTATGAACATTTAGTATAAGGTGGATGGAGGAAACTACTGCCAGATGTATTATGTAGTTCAGATTCAGAACAGACTTAGAAAGAGGGTTCTTAATCATATTTTGCACTCAGTTTTGCCTAGGATTTTAGTATACGCAGTCAAATCCAAACTTGACCTTCCACCAATTAAATAAATGTTTACAAATAGAAAAGAATCTAATATATTTAATTGCTTAGTATATTCGGTGCAGATGTAGAGAGGAAATCATAAGTGAAAAGAAGCACTCACGGTGCACAATTACTTTATCAGGAAGCTTGTTCACAAACTGTTCTGCAGCATATCTCCAGTCTGAAGCACTGAAATCACGGAAAAATTTCAAATGAGATGCAGCAAAGCATGCTTAAAAAATGACAAACAGCATGATTAGTCAGGGAAGGACAACATAAGAATTTAGAATATTTACAAAGCTAAACTGGCATATCCGTGCTTCATAGAAATGAGCTAAACCAAGCCAAGTGATGGGGTGTTTAGGCTTGGCTCAACATAAATGTACTCGAGCTTAGCACAAGCTTGGCTTGAATATTTCTTTCCAAGGTTGAGCTTGGTTTGGTTTGTATGTGAGATGTGCCAAGCTTGAGCTTGTCTTGGCTTTGCTTGGACATAAGCAAAGGATGAGTCTTACTATGAGCCATCCGGCACTCAAGTCGAACTCAAGTGGCCTCGTTGTGATGAAATTTGAACTGCTCACAAGTTTTGCAAATCAAGCATATCAAAGTTAAAAGCTTGATTTGTATTTTTTTAACAAGCTTAATATTTTGCTTGATTTTGGCTCGTCTCTTTCACTGAGTCGAGCCGCCAAAAAACAAGCAGAGCACAATACAAAACCCACGTTTCTCTTAGTCTACAGAATAAAGCATTGATGGCAACCTTAATTATCTTTTAGATTGCTTCATTCCAATGAGGCATACCATTTCCAATTCTACTTTAACAATCACATATATAACTATAATTTTACACATATCACCACATATACTGAAAAAAAAAAACAAGTACATTTTATCAACCCACAAATTATAATGGGAAAGGCGAACCTGCCGATGATTCCATTGACCATAATGACAAGATGTTCAGGCACAGCGCCGCCCTTGGGGTGGGAGGCGAAGACATCCTCGCCGCCGCTGTCGATCTCCACCTTAATCTCCCGGCGGCTGGGGTCCCTGAAGCAGCCTCCGCCGCCTATAATTCGGTTGAGCAACTCCATCCGGGTCGGGTTTACCCACCGCCTACGCTCAGAGGACCGAAACCCTAGGTTGCCGCTGCAGCAGAGGGCCTCGCAAGAGCGGTGCTTTCGGGTCGGGTTGGTAGCGTGGACCGTTGTTGCGGAATGGAGGGGAGAAATGGCCGCGATCATGTGTTTTAGAGAAAGAGAGAGAGAGATTGGGGTATGAAAAAGCGTTGAGTAAAGTATGAGCAGTGAAATGGAAGCAGTGAACGAATGTAGGCGCGGAGATTACCGGTTTTTTCCTTTTTTGTTGGTATATTCAGAAATCAAATAAAAAAATTATTTAATATTGATCCTTTTTCTATTTTTGTTTTGATTAAATCAGCTTTGCAAATGGTCTGTTCATGTTGTGAAAGATCAATCCAGTAATATAAGCACGTGGTCTTGACCCAAAAATTATTATATAATCACGTGGTATTATTTTTGGGCATTTCAGTCAATGATGACCCAGCTAAGCGCCTGCTGCAAGACCACCTGTTTGTTGTTTGTTTTTTTTTTTTTTTTTTTTTTTTTTTTTAATTTAAATCTTTTAGTTAATTTTTTAATTATTGTTTTAAGTTGATACACTAGTTTTAGGTGATTTACAAGTTAATTGTTGACGTGGCAAATGTATACGCTCCACTTTATACGATATAATGTTTTCATTGTTTTATAAGAAGACAACGCTTTAAAGAGAGAAATCGTACTTACCAAAAATGGGCTTCATAGAAATTGGCTTATGTCGAACCGGCTTTGTTTCGTTTAAAAAGGGGCTTTGATTTAATAGTTAAAACTACTTTGTACCATAGCATTTTGATGACACTACTCGCATTTTTAGTAAAAATGTTATGAAGGCTCTTTTGAATAGCATTTCAGAAGAAAAAAATGTCACTGACACTGGAGCAGAGGTTCCATTAACCACTGACATTGTTTGATTTTCATTAGAAGCTCGAAAATCATGTACACATTGTTTGTTATTTGCCATATGGTCTGTAGTGTGAGGACGATACAGTGCAAGCGCATTCCGCATACTTTCCATTTTTGCTAGATGCTCAATGAAGGATTTTCCTTCGTGTGACATCCCAGCAATATCTTTTTGCAATTGAAAGACTCGAGCAGCATTATTTTAATGTCCATACATCTCCTTGATAGATTCCCATAGGTGAAAAGCAGATTCCGAAAAACTGAAAATTTCTGCAATTTGAGGTTCTGTGGAATTCAAGATCCATGACATAACAAGTTGGTCTTTAGAAAGCCAATCCTTGTACTTTGGATCATCAACATTAGGAGCTGAAATTTTACCATTTGTGTAACCCAGCTTTGACCTTCCTCCTGTTGTGCGCAGAAGCATCAAGTGACAAATATGAGACCGATGACAAAATTCGAAAAGTCTGCTTCTTCTAATAGCTATTCAATATGGATGTTGAAATTGGTCTTTAGAAAGCCAATCCTTGTACTTTGGATCATCAACATTAGGAGCTGAAATTGTACCATTTATGTAACCCAGCTTTGACCTTCCTCCTGTTGTGCGCAGAAGCATCAAGTGACAAATATGAGACCGATGACAAAATTCGAAAAGTCTGCTTCTTCTAATAGCTATTCAATATGGATGTTAACTTGAGTGCTTTCAACAACATACTCACATCGATGATGGCTCCAGCAGCCTCGGTAAGGGTCGGCGATATGTTGAGCAAATCACGCTTGCGAAAGTATATGAGTTGATGAAATTCTTTCTCATTTTGCCATGGTTTCTCGAGAAGCAAACACACAGAGCACATATGAAATACAAGAAGAAGAAGAAGAAAGCAAGAAATAGAGAGATGAAGATTACCACTGAAATTTCTATTCCGATTTCCAGAAACCATATAGGATTTTTGAGTTGCGAATAGCAAAACGAGATTATATATATTTAAAGAGTATAGCCGGGTGGCAATACTCTTTAAATATTTGAATTTATTGGGTGGCAATGCTCTTTAAATATTTGAATTTATTATATGTCGGCTATACGCTTTAAATATTTGAATTTATTATATTTAAAGAGTATAGCCAGGCGGCTATACCCTTAAAAAATATTCGAATTTATTATATGTAATGAGTACAGCCGCTGGCTATACTCTTTAAATACTCGAATTTATTATCTTCAATAGTATAGCTGCGCGTCTATACTCTTTAATTTTTCCCCGCCCTCCCTTCTTCCAGATATATTTCTCGGATTGAGTCTCTTTCCCTCTCCCATATATATTTCTCGGACTCTACAACTAGAAGAAACTATGGAGGAGAGTTATGTTTCTGTTGGGGGTTAAAAAGAATAAATACCAGCAAGACTTGTTTTTAGGACATGGAAAATTAGATTCAAAGCACATTCATGGATTGGCCTAACACTTTGGAACACTAAAGTCAGAAAGAATGACTGAGAAAGCTAATACATGGAAATCATTAGAATGGGAGGTATCAGAAAAAATTTAAATCCTCCTTTCCTAATATCTCATGTATAAATAATAAAATTAAAGAAATAACTCAAAAATATTTTCAAGAAAACTTAAAACAAGGTGTAAAAGCTAATATAACGACGTTTAATTCCTTCATATAGTGGCATTGTAAGGCTGGTGATATAAGTAAGGCATTTGAGTTGTTTACTGAGATGCAGGAACAGGGGTTATATCCTGATCCAAAGATCTTTGTAACTGTTATCAGCCGACTGGGGGAGAAGCTATACTCCGTTTTTTAATTTTGTTTAAAAGAAATAGTATAGCCGCGAGGCTATACTCGGTTTTTTAATTGTTTAAAAAATAAATAGTATAGCCGCGAGGCTATACATGGTTTTTTTTTCCTAATTTAAAAAAAAATAGTATAGTCGAGTGGCCATACTCTTTATATATATATATATATATATATATATACAGTCCCCTTCTATTGAGGGACACCCTATAGGGTCCTCTACGAATTTTTTTTCAACAATCCAAATCATCTATTTTTAAATTCTGCATTCATAGATCATCCTTGCAAAAAATTAGGCAAATCGAAAACCGTTTCGACATCCAATTGTGTCTTACAAAATCAATGAACATGGTGCTTCAAGAAAGTAATAAAATTTCAATAATTCATTTGAGTGGTCAAATGATATCGGATTCAAGTAATTTTTTTGTAGAGATATGATCCTTGAATGAATGTATACAAAATAGACAGTTTGGATTAGTAAAATACAATACGTAGTGGGCTCTATAATAGTGTATCTCAAATAAGCTTATTTGAAGGATCCCTCAATGGAAGCTATATATATATATATATATATATATATATATGCATGACCCAAACACTAAACGAGGAGTGGTGAGATTTTCGAAAAAGATCAAGTTCATGGGAAGGGATTTGGTAAATACAACTTGGTTAATAACAATTGCGAAAACTTTGCCAAATATTGCAAAATTGTAGTTAGGCATCTGAGCGTGTAGATCAAATTTAGAACAAGTTTATTTCCAACGCTTGGTTGCTGCTTTTTCTTCTTCCAGGTCTTCGTCATGACTATGCGTATATGTTAAGTTAATATATAATTGGTTATTGCGTGTTGAAAATGATTTTTTATTTCTTTTTACCCTATTTTTCTTCTTCATAAGTTAACGTTAGTTTCTATTGCCAAATTAAGTGTGGCATCAAATGATTCGCAACTTTCTTAGAACGTGACATTTCAATACCGAAAAAGAACTTAAGGTTCCCAAGATCCTTGATGCGAAAATGGGTATGAAGGAAACGTTTAAGGGAATTGATGCAGCAAAATTATTTCTCATAATCAGTATACCATCAACATAAATCAAGAGAGCAACAAAAGACTTCCCTCGTTTGTTGGTGAATAAAGAATAGTCTGCTTTAGACTGAGTGAAACCGGCAGCTTAGATGGCTTCTACAAACTTAGCGAGCCACTGTTGGGAAGTCTATTTTAGACCATACAAAGATTTGTTGAGGCGACATACTAGGTTCTCCCATTGGTGCTAAAGACTTGGCGATGGAGTTATATAAATTTCTTCATGGAGATTACCATAAGGGAATGCATTTTAACATCCATTTGGTGAAAAATCCAAGAGTAGGCAGCGACAATAGCAAGAAGACAACAAACAATGATCATCTTGGCTATGGGAGAAAAAGTAACGCGGAAATCAACCTCTTCAATCTGAGTGTAGCCCTTAGCAACGAGACACACCTTGTACCACTCAATTGAACCATCAAAATTATGTTTAATTTTGTAGACCCAAAGACAACCAATGGGATGCTTGCCAGCAGGAAGAGGGGTGAGAGTCTAAGTATTATTAGACTCCAAAGCATCAAGTTCAGAAGACATGGCTTGGCGCCAATTAAGATCAAAAGTTGCAGCAGCATAGGTACTGGGTTCCACACTGCGACTGAGATTAGTAATAAAAGCAAAGTGTGCAGAAGTGTAATCAAGCAAGAGATAGCGAGTACCTGTAATAGGATCTGAAGACAAAAACGACGAGTGTGAAGGTTAGGACAGCGTGACTTGGGAACATACATAGTCTCAAAGGGGCACATTGGGAACCTTGGGGCGGTTCGACTGGTGGGTTTATGGTATTGGAGCTAGTGAAAGAACCTATTCTGTGATAGGTTTGAATGGACGGAAAGGCGGTGGTGGTGACCTGCACTGTTAGATGAAAAGGAAAAATGGTTTCCTCAAATAAGATATCTCTACTTGTAAAACATTTTCGGGTGTAAATAGATTTTAAAAGCTCTAGGATCAAATTTCCTAGTAGGGTGAACATTATTGGCATAAGCAAGACAACCAAAAACCCTGAGATGGGAGTAGGAGGGTGGCTTACTGTATTGATGTTCAAAAGGGGTCTTTTTGGAAATGAGCAAGGTAGGGAGCTAGTTGATAATGTGCACGGCTGTGAGGATGCATTCCCCCCAAAAATAAAGTGGTAAAGTGAGCTTGAAATCGCAAAGCCCAAGTGGTCTCAAGGATGTGGCGATGCTTGCGTTCTCAACATTATTTTGTTGCAATGTGTAAACACAAGAATGTTGGTAAATGGTACCATGCTCCCTAAAAAACTCTTACAAGGGAAAGAACTCTCCCCTATTGTCCACATGGATAGATTGAATGCTACTATTGTATTGTGTATGAACATAGAATAGAAAAACTTTAGAATCCCTTGTGCCACATTCCCTGTCAAATAACCTTTTTTTCCCTGGCTTGACACATGAAGCAACATCATCTTCGACCAAGTGCTATGATTGTTTCCATTTAACCGTATGGTGAATGGGGCAGCAGAAGTATCATTGTGAACTATAACAATTGGTTGCGCCATGTCAAAAAAATTTCGGGTTTCTGAAGCACTGGAAGCACTAGATTTTGCGGTTGCGGTGGGCTTGTCAGGGATATCTTTGAAAGCCATGGAGCAGAGAGAACAAGTTTGAATAATTGTAATTGATTTTATATTTCTCCAATAGGAGGATATAAATACAACCATTGTTTCTTCAATTCTCATTTCCCTCTTTAGAAAAATAGAGGGTATAACGAGAAAATAAAATAGAAAGCGAGGGAAAAATAGAGGTGGAAAGAAGTAGAATTGTCAAGAAAAAAGAGTGGGAGATTGAATTTGTGAATGCGGTGGAAAATTGGGAAACACCTTACATTTCTAGCAAAAGCTTTGGTATCAAGGTAGAGGTTTCTTGGGGACCTTTTACAGAGATTGATTTAATTAAATTTCGTGAGCATTATATTATGCGTAGTACTGTTTGATTGACGTTCCTTGTATTGGGTGATTACGTACTCTTAACTATTTGAATAATGTTGACATAATTATATATGCACATTTGTGATGTTTTAAATGGCTAAAATGTTGTGAAGGGCATAATTATATCATGTCATGGAATTTGGCTAGAATTCTAGGGTTGAGAAAATAATGGTGGAAAATAGGGTAATGGAAATAGTCTTTTGTGTTGTTGAGTCTACTTTTGGCAAGAACCAGGTCTTAGGGATCCCACAGTGCACATGGTTTTTATTGGGTGATTCAGGACTAATGATAGGGAGTTAGACAAGATGACTAACAAAAGAGGAATTATGGAATGATTGAAATGGGTGCTAGTTCATATAAATGGGCATTCGGGACCAAGTGGTATATAAGCATGGTATGAGACATGCAAGTCTGCTTGTCTAGTTATATGAATTAATGGGATTAGATGAAGAGCATTCATGCATTATTAATAATATGATATTTTGTTGTGTGATTATATGTCACTTAATTTAATTATATCAATTTCCTACAAAAAGATTAATGTCTCTACTGAGCTGTGGTTTCGCTCACCCCTAACAGATTTTGTAAGTACCGAACCTAAAATCTAGAGCTTGTGATGATTTTGGCTTATCTATAGAGTGCATTGTGTACATATTTTGTGGATGAATAATGAACTACTCTTTTAGTGAACTCTTGAGTAATTCTAACTTTAAAATAATGTAAAATTTTTAAGATTTCAAATGTTGTCGTTTCCGTTGAATATTCTATGTGAAATATTTATTTTATTTACTTAAATGTTTCTTCATATTTTAGTTATAGTTTTTATTAAATTCTATAATTAAGATGTGAATCATGTCTTAACCCAAGGTTATGTAAATCCATGGGTTGGGGCGTGACAACCACACTCAAAAAATTCCCCACACTCATCCCCATATCCGTTTTTTATCCTTCATACCCAACCCATTAGTGTCGAATCCCCACGAAGACCCTTACTTGGGGAAATTGTCATCCCTTTCTTTCTCTCTCTTTGCGTGGTGCTGATCATGGTCCAACCCACCTTGTTGCCGCCCTCCCACAACCTATGCAAGCTCCAATTTTGTTGTTGTTAAGGTTTTCACAAATTAAATTTGCAGAAATTAAAAGGAAAAAAAAAGGGATCAAAATCCTAAAGCCTAAGTGAATAGGGCGACGAGATAGTGAGGGAGGCCGGGGAAGGTGCGTCAGGGGTGAAGAGTTTGACATCAACAGGCTGTGTCTTTGTTCTTCACTTTTGGTTGTTTTGCTCTTCTTCTTTCTCTATCCCACCCAAATATCTCGGTCCCAAATGAAACATAGAGGTCCAAATCCAATAAAATCTCCAATCTCTCTGAATTTGGCTAAGCCTTTTTCACACACACATGCTCTCTCTTAGAGCAAGTCCACCACAACATGCCTGTCAGGGCAATAGGCCCCTCCAGGTGAGGTTCGGACCTCCAGCGCAAACAATTTAGCCCGAGCAAGCCCATGGGCAAATCCTGCCTAGGCTGTTGCCCTCGGGCTACTGATGTCAGTGTGATGTCATGCTGACGTCAGCGCCTATTTTTTTATATAAAAAATTACTGTTTGCGCTTATTCCACTCGCCAATAGTAAAAAAATTTGAAAATCAGGCGCTGATGTCAGCGCTGACCCACTAGACCACATAGCCCAATGGTTATAAGCCACGTGGCTTCTCCTAGAGTCTCCGATCAAAAAATCTTGCCCAATCTAATGACTGTCCAATTTTTAGCTTAAAAAATTGAAAAAATATCAAATTTAAAAATAAAAAAACAAAAAACTCTAGAAATTTTTTCTATAAATACCTACCAATATTATTCACTTTTCACACCAAATCTTCATACAAATTCATCTCATTCCAATATTTTTCACTTTCCACATCAAATTTTCAACTACAAAATTTCATTAGTGCAAAAATACAAATGACCTCTTCCATTGAAGCCGGAGGGTCGTGGACAAACGTTCAAAGAGGTCAAAATCTTGGCTACGAGGTAATAAAAAATAAAAATTTCCGTTTTTGTCAATTTAATGTCATTATATATATATATATATATATATTTCTTGCATTTCCAATTTCCTTTTTTTTTAATAGATTATTCAAGGGAAAACAAAAAAGAGGAAAACCATTGCACATGGCTCCTCAAGTGAACAATGCCCGCAGTCGGTTCTAGTGGTGCGTTCCGTGTCGGAAATAATGGCACTATTACGTCATCTGAAGAAAAATACTTCCCCACGTCGTGATTCGGTGGAACCGCCTCCGCCAATAATAGAGTTGTCCTTGTACTCCATTGTGTCGGACTATGAGGACTGGGAGTTTTTCAATTGTATGATGAGTGAGTAGGTATTTCAATTGTATGTGTGAGATATGAATTTTATAATAAATATGAGGACTAGGAGTTTTTCAATTGTATGATGAGTGAGTAGGTATTCAATTGTATGTGTGAGATGTGAATTTTATAATAAATATGGACACATGGCAACTGAAAATCTTATCCAAAAATTTAATTTGAAAATTTTATCCGAAAATGTTATTTGAAATTTTATAATAAATAGTGCCACGTGGTAACCGAAAATATTATTTGAAAAGTTTATCAAAATTAATGGTTTAAAGTACAAAAAAATAGAAAAGAAAGTACAATGAATAGTATTTGCCCTTGCCCTAGCCTTTTGGGGTGGAACAAAAAAAGGCAAGGCTGTCACTATTCACATGAATAGTAGCAGCCCTTGCCTTGCCTTTGCCTTAGCCTTAGGGCATTTCCAGCAGTCAAAATGTTGCCATGGCAAGGGGGGGGCAAGGGGGGGTACTATTCACAGGAATAGTGTCTGCCCTTGCAAAAAGTAAGTTGCACTTCCAGCAGTTGCCAGGGCAAGGGGGGGTACTATTCAATTTTTTGTTTTTTTCACAAATTTGTTTACCTAAACAATTAATTTTGACAATATATTCGGATGAGATTTTCTGATAAAATATTCGGATAAGATTTTCAGATAAGATTTTCGGTTTCAAATTTCAGATAATTTTTTTTTCAAATTTCAGATAAATTTCGAGTTTTCAATTTCATATTAATTTCAATTTTATATATTTAATGCTTTGGTTGTGGTTAGTTTTTTTTTATGTATGGAATGTTTTGAATAAAAAGGAATTTTATTTAATAGTTTCTTTGATAGAGAAAAATTAAACTTGAAAGTGAAAAAAATTTAGAGTTGAAAGTGAAAAAAATTTAGAGTTGAAAGTGAAAAAATTATTGAGTAGAAAGTGAATAATTAAACTTGAAAGTGAAAAAAATTTTGAGTTGAAAGTGAAAAAATTATTGAGTAGAAAGTGAATAATTAAACTTGAAAGTGAAAAAAATTTAGAGTTGAAAGTGAAAAATTATTGAGTAGAAAGTGAATAATTAAACTTGAAAGTGAGAAAAATTCAGAGTTGAAAGTGAAAAAATTATTTAGTAGAAAGTGAATTTGTTGTTAAAAGTGAAGAGTATGGATTGGTATTTTATAAAAAAAAATTCAGTATTTTTTGGGGTTTTTTTAAAATTTTTTAAGATTTTTTTCATAATTTTTTGCCTTGAAAAATTCCAGGCCGTTGGATTGGATGAAAATTCGGAAATTGGAAGGACCAGGTCGCGCCACGTGGCAGCTGAAAGAAAAAAAAAATTCGCGCCTGCTGACGTCACGCTGACGTCAGCTGCCTTCGGGCTGCTGCTCGGGCTGCCTTCGCCTTGGGGCCAGCCCAGGCAAGTGGACCCCACACTGCCCGGGCCAGCCTTTGTTGCTGGAACTTGCATTTGGGCTCTCCCCCCCCCCAGCCCGAGCCCGAGGGGGCTGCTGGAAATGGCCTTAGAGCATTTCCAGCAAGGGGCCTTGGGGGGGGGGCTGGGGGAAAATGGCGCCAACCTTAAAAAAAAATTGACGCGCCCGCTACAGTGACCCGCCAACGGGTCTATTCCACGTGGCGCCCACATGAGCTGTCCGATCAACTTTATTCCAAATCCAACGGCAGCCATTTTTCGCGAATAAAAAAATGAAAAAAAAATCGAAACTCACACCCAACGGCTCTCTTCCACGTGGCGATGCTCTGGGCGCTCCAATTTAGTTCTTCCAGCAATCTAACGGCAACTGTTAATTCTGCCCCAAAAAAAATGAAAAAAAATCGAAAAAATTTGAAAAAATACCCAAAAAATACTGATTGTTTAAATAAACAAAGTTGTGAAAAAAACAAGAAAAAAAGAATAGTATTTGCCATGGCAAGGGACTAACTGCTGGAAACACACATTTGTTGGGGGGAGCTAGGGCAGCCACTATTCACGTGAATAGTAGCTGCCCTAGGGCTCCCCTTGCCATGGCAAGGGGCTAACTGGTGGAAGTGCTCTTAGCCTTTTGGGGTGGACATGAACTTATGGCTTTGAATGTATGCTGGTTGGCTTGGGGAGAAGCGTGGAGAGAAGAGGAAGGGGACAAAAAAACATAAGGGAGGGGGGGTGCAAATGGGTCTGGGTTTGTGGGTGGGGATAGGTTTTTAATTTTTTTTTTTCTCATTCTCTTGTATTTTTCCAAAAGAATATAATTATTTTTAATAATTTAACATAAAATTGGATGAAAATTGGGGGAAATTGGCTAAAACAATGTTCATATTTTTAAGTTTCTAAGAAAAAAAGATATTGGGTCCATTCAAAGTTAGGTACAAATTCAGGGGGCAAATCACCAAGCAAAGTAAATTCTAATGGTTCCAATACAACAACCACCAAACACCAACAATAATAAATATTGTAATATTCCAACAAGTATATATTTAAATTTCTTGTACCTATTTGTTTACTTTTCTAGCATATATTTGTCTATGAAAAATTATCATTTTCTAATTATTGAAACAAAAAAATTGCCAATCGGGTCTAGGCTAGTGGCCACTACTAGAAAACATCATATTTTCCATGGAAAAAAGCTCGGTCTCAAGTTCAAATCCCATGACACCTTAAATAGTTTGTGTGTGAGAAATCCTCTTCAAAAAAACAAAAAATAAATAAAATATTAAACCTAGTTTACTAGCCACAATATCTTGATTGTACCTAAAGCTTTCTTATGCCACGCATCATGTTCTAGAGTGCACCATGGTGGGCACAATGTCCCCTAATAAAACAAAACAGAGTTCACGGACACAACATTAGCCAAATTCACGAGAGCACCTTTAATCATACATAGAGGCTTATATATAATATGCCATGCAAAGAAAACCAGAATCCACAACACCTTCCAATTATAAGCTCCCTTGTGCTCCACACATCCTACTGCGTGTGGTTCTTCTTCCTCTCTTCTCTCCAAGCATATGCTCCCCAAACGAGACCTAGGACAAGCTGAAAAAAAATGAAGCCCCAATTCCTCATCTTCCTCTTTGTCCTCTACATTATTCTCACTTCCAACTGTATTGTTTCAGCCACTTCTCAAACACGTTTTTTCCAACAAAAGCCCAACAACGAGACCATACTGAGGGTCTCAAAGCAACTATGCTGGGGTTGCTTAGGAGAGTCCCTAGAATTTTTGTACCAACACAATTTGGTCAGGGCAGCCAAGTGGGAGATGCCTTTGATGTGGGACTTTCAGCTTGAAAAATATGCTCAATGGTGGGCAGGCATAAGAAAATCGGACTGCAAGTTGGAGCATTCGTTCCCGGAAGGCGAGTTCAAGCTCGGAGAGAACATATACTGGGGCAGTGGCTCGACTTGGACGCCGAGTGACGCAGTGAAGACATGGGCAGCTGAAGAGAAGTACTATACTTATGTGACAAACACGTGTGAGGCTGGGCAAATGTGTGGGCATTATACTCAAATTGTGTGGAAGAGTACAAGAAGAGTTGGGTGTGCCAGGGCGGTGTGTGATGATGGAGATGTGTTTATGACTTGTAATTATGATCCGGTTGGTAATTATATTGGTGAGAGGCCATATTAGTAATGCTCAATTTTAAGATATACATATCTTATGTAGGTATGGGTTTAGTTAAGAGCGCTTCCCACTCTGCACCTGAGTTCGAATCCCTGTAGTTTAGATTAAATTAAAGTAGATTACATATATTGTATAAACAATACATAATATTATATATTTATATGGTCATCTAGCTAGGCCCTAGGTGTGGGCCCAGTTAGTTCATGTGGTTGAAAATTACAAAAGCTAAAGTCTTGTACAAGTATATATATGGCTGTCAGTGTGAATTAAATATGTATGCTACTAAATATTTTAAACCAGGAGCCTGTCTTGCATTTTGACCGCATTCTTCCAACCCTGGCTTGGCTACTTGGTGCGGAAAGTCCCACCTTATTGCTTGCACGTTCTCCTTATTCCTTATATATGAATTCATCAGAGCTACATAAAATTTATAATAAAAAAATTCATGGCCGTAGAAAAATGTATAAAAGAAAGAAATTGCACTACAATGAATTTTCCTAATAACATATTCTTAAATATAAGATAACAATGTATATATGACTTTATATATTTTTATTTATTATTTATTAATTATTGGGGTCATGAGAGTGAGACATTGTATGAAGGACATGCATGTAACTTTACAGTCTCTTGTCATATTCATTATTCAGGGCAATATGGGTTGTTAGTTATCCATTCAGCCCACATCTTGGACCCAGTTTCATTTAAAGGAAATAACAGCTAGTTTGAACTTCAAAGTAGCAGGTATTAAAAAAATAATAAATAGCCGGCCTAAACCGGGAATTGGAAGAACCGAACCGGATTTTAAAGGTTTCGATTAGTTCACTTCTTTTAGTCATATCAGCCAAAAACAAACCGAATTGGATTGAATGCATAGGGCAGTCCTGGTTATGATTTTAGGCAATAATTGAGCCAAATCGAATTGTACCCATCCCTAGTTTGAAGCGAAAAAAGTAATGGAAGGACCAAAAACTCCTTCTACCTTAAAACACTGGTTTAGGAGCTATTTTATTAAATTAAGTTGATATGTTTACATGATTATCATGCAATTTAATTATATTGAAGGAGTGAGAAATCAAACAGATTATCTACCTCGGGAGGAGAAATGAATGCTCTAATTACTTGAACTTATGTATGTTAAATTGTTAATGATGCCCCGATTATGGATAATGTACTCACCCCTCAAAAGAGAAGGAAATAATCTACCAAACAAATGCACTAACATTTCTGTCAAGCATTCTTATCTTTTCACTCCAAGATATGCAATTGCCTTTGTGGTCTTACAATTCATAAAGAAAACTCATAAAGCTATAGACGCAATCCTCAAGGTTCATGCCGCTTAATTATGTAATATAATCCTGTAATATTATTAGTTATAATTAAATAGAGATTAGAAAAAATCCATATAAATACTCTCCATTGTTGCCAGCCTCAAAGGCATATAAACAGCGTGTAATTTCTATGAAATATTCAATAAGGCCTTTCTCCAATATAATTCCCAGGAGGGTCATAGTTGCAAACCATGAACACACCCCTACCACCCAAACAAGTGACTCTAGCACACCCAACTCCTCTTGTGGACCTCCACACAATCTGTGTATAATGCCCACATTCCTGCCCTCTAGCACAAGAATTAGACCAGTAATTGTACCACCTGCTCTCCGAAGCCCATGCCGTCACTGCCTGAGCCGGCGTCCACCCTGTGCCACTACCCCAGAAAATGTTCTCCCCATAAGGGCCGTTTGAGTGCCTCAAAGTGCAGTCGTATCGCCTTTGGTTTGCATACCATTGTGCATACCTTGCCAACTTCGCATCCCAAACCAATGGCTTCATTTTGGTGGCTGAACGGGCAGCATTTTGAGGAGCCAAAAATTGGTTAGCCTGGCTTAGGTACTGGCTGTGCCTTGTTGCAGCATTTGTGCTTGAGATAAGGACCAGAAGAATTGTGGTGGTGAAGTAGTAGTACAATGCTGCAGGCATTTTGTTTTGTGAAATTCCGAATATTCTTTTATTTGAGAGAATTTGGGGAAGTTTGTGTTATAAGTGGGTCATTGTGTTTATTTATAATAAGGCCGCAGTAGTTGAATTTTTGGGGTATAAAGTGTCAACTCTGGGGTGGCACCCACGTTCGATGATGATTGCCACATTTGTTTTTGTGGGGACAAATTAAGCCACAACGGTTTCAATTAATAACCTATTAAATAATTATTTCTCCAATTTCATATAATTTCAGGGTGGGTTGCCAAATTAATTTATACTCAAAATTTATGATAGATTCTTCTATCGCATTTAAAGGAAGAAATTGATGTTGAATATTTTCAATTAATTAATATTTATGTTAAAGGATTAGAACCCTGTGGAGAGAAGAGGGATTAAAATAAGAACAAAGATTTATTCTCTTCTAGAAAATTTTATTTGATTAACAGTTACTTCCCAAAGTGAAACCTAGTTGTATGAAGACATGTTCAAAGGTTTGTTGATGTCAGTATAATATGGATTTTTTATATATATAAAAATGTACGTATGTCAACATGCTGGTTTTGAGATTTTAAGGGCCTGTGCGAAACTTAAATTGAGGTCCTCATATAACAAGGAAAAGCTAAATATAAAAAAACTAAAAAATTAGCATGACTTAATGTTATAAAACAACTTGTTTTAGCTAAATTCATCATCAATTAGCATGCAATGACAATCACAAATTCATAAAATTTTAAACTTTTCAATTTGGGAAAGATAAATAATAAGTAAGTTCAGTACAAACAATAAGCAAATAAAAATGAATTTATCAAGAGCTCCTCTTTGAGATTGAGCCAATTGCTCAATTTTTCATAGTTGTTTTGTACATTGTATTGCCTAGTAGGTGACATGTTTATAATACAAAGAAAAATTCCAACCCAGCAAGTAATATTCCATATATATATATAGTTTACCGTTGTTTGATGGATTGATGTCATTGTCAATATTTTATATGCAAGCATGATAACACCATTTTCTCCAATAACACATCCTCTTCTCCACATGATTAGTTGGAGAGACGTGTGGGATAATAAGGGATAATAAAGCTCAAGTCACTCTATTGATTTGATACCAACAACCCCAGGGAGGGTCTTTGCTGTTCTTTCTTCGGTTTCGACATTTTGTATTGTTTGGTGTCCTATAATAAATTGGTGCTTTCTTTGAGACAATATTATGTACTTATACAAGTTTCTCTTCTTTGGTTATCCAAGTTAATTATCAGCTTCTTGAAGCTTATTTGGCATGATGATTTCTATAGATGGCTTGACCTCTTTTTGGCCATTTGTAGCCTCCCTATGTGCATGTATTGATGGTTTACAAGATTCCAAGATACAACCCCCAATACTCAAGCTCAAGGTCCGTTATAAACATATTCACAGTTGGATAAAAGTCTCTAAGTCACAAAATTGTTGCCCAAAAATAATAATATCGAAAGTAGAGAAAGTATGAAAGTAGGAGAAGAGAGAAATCAGATTGTGGTGTTTTTCAAATGTGAAGGAGTGACCTTTTATAGACATCCAACAATTGTAACATCCACATACAATTTAAACCAGAAAATTAAGGCAATAAATAAATAAATAAATAACTACAAATTCAAATGGTATAACCTCATAATAAATAGGAAAACAGCCAAATGAATTTAAAAGAAAATTTAAAGACAAACGTTTAAAATTTTAAAAGCCTTAAATATCAACAAAAACTTATTTACCCGAACCCACCACATGGCAACCTTCTTATAATATCATCATCACCATCATTGCATGCAAATGGCAGTGGTTGCTGAGAATGGCTGGACAAGCCTAAGCCTGCATCTGTGACAAACATCGAAAGTGGGTTTCCATTTATTTGTGGTGTGCCTATGAGATATATATATATATATATATATATAGGGGCGGATCCATGGCACCATATTTTTTACACAAGTTTTGACACAATTTTTGGGCCATTAGATTACTCCACTTTTAATGGTTGAGATTAAACATGACATGGAAAAATAATATTTTTCTTGTTAATTAATATTTATACATTGGGATTAAAATTCTGATACCATATTAATTAAGAATTCATTCTCTCTCTTCTCATTAATTATGTTTAATTAATTAATTCTCTCTCTTTCTTCTACAGAGAATTGACGCCTCTCTCTCTCTCTCTCTCTCTCTCTCTCTCTCTCTCTCTCTCTCTCTCTCTCTCTCTCTCTCTCTCTCGTCCCCAAAAATTAATATTTGCATTGTGGTTTCATATCATTTTCATTTTCCTCCCAAATTTCTTCCTTTCACTTTTTTTTATAATGTCTAACAGGTGGAAGAACTGACTGTCATTTTCCTCCCAAATTTCTTCCATTCATCTCTCTCTTTCTTCACTTTAGTCACTCCATCATCATCATCCACACACTCCTGCATTCCTATTTTTCTCTTCAATCAGTAATCCTTCATAACCCACTCTTGGTATTGATCTCTCAGTTTTAATTTTAGTGAGGTATAATTATTGGAGAAATCTGGAAAATTTGTAAATGGTGGAGTTGAGAAATATTGGGTTGGCTTCGGTTTTGTGGGGGAACAATATACTTTTGGGGAATCTCTTCCTCTTTTTTTCTTCAAATTTTATTATCTCTTGGGCAGTTTTGGAAAATTTGGAAAGGTGAAGCTGAGAGAGAGCTTGGGTCCTGTCAGAGAACAGTGAAGGTGCGGTTTTGGGGAGAAAAATCGCACCATGTATTGATTTCTTCTCCAGATCTAAGGAATCTCTTATGTCATTCCATTATCATAAAGTATTATCATTTTTCACCTTTTCAGTTAAATATATTAAGCAAAAGAAAAAAAAAGAAGAAATCAGTATATGATATGTGGGTGTTAAAGAAGTGACTGAAGAGGAAGTGATGAAACAACCATAAATAAAAGAAGAACAAACTGTTTTTTATTTTTTTCGGGACTGCAAGAGGAATGGGGGAGAGAGAGAGGAGGAAGAACATGGGTGAAAATACTTTGTAAAATTTTAAATTGAAAAACAAATTGATTGTGTGGGCTGGTTGATTAAAGAGAAAAAGAGGAGTAAATGCAGGGCGTGTGGGTGATGATGATGGTGGAGGAGTCGTTGAAGATAGAGAGGGATGCGAAAGGTTGGAGAAAATGGGTTCAGAACATTTTTTTAATATTTAAAATTGGAAGTAAAATTAGTTTCCAATAAAAAGGGAGGAGAGAGAAATTTATTTTATTTTATTTTATGAGAGAGAATAAAATTAATGATTGTTTATTTAAAACATTAAAACTATTTGTCATGTTAGATTTAATCTCAACCATTAAAAGTAGAGTAATCTAATGGCTCAAAAATTGGGTCAAAACTTGTGTCAAAAACATGGTGCCACGGATCCGCCCTATATATATATATATATATATATATATAGTGTAATTCATCAATAACACCAAAGGAGATTTTTTAAAACATGTTATATTGTTTTTTCGCTTACTTTATTTGTGGTCACTTTTCTTTGTCAATTATTACAAACCCCAATATATCAGACTGGAGGACTTGTTCTTTGATAGATAAGTATCTCCAACTACCTCTCTATAGCCACCAACCCTTCTGCCCTCATCTACTTGTTCCTCGTATATAAGTAAGTCAGTCTCTACAGCTAGCTAGCACAAAGCCAAGACCATCTAGCAACTATGGTAGGAAACCCCAAACCCCAAACTCACCATGTTGCCGTTTTGGCCTTCCCTTTTGGGAGCCACGCAAGCGCTCTTCTCGACGTTGTTCTCAAACTGGCTCCAGCTTCCCCACACGTCCTCTTCTCCTTCTTCACCACTTCTAGAGCGAACACCTCCCTCCTCTCCAAAGTCTCGCCGTCGAGCTTCCACAATGTTGAGCCTCACGACGTGGCGGATGGGTTGCCTGAGGGTTTCGTGCCCTCAGCCAACTTTGAGGAAGCTATCGGGTTGTTTTTGAAGACGGCGCCCGGTAACTTCATGACGGGTTTGAAGAACGCCGAGGCGGCGACGGGTTTGAAGGTCAGGTGTTTGGTGACCGACGCGTTCTTTTGGTTCGGGGGAGATATGTCGGAGGAGATCAAAGTGCCCTGGGTGCCGGTTTGGACTAGTGGACCACGGTCACTTCTTGTTCATGTAGAGACTGACTTCATACGGGAAAGGGTTGGAACCGTTACTGGTAAGCAATCAATTTCATTTAATTGCATTTTGTGAGCATTTATATGTTTCTGAAATGTTTATATTTTTGTTTTTGGCAACTGAAATTTAGATATTAAGTTCATACATTTTATAGTTAAACCAATTTTGGCCATAGGAAACTAGATCCATTGTTATGTATATATTCTGGTATATGCCTAGTGGTTTGCCTGAAGAATCATTGGATATTTGAGCACTCTTTTCTCCATATTCTTTCTACTTTTTATATTTTATGGATACAAATGATATTCTACTTTAAGGGTGGGGAATTCTAACTCGATTGCATAATGAGGAGCACATATCCTCTCTAGCCAACTTGACTAAGTCCTTGTCTGCCTTATTCTTTGTACTCTAGTCCAAAACACTACGTGTGATTGAAAATGGAAAATATCCAATATTACCTTCCCTCCATTCGTATTAACAATTTCAAATAACAACTTGAATAGCGAAGAGCTAGTAATTGTAATTCTATGTTATTTCCTTTTTCTCTATTATCCTACATTTACTCTCATTTTTCTTCTTACAACCAATTCACTCGGGCCTCCCGCATGTCCATTTTTTTTTGGGAGATTCACTACTATACCCAATATAGGGGCCTAAATTATTAAAAAAAAACTCTATATGAAATGGACTTTAGAAACACACTCAAAGTCCATTTGCAACATAACAAAAAGACCTTTAACTTCTTATAAATTAAAAAATTGCCATCAATTTCTTAAAATAAGCCAACCCCAAAACCTCATAAAAATACTTAAAACACTTAATAGGGCATCAAAGTAATTTAATAATTAAAATTAAATTCAATAAGGCTAGCCATCATTTTTTGAGTTTTTTTTTGGGTTTGTTTATAGAAATTAAATGGTACATGATTTATCTATATTATTAGTGCTAAGAATAGGTATATGACTAAATATCTTTTTTTTTCCCTCCTACTAATACTTTATTCAAAGTTAATACATAAAACTTAGAGATGAGTTACAATATTTTGGTTAAAGATATAGTCACAGTTTTTTTTTTTTTTTTTTTTTTTTTTTTGGGTGAGAATGTGGCATAAATAGTATTTGGGCTTTTGGAGCTTTTTTGCTTCTATTGACTAAGATATAATCAAACAGACAGTGAAATGACATTTTTCGCAACAATATTATATAATCTTTAGAATATACAAAGTATAGAGTTCAATGCAAACTTGTGATGTGGTTTTTATTTTATTTTATATTTATTTAGAAATTCTGTAATTGTATTCATAATTTAGCCAAAAAGTAATTAGTTACAAAGAGCCATTACAATAACGGAGTGATCTAACATCAAAATTAAGACAATCTAATTATGCATTGTGAAATGGAGGAAGTAGGCGCTAGAAGGCCAATTTATTAATCTAACTATTGTCTGCTGTGGCCCGGTACTTATTGAGTTGAATATTTATTTATAAAAAAGTATTCTCATGTCGGGAGAGAGGGTCTATTCCGAATGTGAATAAGACACATATTCATACAAAAATGTTTTCAAGATCTATCTCCAATTGAAAAATTCCCATCTTTCTTTCCAAATACGACTATTTTGGCACTAAAATCACTTTCTCATATCGCTTTCATTTTAAAACACTATATAGTTTACTAATATGGAAAATAGAAATACAATTTTACCTAATTAGCATAAAGCCAAAGACCAAAAAATTTGTGTGGTTGAAGGGACTTGAACCTTGACCCTCAAAGGAGGAAGCCTTACTCACAAACCACGACACCAAACTCTTGTTTTTGTGATATTTATTCAATTACACAATATTTATATAAACAATCAAAGGTTTAAAACAAATTAATTTCAACATAGATTCATACAAAAACTGCAACAACAATACAATGTAGATATCAATGACGTAAAAAAATAAAAAAATGTAAAAACAAAAACTACAAACTCCGAACTACAAACTACAAACTCCAAAAAAAAACAAAAACTATTTTTATAGAAACAAAAACTGCACTGCAGATGATGAAAGTACTAAAATTAGTGAGGAATCAAAATGCAAAACCATGATGAAAGTATTAAAACTGAAACGAAAACTGCAATCACTACTACAAAAATCGAAATAGACGACGGGAAACCACCGTCGTGTAAAAGGTTTTCGCCCGGTCGTGAAATCGACTGCCGTCTATTTGGGTTTCAAATTACAACGGCTTTTCACCGTCGTTGTTTATCAGTAAAGATGACGGTTTTTAAAGAAAATCGTCGTTGTTTAGAGGTAAAGATCGTTAATTATAGGAGGAAAGACGACTGTTTTTAATAAAACCGTCGTGTATTGTATGTAAAGATGACGATTTTTTTTATGAAAACCGTCGTGGATTGTTTATAAAGACGTCATCTTTACATACAATAGACGACCTTTTTTTATAAAAAGCGTCATCTTTACATATAATAGACGACGGTTTTTATAAAAAGCGTCATCTTTACATACAATAGACGACGGTTTTTTATAAAAAGCGTCATCGTTACGTACAATAGACGACCGTTTTTTTTATAAAAAGCGTCATCTTTACGTACAATAGACGACAGTTTTTTTATAAAAAGCATCATCTTTACGTATAATAGACGACGGTTTTTTTATAAAAAGCGTCATCTTTACATATAATAGACGACGGTTTTTTCGGTTTTTATAAAAAGCGTCATCTTTACATATAATAGACGACGATTTTATAAAATCGTCATCTTTACATATAATAGACGACGGTTTTTTAAAAAAATCGTCATCTTTACATATAATAGACGACAGTTTTTAATAAAAATCGTCGTCTTTACATATAATAGACGACGATTTTATAAAATCGTCATCTTTACATATAATAGACGACGATTTTTAAAAAATGTCATCTTTACACATAATAGACGACGGTTTTTATAAAAATCGTCGTCTTTACATATAATAGACGACGGTTTTATAAAATCGTCATCTTTACATATAATAGACGACGGTTTTTATAAAAATCATCATCTTTACACATAATAGACGACGATTTTTATAAAAATTGTCATCTTTACATATAATAGATGACGTTTTTTTTATTATAAAAAGCGTCATCTTTACATATAGTATGACGTATGATAACAAAATCAAAGAAATAAATTGATAAAAAAAATTCGTATTAAGACGATGGTTTAAATATAAGGTATGACGTATAAAAGGAATAAATACGACGTTAAATTTTATAATACGTTGTTAAATGAAAAACAAACGTGGTGAGATTTAAAGATACCGTCATAAAACTATACGAGAAAGACGTCGATTTATTTTCCGTCGTTGTACATTAATTTAATACGGCGATATTTTGTATTTTACCGCAGTAGATTTATTTGTAATTATATGGCGCCTTATACGAAAACTTGGTCGTGTTATTTTCTGCGTAAAAACGACGGCTTTTTTTGAAATCGTCGTCTTTACTTTCTACGTCGGTCGATTCATAACTTCTGCCGTTCTTTATTTGCTTTGATTTTACACTGCGGAAATCCTGTTTCAAATAGACGTCGGTTTTTTAATTAGGTACGTCGTTGTTTATGAACAACCATTTGAATCTCCATTTTTTAGGTGTCTAAGGTGTTATTACACGGCGGTTTTATAAAACCGTCGTCTTTTAAAAAACAACGACGGTTTTCACTTAGACCGTCGTTTTTTTCTGGTCGTGTTTGTCACTTTTTGTAGTAGTGAATGCAGAGTCTGAGTAAAAATGCACCTACTAAACGTGAGGAACTAAAAGTCAAAACCATGATGAAAGTACTAGAAAATTATACAAAAATCTCTAACCAAACAGCACCTCAAGCTCAAATATGATTATTAAATAAATTAAAAAAAGCCAAAGTAAAAACAAAGACAACATCAAAGAGTTGAAAAATCAACTTATAAAAACCGAAAAAAACTAGAAAATTCAAATAACAATTTGATCAAGAATATACATACCTCCACAACAGAAAAACTGAGCTTCACATCAAAACATGAATACTACAATAGAAGAAGAAGATCGAAAAATACACTGCATTTTCTATAAAAACCAAAAGTTCTCATATTTAAGTGGGATTTTAAAACTAAAACAAAAATGTTAATATCAATGATGTAAACAAAAAAAAATGCACAAAACAAAACAAAAACTTTGAACAGAACCAAAAACTACACTACAGAGTATGGGGGAAAAATAAACATATTAGTAAGTGGAATGCAAAACCATGATGAAAGTACTAAAATGGAAATAGAAACTGGAATGCAGAAACGGAAACTGCAATGTAGAAACGGAAATTGCAATGCATAAATGGAAACTGTAAACCACATTCTTGTTTGTTTGGTTTCTTACTCCATGGTAAAATTGATTGGGTGCCGAACTAAAAGAATCGAAAGAGAAGCAGAAATGAGAGAGAGGAATTGATTGACCCAGACGAGCCAAACAAGATCGGTGATGGCAGTGACTCTTCACTAGATAGGGGCTTGGACATCATGGTGCTATGGTATCGTGACTGTTGGATTGTTCTAGACAAAATTGACCACAAACTCCCGCAGCTTGGGTTGGATATTTTGGGGAGATGATAGAGAATGTGATGGCGAGCAACTTTCGTGAAGGAACTATAGTGAGATAAGGTCATTACGGAGACGAAAACTCGCCATCAAATTGGGCTAGCGGCAGGCCCCGACTGCTAGACTGTTCCAACAAAAATTGCCCACTAACACCGGCTGTTTGGGTTGGGTATTTTGGGAAAATGATAGAGGAAGTGATGGCTAGCAACTTTCGTAAAGGAATGACGACGAGATAAGGTCGTTACGACGATGGAAAGTCGCTGTGAAATTGGGAATGTGGATGCCCTGTTTTCCAGTAGAGAGAGAGGGGAATGATGAGATCTGATTTTGGTGAGGCTTTAAACAAAAAGGGTAAAATTGTATTTTTACCTTTCTAATTTAGACAGGTTCAATGAATCTGGGTCTCCTTTTTGGCCAAATCCAAAACAAAATTTGATTCCTAGGTATTAAAACGCAAACAGAAATACTCTATGTCTCAAATCCTAATTAATAAGAATTGTTATGTCTAATACCTAATTTATATACATATATATATATATATATTTCCATGAGTTGGACAATACTATGTGATTTATTCATTGTTTAACAAATGTTTTATACTCAATTGTTTTTTGGTTATTTTTTTTTACTTCAATTTTTTTATTTTATATTAGTTTATTTTTACGAAGATTTTAACCTGATTAGTTTAGATATTTTCACTATTTGATTTAATTTTGATTGTTCTATCTTTTTGTTTTCACTATTTAGATTTGTTGAGACTTAATGTAGGACGTCCGATAGAAACTCGTTGTTAGGTTTATACGTCGTGCTCTTTTAGGGTGCTTCTAATTTATAGAGCATCTCCTCTAACAACAACAAAAAAAAGTAGCTGTTAGATCACCGTGATTTATTACTATGGGTTGCTTCATAATTGGACATTAAGCCCATTTCATATGATGGTCGGCTCATTTGAAAAGCTACCAGGCTCACCGGCAATAAGCCCGTCAGTGAGCCCATCTCTCTCTCTCTCTCTCTCTCTTTCACATGCGCACCTACTGAGTGGGCTGCAGCCCAATATAAGGCCCCCAAATTTGGACTGGAAGTGTAGGTAAAACCCAAAAAGGCCTCTTCATCAATATATCTATATATATAAAGCAAACGGTAGAGAATTGTGAAACATTCAAAATACCAAAAAATGCCTTTGGTTAATTCAAACATTAAGAATTGAAATTATTAATTAAATGAGGATAATATGGTAAATTCACATTTTTTATATTGAAACAAAACAAAATTAAAAACAAAATCCGATATAGGTCCTTTTTTTACGGAACATAACTACCCATTTTATCTTTTCTTAATTCTAAAAATAAAATTAAAAAAGAAAAAAGAAAACCAATTGGCACATGCGTGAGCATGTGCCAAGGGGCTAGTATATATAAAGCAAAAGGCAAATAATGGTAAAACATTCAAAATACCAGAAAATGTCTTTGGTTAATGCAAACATTAAGAATTGAAATTATTAATTAAATGAAGATAATATAGTAAATTCGCACTTTTTCATATTAAATTAAAAGAAAAATCAGATAATGGATCATATTTGTATGGAACACAACTACCCATTATCTTTTCTAATTCTAAAATAAATTTTAATTTTTTTTTAAAAAAGCCTCTCGCAGGCGCTGAAGCGTGTGCAAAGAGGCTAATTCTAATGAAAGAAGAAAAAAAAAGGCCCCCATAATTCATTTTAACCCAAAAAGGCCCCCATAATTCATTTAAATTTTTGTCAACTTGCAGCTTCTTCTGGCTCACGATGGACTTTAATTCCTCTAGCCATTGCCTCTCTTTTTTTCTTTTTTTCTTTTTCTCAGGAGGTGGAAAACAGGCGCTTGACTTCCTTCCCGGATTTTCAAGATTTCAGATATGTGACTTACCGGATGGAGTAGTAACAGGGAACTTAGATTCACCCATAGCAACCCTGCTACACAAAATGGGACAAAAACTGATCAAAGCAACTGTTGTTGCGGTTAACTCTTTCGATGACGTAGACCCTGAAATTGAGAATGCGCTCAAGTCAAGGTTTCAGAAGTTGCTCAACTATGGACCGATGAGCCTAATATCAAGATCACCACAATCACCTGAAGACGAAAGTGGTTGCATAGAGTGGCTGGACAAGAACAAGCCTGCATCTGTGGTATATATTGCCTTTGGAAGCGCGGCAACCCCACCACCTCATGAGCTAGAAGCCCTAGCTCAAGCTTTGATTGAAACTGGGTTTCCATTTATTTGGTCATTTAGGGGCAACATAGAGGATTTCTTGCCCAAAGGGTACAACAAAAGTAGCCTAAATGGGAAAATAGTTTCATGGGCTCCCCAAGTGCAGGTCTTAGGACATGCCTCAGTTGGGGTTTTTGTGACACATGCTGGGTGGAATTCGGTTATGGAGAGTATTTCAGGTGGGGTGCCTATGATTTGCAGGCCATTTTTTGGCGACCACACGCTCAACGTGAGGACCATAGTGGCTCTTTGGGGAATTGGAACTGAGTTTGAGGGAGGGGTCATTACAAAAATTGGAATGGTGAAGGCCTTGAAACTTGTTTTGAAGCATAAAGAAGGAAAGGAAATGAGAAACAAAATCGGGGCCCTTAAAATTCTTGCTCAACAAGCGGTTGAATCTAATGGTAGCTCCAGCCAAGCTTTCAATAGCTTGATGGACATTGTCACCAAGTAATATGTATCAAGTCGAAAGCTTGGAGATCAATTACAATACAATTTAAGGCTTCTTAGATCTAGGACTAAAACGATTAGTTGTAATTGAGTTTAATCCACACGTTTTTAGTTTCAGTTGTAGGTCATTTGACATTTATTATTTTTGTTGTTGTGTCGATTTTACCATTTGAGATCAATAAGAAAAACACATTGAAAAGATAAATTTAATGCATTATTTCCTTATAATTGAATTTTATAATTCAAATTTTGAATTCCTTCCTTGATAATATTCACCTGTCATATTTCCCTACCCACCTTATCTTCAAAATTTAAAAACAAATTTATCTATTTGTGAAATGACTTTTAAGGACTTAGATGATAAAAAAAAACACATATTCTCCTTCATCCTTGTCAAACCCCAACCCCAACCCCTCCCTTCTCTCTCTCATCCCAACCAAACCCAAATCAAAATTCCAATAAAGCTTCAAAATTCCCAACTGGGTCCAATCCAATTCCATCAAATTTCTCCTTAGTTTCTAAACCCAAGGGCACAAGCTTTCTATTCCATTTGCTCAGTTTGCTCTTCGTCTTCTTTCTAATTCTGGCATTTCTCTCTGTTATTGTTTTCATTCAATGGAGAGACGATGAACATTGAGAGCGATTTTGTTTATTTATTTTTATTTTTAATAATACTTTACAGAGGATCCCACGCGTTTTGATTGATATAGGTTGAAGGTTTTGAAGTATGCTTTGAATGAAAGTAAGGAGAATTTGCTTGAATTAATAATTAAAAGGTAGGCAAAATTGTAGCAATGGTCCCTCAAATAAGGCTCTACTTTACTTTTCGTCCCTCAACCTCAAAAATTGTTATGATTGTCCTTCAATTAGATATCGTGTTGCATCATTGGTCACTCCATTAATTCTGTTAGATTTTTTTGTCAAAATTAAGGGCAAATTGGGAAATTCCTGTCAAATATTTATTAGATAAATAAACTATTTAAAGAAAAAAACCACTGACACTACCCAAAAAACAGCCACCTTATCCCCATCCCCACTTACCCAAATTTATCACCACAACCACCCACCTTAACTCAGCTTCCACCTCTACGCATTTCCTAGCATCACCAAGCTCAAGCTCAGCACCACCAGGTTCAAACCCATCAAAATGAGCAAACCCTCTTCCACCCACCCACAGTCCACCCCAATCTCTCGGCGACGATACTCCTCAAATAAATAAATATATATATCTCCCTCTCTCTCTCTCTCTCTCTCTCTCTCTCTCTCTCTCTCTCTCTCTCTCTCTCTCTTTCTCTCTCTCTCTGTTCGGTTACCGCATCCCCTGTTTGTACAATTCTATATAAAATTGAATTTCTATTTTTTTTTAATGAACTTCCCTTTTTCATTCTTGAATTGTTGTTGATTGGCTTCGTTCTATTTGGACATTATTGTGTAGTTCTCAGATTAAGAGGCTGGGTTGCTGAAGTAAAGGGAGGGTTGGTTTTTAGGGAGGGTCGTACGACTGCACTGGGAAGTGGTGAGGGTAGTAACTGGGTAAAAGTCTTATTTGCCCTTCAAAAGAATATCATGTGCATCACATGTGATCCATTTTGACAGAAAAACTAACAGAGTTGACAGAAAGGATGAGCGGTGCAACGCGATATTTAATTAAAGGACCACCGTAACAATTTTTTAGGTTGAAGGACGAAAAGTAAAGTAAAGCCTTATTTGAGGGACCATTGCTACAATTTAGCCTAAAAGGTATTTTATGAATAATGGTGAGTGTAAAAATAAGATTGTATTTTTTCAAATTTACTTGGTGGGTGCGAATATAAATATAAGGTGAGTGGGGAAATAGGAATGAAAGGTGGAAATAGCAACTCTAATATTTTCCTAATTTAATCAATTATAAGTAATGACCCACATATTATACCAATTGATCAGACAAGCATCCACATGAAATTATGTACCTGACATACAGGTAAATAGTGTTATTATTAACAATGAAAAAAACTTAGTGATAAATCGTGTTACCTATAAGTTAGGAACATAAATTAGAAGATTACCTATAAGTCAGATACAAAAATAGACAAATAAAATTGTACGTTACCTATAAAAAAAATTAAAATATGTACATAAAATACTATTATACATTGTTGAAAATATGAAAAAACACACATATATATATACATATACAGTAGTGTAATTGGTACTTAGGTGAAGGGGGTAAATTAAAAACCCAATGGACAGATGTATGACAATAATGATCAAATAAACCTGGTGACAATATGACTAGTCAATAACTAGTCATAGACTTATGAACATATAAGCATAACACAGATGCACAACATACCAAATATTCAAATCCCTACAAGCCTAGAAGATAACTACGTGACAATATAGGCACTCAGGACCCGTCAATCTAGGCATCCCCTGTGCTAACAACAACTAGGGTGATAGGTGTGTGGACATTCGTCAACATTTCAGATATAACACAAATAGTATGACTAGGCATATAAATCAGAGAATCACACCATTACCCAGAAACCCACAATTGGGAAAAACTAGGAGTCATCACTTCAACTAGGCAATCCACTAAGTTAAGAAGGTTCTTACATAAAAAGTAATCACAAGCTCAAGCGATCCTAGGTCTGTTTAGGAAATGAGCACTACATCCATGTGCAACCCTCTTCTCCAAACTTAGTTGAGCTAGTAGCTTGTCCTTCATGGAAATGGCAACTAGTCCATCAGCTCATTCACCCCATGGCACCGCAACTCAACTCCAGATTGACAGATCGATGAATATTTAGATTCAAGGAATAAAAGATCGATTTCTTCAAGAAACCATTGTTGAAGAAATTAATCCAAGAATCTTATCTAGATATGAATGAGAATGTGTTTAACTATCCTAGATGTAGATTTTGAATAACAAAGCAGATTTCAAAAACAATTTGAAAATCTCATTTTGGAAACCTCATACTGAAATTGGTACTTAGGTGACGAGGGGTAAATTTAATCACACATACAAGACACAACAACACAGCAATCTTCACACACTTTAAACTTTGACCAAATACACATATGACTAGTCAACTACTAGTCATGAACAATCACAATCAAGAGAACACACAGAGCATGCCACAATGTACCTGCAACCCTAGAAGATTACTAGTGACAACCTAGGCACTCAGAAGGACCCATCAATCTAGGCATCCCATGTGCTAGCAATAACTATGGTGAAAGTGTGTGAAATCATCACTATCATGTAAACATCAAACAACAGATAAAGATGACTAGTCAACCGTGAGAACCCAGATGACTAGTCAACTATCAAGAACATAAACCCAAAAAATTTACAGATATGCAAACCAGAATTTGTTCACCCAGAAACCCACCATTGGGAAAAACTGGGGGTCATCAACCGACCAGGGAATCCACTAAGTAGAAAAAGATTCTTACAAAGAACACTAACAAGCTCAAGAAATTCCTAGGTCTATTTAGGAAAATGAGCTATACCTCCTTTGTGCAATCTTCTTCTCCAACTTAGCAAAGCTTGAAGCTCAGTTCTTCATGGCAATGGCAGCTCCTTCTCCAGCTCGTTCATCCCATGGCACTAGCTTGCAAGCTCCAACACAAACCGAAACCAAAATTTGGATTCAAATGAGAAAGACCAATTTCTTCAAGAAACCATACTCTTGAAGAAATCAGTCTTGAATCTGACCTAGATATAAATGAGAGATGATTTAAGTAGCTAGATGCAGATTCGGGTTTCAAAAGCAGTTTTTCAAAAAGATATCAATTGGAAAAACTCATAGATGAAATAAGATGGTTCTCTCGAGGAAGAAGAAGCGAAAGATGACAAGCCAAACTTTCCAAAACTTCCACCCAAAAGAGACAGCCACCAAATGACCAAAAACGAAGCCTTTACAGCCAAAAAATTCTTTAGGTCAGAAAACACAGATGGTAGCAGAGAGAGAGAAAGAGGAATAGGACAAAACAATTTGTTATCTAGCTGGAAATCCTACAGAGCAAGGATGACTAGTCATCATTTTTATGAAGACTGTTTTATGAAATAATATGCAATGCACTATACCTTTGTCAACTTGCTTGAACCTCCATAGAGCAGAAGTTAGATAAGAGCACCAAGAAAGGTTTTCCTTAATCTAAACTTGAGCTTGATAAATAACAATACACATTCTATTACAAAGTTGTCAAGGGAAGCCAAAAGAAAATAGCAAAAACCATACATTAACACATACCTCACTCATCTAACCATTTGCAAAGGAGAAGAAGAAAATGACTCTCTCTCTCTCTCTCTCTCTCTTAAAAATGATGAATGAATGAGTGAAGAGGATTTCAAATATCAAAGCAGATTTTAAAAACCATTTTTCAAAATTTCCTTTTGGAAACCTCATAGCTCACTCATCTCACCATTTACAAAGCAAAAGAAGAAGATGACTCTCTTCGTCTCTCTAAAAAATGATGAATGAATGAGTGAAGATGATTTCAAATATCAAAGCAGATTTTAAAAACCATTTTTGTAAATCTTATAATGAAAACCTAGACTTCACAAAGAAGGAAGAAAAGCAAAGAAGAAAGGCTCTCAAAATTCTTTATATCTGTCAAAGTGACTGCTACAATGTTGTCGCCTCCTTTTTTACCCAAAAAGAAATCTGCCCTAAATTCCCCCAGCTAGCAGCCACTCATTGACTTCATAATAAGACAAAAAAGTCATCAGGACAAAAAACCTATAGATAGCAACACGTGAGAAATTAAATGAGCTAGCAGTAATGAATGACTAGTCATCACATTGACTCGATATGTCAAAATATATATGCAATGCATGAATTGAAGATCTTGATTGCATCGTGTCATTGTTGATCTCAGCCACAGTAATCATCTGAAACTAGACTATCCTAGTCTAATTAACCTAGAGCTTGGTGAATTACATGTGCAATTGCAAAGTTGTCAAGGGATGCTAAAAGCCTTAGCTAAACATAACCTAACAAGTAAGCAATAGGACAA